CCTAGAAGAGGTAGTTGTCACCAAATGGAAAAGATTTGAGTTTTGGGCACCAATATTTCGTCCCCCGTCATCGCACCTCGGCAGGGCCAGCAAGGTGTCTTGGACTCTTGGATGTGTCTATTCGTACCCACAACCCACAAACCTTCACAAGGTCCAGACCCGTCAGAGACGCCAGGAATAGTCCTCAGTACGTCTTGGAATTTGGCTTTCCGCGGTTTCCAGTGGTCAAGATACCTAGGTAATTGCTGATCTCTTGTTGGCCGTCTCCAGTCTTGGGGGTATGTTAACCCCACCCGACTAGCGGAACGGAATCATATGCCAGATCCATTTCCCATTGTCGTGATCCGTCAGAGCCGCGATCACTAAAATAAATACGAGAAAAGAAGAGGCTCGAAGACGCAGATCGAGAGTGTTGTTGGAGACTTCATCATGGAGTGGGGACCCGTTGACCCATTTCCCGGGAGCCGCAGGAGGTACTCCGAGTCTGCACAGTACTGTTATAAACCCAGATAAAGTGTAGCAGTAGCAATTATCACAGGCCTGACATGGTGGGATTTGAGAGCGCCCGGGGATAATCCAAGGGAAGTCCGATTCACAGTGAATCCAGGGGAACGAACCGCGAACAAGGGGTCATGGGCCCTGATGAACTGGGGTTCCGCTGCTAGGAAAAGCACCGGGGGTGATATTCTGGAGAGAGTGGGAGGTGGTAGGTAGTGTGCTGTGGTGGACGATAGACAGCGGGGAAGAAGAAAAAGATGTGCTAATGTTTGCTAGTGGCAGCAAATTGGTATTTGACCGAGCGAAATTGGCCAGATAATCTATTGACTGGATGAAGTTTCCGGTCTTCCGCCGACAGGTTCTGAAAGACCGCAGTGGATGTCTGTTGTCATGGACTCCCACAGAAATGGTTCAGACATTGATGCTCGGAGCAGAGAGGCGCCAAGACGGCCAATGGCTTGGAACTTAAATGTGGCATTCGACAACGTCGGAGATGCTGCTGCTACCGCGAAGCAGGAAGCTGCTATGCAAGAAACAGTATATCTCCTCAACGTCCTCGTGGCTTCCACCTCCAGGTTGTCAGCGTTCTTCGGAGAGACAAACAGAACGTGGGGTCGCGATGGATCTCCTTGCAGCGTTCGATCGCTCCTGCCTGACAATGCGAAATTGAGGGGTTCCGACTTCCAATAACAATGGAAGGCGGGGAGGGGCAGTTCGGATTTGTGAGTGTGAGAACACAAAGTAAAGAATTCAATTGGGAACCTGAAGAGAAACGAGCAGTGTCTCGGCGGTCCGGATTCGATGGTTACGGCATACTGGTTGACACGTGTTGAGGTTGGCCCCGAGTGTGACCACTGTGATGTACCTGCGCCTTGCAGCAGGAAGAGGCGGCGGGTCGGGGTCGGAGCTGTCAACGTCCATTGCCCCGGCCAGAGCGCACGTGTGCATTGCTTAGAATATCGCGGGCGGTGAAGCTATCATTTTCTTCATACTATACACCCGCCAACTGTATACCATAACTAGCCTGCGCGTTACTTCAATTAGTAGTCATTGAGATTCTGTTTCTGTATTGGAAATGGTGAGCAAATTGAAACCTGACCGGAAGCTGAGATGCCACTTGTGAATATGTCAGGGTTAGGTATAGCCAGCGTATGCACGGAGAATGCAGGGCTTTAAACAGTATGCCAAGTCGAGCTCCGTGACAACACTGCGGGGGCCGAGTGCCGCGCTTGTTCTTCAACCGCATCACCATCCACTACATATCGACGATTCGGGTACCGTGTGGTGAAATACAAAGTCCAAACGGACACTCGCGGTCACAGCGCAAGTGCTCTGTTTCTTGCCAGCGTGGTCTCCACGTCCATCCCATGTCAAGATTCGCCCCTCCACCTGACGGCGAACGGGAATCACAAATTCATGACCAGAAAACCATGTGAAAGGGTCGATTCCAGTTGTCAAACTACTACCCTCGAGGTAGCGTGCCAAGTGCACACACACACACCCAACACCCATGCCCTAAAGTGGCACCTCTTAAGAAGATCAGTCACATCAATGCCGCCCTATTGCTACCCCCAAGCCATGTGTTTCGTGCGCTACCGTGTATATAGCACCTAGCCTAACTCGAGTTACATGGTGAGCCGCAACGTCGGCGGCTGTTTGGTAGCGATGGCACATCTGAGCCCCCTTGGGAAGGTGCTGAAAATCTGTTTGCGTATCATCACAGAGGACAGACCTGGGACAAAACGGGTGATGGCAACGTGAACGGAAATGAGGGAATCCAGTTCCTCGCTGTGTGGTCTGTGTCCCTCTCCCACGAAGTCTGTTCCCGTTGCGGTGCCGGGCGGGCGTCGGTGTTGTCTTTGAGCGCACACGCCCCGCAAATTGTTTTGGCGCAGTGGTTTCTTGAGTAATGAACCTCGCTCCTAGGATGGAGTAGCCACTTTTCGCCATTTTCTTTGATGGCTCACCCTTGCTCCTCTTTTTCACCTGCAGGCGCCGAGTCAACAAGGAAACGCTCCATCGAACTGGATGACGCGATGTCAACGGGCGGGGTTATCCTGTAAGCCTTACCCTGGGTTAATACTGTTGAAAAAGCCATCTTTTGAAGATGTTGTCAATTTGAAGCGTCAATAAACGTGGGAGAAAGCAACTTGATGAATTGGGGGCTCAAATGAGGTCCGAACCACTTCCATCACCAAGTGCCCCGTGTACAGTGCTGGGATCGGCTGTCACGCCCAAGAAACCTGACCCGTGGCTCGGCACGTGTATCCAGCTACCGCGGGGCTAACAAACCAAGGTGGGACCAGCGAGCCTTATTGGCAGTTGTTTCGGTCGCATTTTCCCTCAAGTCCCCTCCAAATCGACTTTAAATGGACCACCATAGCTCCTGCCATTTCCGGAATGCAGTTAGCGGATCCTGTTGAAGATACTTGTACACTACCTGCCAGGTTGTCCTAGCACATGTTTCTGGCCGACCACGGTCGAGTTGGCACCTTCGCACCCCGGCCGCAACTCAACACCCACGCTCCCACGGCACCCAAGGACGAGCCAAGCAGATCACGGCTCGGCAGTGCGCAGTAGGTACCCAGAACATGAGACGGACATGACATTGGACAAGGTGGGACAATTGCTAGAAAACATGCCCTTTCAGTTGCCATTGTCGCATATGGTTGGGATTTGGGGATACCGAACATCAACGAGAACGGCCGCTTTCTCACCCTGATTTCAGTCATTGTCCTTCCCGTTGGAAGTAGTGTGGTACGCTAGAGCCAGGTCCAGGTTAGGACGCGCAGGAGGAATTGCGGAGATGGCTGTATCCCACGGGTGCTGCCAATATAATTAGTACAGAGGTACCGGTCTTGTACTAGCCTCACCGTGTCCTCTCATCTTGTCGGAATCGAGCACAAATTCCCGTTCGCGTCGTGCGGGGAGCGAGCCGTACCTATCTCTAGGTAGGCCAAGAGATACCCCTACTGTTGACGGTCGCCAGAGGAATGAGCGCCCAGCTGATATTTGTCGAGTGTTCATGTATGCTCGTGTAGCACCGTGGATATGGCAGAGATCCAGAGGTGAGGAGAGCGCGCAAAAATGCAGCATCAGGTACCACGTTGCTGTCGAGGTTCCCGCATCTACGCATCCCAATGGAAGTACGGTACCGACTGTTCCTGCCCATGCTCCATGCTCCATGCTCCATGCTCCTTCATGCTTCTTCTTCCCGTTGTCGGCGGTCTGCCCTGTCGCCCCCATGATACCTGTCGCATTGGGTGATGCTGCTCTTACCTCAAGTTACTTCTGCTACTGTCGTCACTCGCTTCACCTCACCTCATCCACACTGACTGAAAAGAGATGGATGGGATGCCTTTAGCAGAAGGAACTGCAGCGACCGCCGAGTAGTACCTTACCGACGCATGATGCGCTGCACCGGGCCTAAAAAGAAAAGGTACCTCTACATACCTAAATGGCCCAGAATGGAGCCCATGCGAGCCATGGCACATCGAGACACATGGCTGGCTGCATCCATCCCACCAGCCAATCCCATGGGCCGCCCATCAATGCCCCTTCCCTGTCAAGCCATGTCCCCCTTCAAGAGGGCCCCTCTATTGTTGGCACGGCCCCAGCGCAGTTCGTGCTAACTTGCCCTGGCCCTTTCTGAAAAACGTGCTCTCCCGTCCTGCCCTGGCGCTCGCCCGCTGTCCGCCTGCCCGCCTCTGCGGCGTCTGCCGGCTCACCTTGCGCAGGCTTTTGGCTTTTTGGCTTTTGCTTCCCATTTCCTCTCCCGCCCCCCATCCATTCGATCACATCCCGTTCAGCCTTCAGGCAGACCTGATCAACTCGATCCCCAGTCCAGACCTCTCCCGCTTCTCCGCCTCCACCTTCGACTTCTCCCTACAGCACTTTAACTCAACTTGAAGTGTGTCGTCGTATGGCCAATGTCTCGACCGCCTTCGAATCCACGCCTAACATAATTCGCACCACTCTCGCTTAGCTTTCGTCAAGTCTGCTCTGTGCATCCTTCCGCGACCGCGCGAGAGAGACACACACAGAGAGAGGAAAAAGAGACAGTAAAAGAGACAGTAAAAGAAACAAGAGACGGACCGTCGCAACCGTCCATTGGCTACCTACTCATACAGTCCCCTCTTTTCAAGTCCGCCATCCGCCAACCCGCACGTTCGCGACTTGCACTCTGCGAACCCCGGACTCGATCCCGCCCTCGGCTTCGGTTGCCAATCTTCTTCATTTCGCCTTGTCGCGAGACCTACCTCACCTACAATTGTCCTAGGCATCTGTACCTTTTGACCGAGAGCCTCGACTACTGCTTTCGCGCATATTCACAGTATTCATCTGTATATCCTACCGATCCAATCTGGAACCTCGATCTCGGACCAAGGACCTCTGCCGTTTTTCCTTCCAGGACGAGTGTTTGGCTTCTGGAAAAGACCCCCTACGACCTCAACCGGTATACCTAGGCAGTAGAAGAAGAAGAAGAAACAGAAAAGTGTATGATGGCTCAGCGATCAGGCTCGCAGAAGGTACCTCTCGGTCTAGCGGGCGTGCTCAACGCCCCCGAAGACAATCGGGATTCGGCTTATTACTCTGCGACGGATGCCTCAAGCAAGCGTCAGTCTCCGTTCCTCCGCGCGCTTCCACAAGACCGTTCAGCTAACTTGTGCCTAGACACATCGGCAGCATCAGGCGTCGGTGTCTTGACTCCCAACGGCTCCAACTTCCAGCCTTCCCCGATCGACAAAACGTCTCCGTCCCCCACAAACCTATCGAACCTCCAGCCACCGCAATCGCATCTCCCGCCTTTAAATAGCAATATGAGCGTTGCCTCCATGGTTTCCCCCACAACACCGGGTAGCGCTGACCCCAGACGCTTCGACCGCCCTTCGTCTTACGAGACAGGCCCCAGTGGCGGCCCCTTGCCACTCAATGGTGACTTGGAGGCCATGTCTAGGAGAGGAAGTTGGGACAGCAGACATTCTCTTAATCAGGGGTTCAACGACATGCGCCTCGGCAACTCGCCATATGCGAGCCAGAACCAGTCTACAACATCGATTCATCAAACTCTACAGCAGCAGCGCAATCCGCGTTCAGACCTGAACGGTCTTGCCAATCACCGCATTTCGAATGGCTACCAGCCGAGTGCTGAGCGCAATCCAGATGGGAGCAGGACAAGGGTGGCGCCTGCCATTACTGGGCCGGCGCAGAGTCAGATTGCTCGGGCTGCTGAGCCTACTAAGGGCCAGGCATGGGCTTTCCCCGAGGAGGATATACAGCGGGTCACTTCCTCTAATCAGTCTCTGGTCGACTCTAGGAGGAGCAGCATTGCTGAGTCACTGGCTAGCAGCCACTTTACCATGGACAGCAGGCTGCCGTCAGGACAACGACGTCTTGATGACAACTACTCCCACAGGCTCTCCAGTGTGTCCGCGGACTTTGCGAATCCGACGGTGCACCATCACCACCACCACAGCCTTCAACATAGAACAATTAGTGACTTGCAAAACGAAGAGGGCGGCTCGCATGCTGGCTCTCAGCCGTACAGCAGGACTCCCGAGTTGCGTGTTAGTCACAAACTGGCCGAGCGCAAGCGTCGCACGGAGATGAAGGAGCTATTCGAGCAGTTGAGGGACCTGATGCCCCAGGAACGCGGCTCCAAGGCGTCAAAGTGGGAAATTCTTACAAAGGGTTCGTGCTACTACCTGATTAACACCCTTTTATGACTTCAGTGAACTGACCAGATGACAGCCATCTCCGAGCATCAACGCATGAGCAATCATATCCAGGTGTTGACCTCGACACTCCACAGCAAAGATCGCGAAATTGAACATCTTAGACACGAGGTCCAGCGAGCCCAGATGGAAGCCAGCAATATCAGGCGGTCACAGCCCGCTTCTATGGGCGAATCCTACGGTTTTGAGAACAGGAGGTCCCAACAGGAGTTGCCACCACTGCGTACTACCCTTCAAGCTGCCGCAGCTGCCTCAGCACCAGGAATTGACGCCATGACCGGAGTCCAGTACGAGGCACCTCGAGTAAACGGTTTCCGCCCTCCCGAGCCGAATAGATTCTAGGAGTCGGTTCTGTCTAGGACATCGATGAGCCGAACTTCATTGCACTCTTCCATGCACTCCTGTGCGCATTCTCTTCGTCGTTTGAGGAGGAAGAAATCAGCGTAACCGGCTTTTCATGATGTACACTCTGCGGCACTGGCCGTATTTGTGAGCCATACTCACGGGTGGCACATATGTTGCTTCTGAGGAATCTTGCGACATGTTTTTATTACTGTTGCCTCAAGAAGAGGGAGTAGGAGTAGGAGTGGAGGCGATTGCCCTGGGTGCGCGCATCCACTGGCGCTCAGCTTTACTCATCATTCCGGGCTGGAACCAACAAAAGAAGACATAGCCATCATCGACGGCCAAAATACGTCTTTATTTGGCATCTTGCTTTTATACTTCGATTCTCGTCATTTGGTTCTACAAAATTCAACTTCCGTTATATTTTCCACTGAGTCATGGGAAACAGCGAGCACAGCGGGCGGGATATGGGCGGCTTGGTTTTGCGGTTTTGTCGGTGACTTCCTGATCCAAAGCCAGGTTAAGTGTACCTATGGCTTCTTCACACGTGTCTAAGATTCTGTGGACGCTTCTTATCCTAGGGAACCCGCTTCTTGTTTTCTCTTTTTCTTCCGTTTTCTGTGCACCCAGGAAGGATTCGGCGTTTCGTGAAATCAAAGGGAGATTCTGTAACGAATGAAATCTGGTGTAGGAACGCGAAGCTTTCTCCCTTTTCCCATCTACTCTTGACGGTTGGCATGGTTTGTCGTTATGTTATCTTGAACTGGTAACGATTCTGCTGAAGATTTAACAGCGCGGCCGGATAAAAAAGGAAAAGGAAACGGAGTGGTTGTTGTGAAGCGCACGGGTCGGAAAAGTGGATAGGAAGGATGGATGGAAAAGAAAGGCCGCGCGCGGAAACGAACCTACCTGCGTCTGGGATTAATACAATCGTGGACTGGAAATGAGAAGAGAGGAGGACACGGCCGATGAGAGAGAGAGAGAGGGAGGTCCGTTGTCTCGGGGGAATTTGTAGTGGACAGTACTATGACTACGACGACGGCGACGAATGCGTTCTAAGGCGCTGAAAGCTACCTACCTCTGTAGTAGTCAATGGGGGATTTTGACCTTGTCTTGTCACGGATCTTCACTACCCTTCCCGTCCCGGTTAGCAAACAAAAGAAAAGAATATTCAAGACAAGCCATCATGGCCTGGACCTCAACGTAGCGTGCTGTTTGTTCCCATGAAGTGCTTTCATCCCTCCTCGCTTTTCTCCCCGGCGCGCGCCAAGCGCATCTTCAAAGCGTAAATACCTCTCTAAGTTTCGATAGTATCGAGCCAAGAGCAGAAAGTATGTAGGCATGTTTCCTCGTCGCGGTTCCAATACCTCCTCGATGTAATCGAAACGCTATTTTCAGCACAGCACAGTATTACAAAGCACTTTTGTACCGAAACCGTACCTAGTTTGCTTTTTGCCTTTTTGGAACCCCAGCATGCCAGCGTCTTGAAGAAACTCAAGTCAAGGACGTCAAGAGAAAGAGCACCGGACTCAAGAATCGCGACAAGTAAACCAGTCTCAGGCTCGCGGACAAGGTAAACAACAAGGATTCCACTCACAAAAAGCACGTGGCGTACCTACATGGATTTCCATGCATTCCTAACCTGACTTTCAATCAGAACTACCTTACTGAAAAGCTTTCATATACTGCAGTGCAGGTATCAGATCAGATACATTATGTACCTACCTGTACGTACATCAAGCAGGAAACACGAGGGTCTGCGTGGCGAGCGTGGGTAACTGCGCCTCTTGTTGGGGGTTTCTTTAAAATTTGAAATGTTTATGTCCGTCGATCAGGTGGGATCGATCGCATCTGGCGGGATGTGCGGACTTTACTCCGAAGTGGAAGGCTTGTTTGTTGAGATGGAGAGGATGATCAACGTGAGGGGAGGGGGATGAGCAGGCAGGACTCAGGAGCTGGGCTCTGGGCTCTGGGTCCTGGGCGGCGCGGGTAACTACCTTGCTTGTCTGTTGTCGCGGGGAGTAGGTAGGTAGGTGTCATCAACATCGATTATTAGAGGTATCTAGCGGACTTTAAAGCAGAAAATCTTTAATACTTGGGATAGAGCACGTATTTTACCGCCACATAAATCGAGGGATTCGGAAATCTTTTATCTTCCCGCGACGGCTCCTTTCAAGGGCATAGATAGCTCGTCATGAAGAGAAGAAGCTAAAGTACTGCCACGATGGAGAGGGGTCGTTGTTGGGATACGTATTATGACGGAAAGTGAAGCCATTTCCATTTCAAGCTTTTCTGTTTCGGAGATTTTTTGACGGGATGGATGGCCCGGGGGTTCGAGGAAAGTGTGCATTGAGAGCGTGGCCATCGACCGGTTTCGTTACAAATGCACAGTGCGATTACCTGGACACGAGCAGTTGTTGACGCAGGGTCGACTCAATCGAGGTCCGTCGTCGTCAGGTCCCGCCCACGCTGGCATCGCAGAGCAGTCCGTCACGCGGGTGCTAATTGGGAAAGTCAAGGTCGGCGCGGTCGTTGACAACTGCGGTGCAGTGTTTAAGAACAGATTCAAAGAGAAAGCGGTTGGGATTGATCCAACTTGTCTCAGATATCATGGCAATTCCGACCCCGAGATGCAGCGATCGTCGCCCCCCGCTGGCGACGGGATGCGATAAGGATGCGACGACGATGCGACAAGTTCCTCCCCTGGACTCCTGAGCGGACGAATTCAGGGTCTGACTGTTTGAGACTTTGAAACTTGAGGCTGGCGCGTTAGGTTGCCGCGCTGGAGGAGGGACCCCAATGCTCACCCCAAGTCCGACAGTGACACTTGCACTTCCATCGGTCTGTATGCCAGACTATCTGGCAGTCGGCGCGAACGAAAGAAGTGCAGAGGCAGAAACGTGGTTCCTGCCGCTTGTTATAGCCCTTCATATATGGAAAGTTCAAATCTCCTTTGACGTAGATACTTGGCTTACTTGGCAAGGGCATCGTTGAAAGAGAGACAAGACGGAAACAACACATGTCGAAAAACTACCATAAGGGATCGGAAGAAAGCAAAGCGAAGCGGAGCAAGCGCGGCTTGAACAGCCCGGAGACGGGCTTCAATGGGATGAAATAAGCGGCGGGCAGCAACTCGGCGGCTGTGTCTTCTAATCCATGCGACTGAAGAAGGAGGCTCAGGAGTCAGGGGGACACTGAAATGCAGCAGATGCGCGGTTACCCTTTGGCTTGTATGTATTTAGGGTGTGTTCCATTCGGTTTTTTTGGGGTCTGTTCACCGAGAAAAAGGTACTTCGGGTGAAAAGGTGGCATGAACCAATTTTCACCGGGTTGTCAAGATTGTTCACCGGGGTTGCGAAGTTCTCGCGAAATGGCTAGAGTTGTAGTGGCTATAGGGGGCTCCAGCACTTTTTCAAGGTGTTCAGCGGGTTTTTGCTCCTGGTTGCATTTGCAAAACAATATAAGACATATATATATATATCCTTTTTGTTGTCAACCGGGTGAAAATAGAAGAAGTTGGATGTGAGCGATTTGGTTGGTTGAAAGCTTAAAAAGTGGATCGTCTCTTTTCACCGGGTTACACGTCGTTGTTCACCCGGTGAAAGGGTACATCGAATTCCAAAAGTAAAAGGAACACGAATTTCACCGGCCATTTTCACCGGGTGAAAACGCTAAAAAAAAAAAGTGAATGGAACACACCCTTAATGCAGGTAGGTACACTGCGAAGACTGCGCCAACAAGTGGAAAGCTCCTTGCATATCTTGCAGAGGGGTTGAGTGATTGCAGCAAGCGAAGCACAGGAAGATCCCCCCAGATCCGGATGTGCCGCAGTCCGGAGGAGATCGGCCATTCAAAAGGGCGAACAAGATTTATGAAAGAGACGAAACAGCGGAACTGCCCTGGCGCACAATGCTCATCGGTTCGTCGAACATCGGGTCCCCAGTTTTAAATCGGGGGACGGGAGGCGGTGCAAAGTGTTGCCTGGCAGTAGAGTCTACCGGTGCTGTGTAGGACGCCTGCTGACTCGACTCTTTGCGGTTGCTCGTCAGTAAAATTCGTAGCTCTTTCCCAAGTGGTGGACTTGTCATTGAACCCTGCTTTCTATTCTTTTTTGTTGTTAGGAGCGGGACGTTGGACTGACCGGAAGGAGTTGTGTGGTAACTGACTGAATGGGAAGGGTCAAGCCTTGGCGTGGTAATCCAAGGTTTTGTTTGCAGTCGTCGTCATCATCACCGACCTCTCTTCTCATCCATTTTTCTCGCTCATTTTCTTTCTGCTTTAACCACTTCTTCCCCTCTTCATCCATCCATCAACCCGTCACTTTTTTTGGCCCATCTGTTTACGTTGCCTCTTTGCACGTTCGCTTGTAGAAGCTTCCGTTTTTTGGTCTCAGTACCTCTATACCCCTTACTACAGACAGACATATTCTTTGTCTTTAGCTGTATCCTCCTCGCCGATCGTTTTAGCATCGACTTTTTTTGGACGAATACGCCACGATAAGCTGCTTCTCAACCCCATTCCAGGCTGCAGTATCATCCAGTCGCGTCTCGCATTCGGCCGCACAGCTTGCGTTACCTCGGCTGTGTCCTGTCAACTTCAATTTGCCTCTTTTCATCATCCCATAGGTCTCGTGGGTTAAGTTTTGATTTCGACAAATAGCCGCCGACTCAGTTTCTTGGATACTGTGTTATTTTTCCGCGGTCTTTTTTTCTTACGGCAAATCGGATCCCAAGCTCGAAACATCGGCGGTTAGACCCTCCGAGACACAACCGGCCTTTTCTCGACCGGAGCAAACCAGCCGGGCCTTCCGCTCGGACCTCCCGACACTCGACAGGAGCCGCACCTATCCGAAGTCGAAATTCGCAACAGAACACCATGAAGGGCTGCACACCATCCGCCCTTTTTCTGGGCCCTGTGCTGTTCTCTCAACTTGCGCTGGCACAGCAAGCACCAAGCGGCGTTGTTCAATGGGATATCCAGAAAAGGCCCGTACCCAACGTAGCACCAAATCGACTTCTGCGGCGGGCCGGCTCGACTTACCAGCAAATCATTCAAAATGAACAGGCACGAGGAGGATACTTCGCGACGTGCGAGATGGGGACGCCTGGACAGAAGGTGACATTGCAGTTGGACACAGGAAGCAGCGACGTATGGGTACCGGACTCGACGGCATCAGTTTGCAACCAGGGCGCGTGTGACCTCGGAAGCTGTATGTGATCCGCCGCCCCCTTCCTTTGTTAACCATATTTGTACACCTGGGATGGCATTCATTCTAACAAATGTATTAGTCGACACAAGCAGATCCAAGACATACAAGGTCGTAGGGAAAAACGAGTTCGACATCTCGTATGTGGACGGGAGTTCGTCTAAGGGGGACTACTTCACCGATGTTTTCAAGATTGGCGGAGCAACGGTCACCAATTTGACGATGGGCCTGGGGGCCAAGACCGACATAGCATACGGCTTGGTGGGGGTCGGGTATGCCAACAATGAGGCTATTGTGTCAAACGCCCAGTCACTAGATGCTCAATATCCTAATTTGCCGGTTACTATGGTCGATGACGGGTTGATCAACACCATTGCGTACAGCCTCTGGCTGAATGACCTTGGTATGTATACCGCCCGTTTTCGTTGGCATTGACGAAAAGCTGACGATATGGCATCACATAGACTCCAGTGAAGGCAATATTCTCTTTGGCGGCATCGACACCAAGAAGTACAAGGGTGACCTGACGAGAATCAAGATCTACCCCAGTAACAACGGCTACTACTTCTCGTTTATCGTCGCCATGACCCAGTTACAAGCGATCAGTCCTAGTGGCAACGACACGCTTACCTCTGATGAGTTCCCTATTCCGGTTGTTCTCGACTCGGGTACGACTCTGTCTTATCTGCCGCAAGATCTCGTGGAACAGGTCTGGCACGAAGTGGGTGCAGACTACTCGAGTAGGCTTCAGCTAGCTGTTATCCCCTGCTCAAAGAAGACCAGCAAGGGCTACTTTTCCTTTCAGTTTGCCGGCCCTGACGGCCCACGCATCAATGTGCGGATGGACGAGCTGGTCCTTGACCTTACCAGTGGAAACCCTCCGAAGTACACAAGCGGACCGCATAAGGGCCAGGATGTTTGCGAGTTTGGTATTCAGAACTTTACCTCTGCTCCATACCTCCTTGGCGATACGTTTTTGCGGTCGGCATATGTGGTCTACGATCTGGTCAACAATGAGATCGCCTTGGCTGAGACGGACTTCAACTCGACCCAAAGCAACATCGTGGCGTTTGCCAGCATGAGCGCGCCCATCCCGTCAGCAACACAGGCGCCAAACCAAGCGGCTGTTACCAACAGACCTGCTGTAACTTCGCCGGCATTCTCGGCCAGCCCTGGGTTCTCGGATGGTTCGGGCAACGGTGGTGAGGACGAGAACGCATCGCAAGGCATGCCAAGGGCGTTCGGCGTCGCCCAAATGTCCGTCATGGCAGTTTCGATGGTGGTTGCCATGATTGGTTCTGGCATTTTCGCCTTGCTCTAGGCCCGCCCTGGCCAAATTAAGAACCACTCTCAAAAAACCACTGCACCATTGAGTTGAACAGCCAGAGCACGGCCAAATGCCCATCAAACTGAATGGTTCTTTTTGCTTTTCGATGGGACGCTAAAGCTCTCTGTTTCTTACTCAAGGTTGACGAGATTTGTGTTCCAATGCTCAGTTGTCTACTTGGGAAAGTGGTGAGACGCAAATTTTGTTATTATTTTTTGGATTGAAATCGCATAGAGTAGCATGACAACGATACCCAGAGGGGTGTAGCGTTGGAAGATTATTCGGTTTTTTTTCTTGTTTCTTTTTTGGATGGATCCGGAACATGAGTCTCGTCATTGGATAGGAGTTGGGCAGTTTGTTTATCATACGATCGGTACCTACTCTACTGGACTAGATTCAAGGGTTGGCGACAATACGCACGGTACTAAGTTTCTTATTGGAGTGGTTCGTCCATATTGCTAGCGGTATATAATCAATGCGAAAACCTCAAGAAGTTTTTGATATTCAGTTGTCCAAGAAGATTAAGCCAGTGAGGTTGTCGCCAAGTCTTGGCGGGCTTGATGGCACCTTGACGGTCAGGTTGTGCGAGGGAATGGGACCGGGTTTAAGCACTAACAGTACGCTTGTCACCAACAACCTCAAATCACGACCTTTTGGACTGATGTTGGCAATTCTGAGTTCATTAACGTCGTCACACGTTAATGAGGCTGTTAGACGCTTGGGAACAAAATTTCCTCGTCCTTGAAAGTGGTTCTCATGTTCGGATTGAAGGTCGTTGAGCGTGCAGTACCTCTGTCTGACTTGCGAGCGGCACTAAAACCCGGCCGCCCCATTCGTCGCATAACCCTGACGGTTCCTGGGAGACCCCACCTAAAAAGTTCGTCCCGACTCCCGACTCCCACCCGTCAGTTTGATGCCGCATCCGTATCCTGTCCCGGGCTTCTCTTTTGGAAACTTTAGGTAGTTTTCCACTCCTTCCTCCCCGCCATTCATTCTTTTTCGGGCTGTCGCTATGAGGGTGATTCGGGCGATTAATACTCTCCACGCCGGCCGCGCTGCCGTGCGCCAGGTTCGCTCCGTCGGTCTCGGATGCCGCGCCGCTGTTGTCGAGAGCCGCGTCGCCGTGCGGACCGGCTCCCAGGTCGAGGGCCGCCGTCTGTTCACAAGTTCCTCGTACCTTAGGAACGCCAACATGACTGCGGCCGAGCTTGCGTAAGATATCTCGTCCCGTGAAAATGAAAACCGGCGTGCCACTGGACAGCATGCCAGAGCCAGCAACAGACCCAGCTGACAATACGTGCTGTATTTCCATAGTCTCAAGCAAGCCAAAGAACTGGCCGCAGCGAACATGTCCGCGGAGGCAGCGGCTGCCCGTATGACCGACAGCGAGGCCAAGAGACTGGCTCGTGTCCGCAACATTGGTATCGCCGTATGTGAACCCCGAACGCGCCCGAGATGAACGAGAACAAACCGAGGACGAGGACGAGGACGAGGAGAGGAAAGAAGCTAAACTGCTAGCTACATACAGGCCCACATCGACTCCGGCAAGACCACCGTTACCGAGCGCATTCTTTTCTACACCGGCAGAGTCAAGGCCATCCACGAGGTTCGCGGTCGCGATGGTGTCGGCGCCAAGATGGACTCCATGGAACTCGAAAGAGAGAGAGGTATTACCATCCAGTCTGCCGCCACCTTCGCCGACTGGAAGAAGAAGGAGAAAGGTGTTGAGGAGAACTACCACATCAACTTGATCGATACCCCCGGCCATATTGATTTCACCATCGAGGTCGAGCGTGCCATGAGAGTCCTTGACGGTGCCGTCATGGTCCTCTGCGCCGTCTCTGGTGTCCAATCCCAGACCATCACCGTCGACAGACAGATGAAGCGCTACAACGTCCCCCGTATCTCCTTCGTCAACAAGATGGATCGTATGGGCGCCAACCCCTGGAAGGCCGTCGAGCAGATCAACACCAAGCTCAAGATCCCCGCCGCCGCTATCCAGGTTCCTCTCGGCTCTGAGAAGGAGCTCGAGGGTGTCGTCGACTTGATCGACATGAAGTGCATCCGTAACGATGGCCAGCGTGGTGTCAACCTCAAGATCTCCAAGGAAATTCCCGCCGACATCAAGGACTTTTGCGAGCAGAAGAGACAGGAGCTTATCGAGAAGCTTGCCGACGTCGACGACGAGATTGCCGAGATGTTCCTCGAGGAGCAGACCCCTACACCCGAGCAGATCAAGGCCGCCATTCGCCGCGCCACCATCGCCTGCAAGTTCACCCCCGTCCTCATGGGTTCCGCCATCGCCGACAGGGGTGTCCAGCCCATGCTCGACGCCGTCTGCGACTACCTCCCGAACCCCAACGATACCGACAACCTTGCCCTCGATCGCTCCAAGGGCGAGCAGCCCGTCAAGCTTGTTCCCTACAACTCCCTTCCCTTTGTCGGTCTTGCCTTCAAGCTCGAAGAGAACCCTTACGGCCAGCTCACCTACATGCGTGTCTACCAGGGTTCCCTCAAGAAGGGTGCCTACCTCTACAACTCCCGTGGCAACAAGAAGGTCCGTATTCCCCGTATCGTCCGTATGCACTCCAATGAAATGGAGGACGTCAACGAGATCGGTGCCGGTGAGATTTGCGCCGTCTTCGGTGTTGACTGCGCTTCCGGCGATACCTTCACCGATGGTGGCCTTCCCTACTCCCTAAGCTCCATGTACGTCCCCGACGCCGTCATGTCGCTCAGCATCAAGCCCAAACGCTCTAGCGACGCCGATGCCTTCTCCAAGGCCATGAACCGTTTCATGCGTGAGGATCCCACTTTCCGTCTCCACGTCGACGAGGAGTCCGAGGAGACCATCATCAGCGGTATGGGTGAGTTGCATCTCGAGATTTACGTCGAGCGTCTCCGCCGTGAGTACAAGGTCGAGTGCGAGACCGGCCAGCCCCGTGTCTCTTACCGTGAGACCATCACCCAGAAGGCCGAGTTCGACTACCTTCTCAAGCGCCAGTCCGGCGGTCCCGGTGATTACGCCCGCGTCATGGGCTGGATCGAGCCCAACCCCAATGGCGGCGAGGACAACTACTTCGAGTCGCGCGTCGTCGGCGGCACCATTCCCGACAAGTACGTTTCGGCCTGTCAGAAGGGTTTCCAGGAGGCCTGCATCAAGGGTCCCCTGCTCGGCCACAAGGTCATCGGCTCGTCCATGGTCATCACCGACGGTGCCACTCACGTTACCGATTCGTCCGATTACGCCTTCAACCTTGCCGCCCAGATGGCTTTCGGCAAGGCCTTCGCCGCCGCCGGCGGCCAGGTGCTCGAGCCCCTCATGAAGACCACCATCTCGGCCCCCTCCGAGTTCCAGGGTAACATCCTCATGCTGATGAACAAGCGCGGCACCATCGTCGACACCGAGGTCACCGCCGACGAGTTCACCATGGTCGCCGACTGCTCCCTCAACGCCATGTTCGGCTTCTCCACCCACTTGCGCGCGGCTACCCAGGGCAAGGGCGAGTTCTCCATGGAGTTCAGCCACTACGCTCCTGCGCCGCCCCATCTCCAGAAGGAGCTGGTGCAAAAGCACCAGAAGGAGCTCGAGGCTAAGCGCACCAAGTAAAAAGGCTAAAACTGGATGATCAAGTTTTGGTTAGGTGTCATTACGGCTTCTTGGAGAAAGCTTGTTGCTGCCTCCTCGAACGAGAACGCCCTTGTGCTGTGCGCCATGCCCTGCCGTCCTTTGGGCCTCTAGGTTCGGATGAAAGTCGATTCCGAGCGGCCGTTGCATTCCCACGTCCCCAGCCGGGACGAAGGGAATGGAACTCACAATACCCTAGACCATTTGTCTAGGTCATGGGCTACGCCTCCCCCGTCTAAGGAAAGCGAGGAACGGAACGGATGGATACAAAAAGGGATTCTAGACGTCTGGATGGATGGATGTGACGATTATAGAAGAAGGGCATCATAGCAAAACCTACTGGAAGCTATGTTTCGCCCTATATTGTAACTATAGATTACGGCAGCGCAGCGGCTTTATTTCTTTCCTTCGATGTGTGTGTATCCTGTACAGTACATAGATCTGTATTTTATGTGTGATGACAAAGGCCGGGGCTGCAATATTTCAGTTTTGTGTGTATGTGTGTATGTGGATTTTGGAATGGGGCTCTGGAAGGGTTATAAAAAAGAGACTTTGGTTTCATGTTGTGGTTTGGTTTTGGTAGAACGGAAAAAGCATGCGAATATAATCTCTTCTCTCCAATCTTTCAAAAAGAAAACATGCTGAAGATTCAGTTAACGCATGCTGGGTGGACATCGTCTTGGACAGAATTATGATTGCGGTGCACCTTGTATTGTTAGAAAACCCATGGGCAAGGATACCATGACTATAGCTCTCAACAGCTGGTGGTACCCGCAGCTCACGGCCTGCCGGAAGCTCTTCTTGTGTGAATCACGTCATCAGCACGGCGACGCAAAATATCGTTTTTTCGACTTCCTCCCTCTAACATGTATGTATAAAGGTGTATAGCGGGGGTATATATCGCTTCTCTGCGTGAGATGTAAATAGTACATTATCTAACAGCATTTTCTTTCTTTGGTTCTCGAGCCGGATGGATACCCAGTAGTGTAGTTCTCAGATCATGACTCATAACAGGGATAGCCCGTCCAGTCCGACTTAGAGACGGCGGAGGATATCCTGCACAACCTCCTCAGTCTTGGCCTTGCCGCCAAGGTCGGGGCTCAGAAGCTTGCCCTCCTCGAGGTTGGCATCGACAGCAGCGTAGATCTTGGCCGCAGCCTCCTCCTCGTTGAGGAACTCGAGCATGAGCGCAGCGGAGCGGAGAGTGGCGATGGGGTTGGCGATGCCCTGGCCCTGAATGTCGGGCGCGGAGCCGTGGCAGGGCTCACCGATAGCGAAGCCCTCGCCGACATTGGCGGAGGGGACGAGACCGAGCGAGCCGACCAGGGCGGCGGCGCCGTCGGAAAGGATGTCGCCGTAAAGGTTGGGCGCGACGATGACGTCGTAGGCCTCGGGCTGGCGGAAGAGCTTGTATACCATGCTGTCGACGATTTGCTCCTCAACGGCGACGGAAGTGAAGCGGCCGGCGGCGAGGGCTTCGCGAGCGGTGGAGCGGAAGAGGCCGTCGGTTTGCGAGAGCACGTTGGACTTGTGGGTGACGGTCACGAGAGGACCCTTGTGGATGGAGGGGGAGCCGCCCTCGCGGATCTTTTGGCGGCGCAGGGCAATCTCACCGGCGATGGTGGCGATGCGCGAAGAGGCCCGCTGGGAAATGCGCTTGATGGCCTCGGCCACCTTGCCCTCGGGCGTGTCGTACGTCTTCTCCTCCTTGACGTAGAGATCTTCCGTGTTCTCGCGCACAATGACCATGTCGATGGGCTTGACGCCGGGGCCGCGGACCGACTTGACAGGGCGGACGTTGGCGTACAGGTCGAGCTTCTTGCGCAGGGCGACGATGGGCGAAGAGTAGCCCTTGACGGCCTTGGTGGGCGAGCTGACGGCTCCGAAAAGAGCGCCGTCGCACTCCGACTTGAGGATCGAGACGGTCTCGTCGGGCAGGGCGTTGCCCGTCTGCTCAAAGGTCTCCCAGCCGGCCTTGAGGTCGATGAACTCGAACTTCAGACCGAGAGAGGCCGGGAGAGCCTCGAGGATGCGTCGGCCGGCGGGAATGACTTCCTTGCCGATGCCATCACCGGGGATGAGACCTGTTGGCGGCGGAAAGCGGGGTGGTTAGCAGGGCGTTTCCTAGCAAACCTTGGGCATTGGATTCAAGGCATTGGGAGGGGTTGAAGGGTATGGGAAGGAGGCTCACCAATCTTGAGAGTCCTGGCCGCCATTTTTTCTACTTCCAACTGACTTTGTAGAAGAGAAAAAAGTGAAAGTTTGGAGGAGGGGAGGGAAAATGCAGATGGGGGAAAAAGAAACAACTACCGATAGCTCCAAAAAGCTTCCCCGAGGTCCCAAAATGTTGGATGAATCATACCTTACCAGGACTTGGCCAGGGCCGGGATCGGACCAAAGGCGCCATAGTGACTAACGGCAGATTTAAAGCCGGGACTAGCCCAGTTAGGAAGTAAACAAGCGGCGTTCTCCAGATTTATTGATCGCTGCGGGCTGTTCCGCAATTCTTCCAGGATGGCCTGTCAGGGTCCCGAGTTCCCTGTGCATCTTTTTGGCCTCGAGATGGAGAGTGACAAAAAGGACAAAGATGACAAGAGACTCGGAGTATCTCCAAGAGACGTAATTTCGAGAAGGTGGGCAGAGCAGTCGATATATGGCTATCGCCCTTCTTCACATGTTGCCATTGATAATCTACAGGCCACGGTAATGTTAATGTAGCATGATAGACAGGTGGACGTCGGGTGTTTTGAGATTTGGGTGTTATGATGGAAGTTCGACTCCATTGTTTATTGCGCCAGGGGCACCCCCAATGCGAAACATATGTCACTTGAAACATCGTGGATTCGGGTTGGAGGTTGTCAAGCGTTTGTCGCGGAGAGTTATCCGCCGGCCACATACAGTATCTCAGATGTAGACGATGTAGGTAGGTAGAGGCATGTTTGTGTCCTGTGTCAAGCCTGCATATGATGAATATCGAGGTTTGTACGACAATCGACCAGAGGCAGCCAGACAGAAAGAAGGGGTTGAAAAAGCTTGAGATGTGTACCCCTGAAACGGATTCCATGTACCAGTCACAAACTCAACACCACCACTACCACCAGCTAGCACTAACAACCAAAGTGGAAGCTCTGTTAGACTGTTTGTGATAAGCCAATGGCTCCATGCAAGAGGCTAGGCCAGCACTCAGCCTTCAGCTTCTGTGGTACCTCGTCGTGAACTCGCCAGTCACTTGTAAGAGTTTTCTTCTCCATCACAGAGGTCTCAATGGCATTTGTCTGGAAATAGTCTCGGATTGGTTGGATTGGCCGCCTGGGCAGTGGCCATAACTGGATCCCTATTTCGATCCCAAAGACTCAGCAAAAAAAGTGAAGGCCCAAACAGAAGCCGATCCTGCCACGCTGGTGCATCCGGACTCTTGGGGGCTTGTACTTTTGACAGAAACTCCCTGCCTGGACCTGCAGCGACGTGCACTTGCCTGCATCAGAAGACCCAGTGCCACATGCGCCATTGCAGCTCACTCCGCTCCCCTGAGTTAGCCGTACTTTTTAAGGCATTCGCTCATTAAACGCGCCCGTCACTTATAAGCCCTCGACTGCCCGGTGGCACCACTTAATCTGAGGAACTTGCGATAGTTGTCTCTTTCTCTGACACTATTTGCCCTTTATCCTTCTGTTCATTGTTTTTCAGCATCAACCTATAACCTTCCTAAGTGCGTCGCGCACACTCCCGCAACCTTTGCGCAACCACCGCGACACGTTCTACGGTATCCCTAACAAACAGCTTTCCCGATTCCTCGTCATAGCGTTCACCAGCTCCACGCGCGCATCGCTTCCCTCGAGTGTCCCTGTTTACTTGGGTCAGGATCGTAGCTCCTCATTATAGTAGCGTGGGGAAGCCGCTTCGAGTCTGTAACAACACGACGACCCGTGCGCAGGGTCCAGGGGCTTAAAGGAGGCACGCCCGTTTGCCTCGATCTCTCCTTCCCGACGCGACCACGATCCTCGACTTCCTTCCCTCGGAAGACAGCAATCAGATTCCCCTCTTCGACCGAATCGAGTCGGACTGCCGACTACAAAAACCACACAAGAAACCAACCGCTCCTGCCACCTCGCAACAACCATCCCTCGTGGCCCGACGCTTCTCAACTTCCCTAGGTCTTGCGCGAGCTCTTGAAAGTCAGCAACCATGAGCGCGGTTAAGAACCTTCGGGCTATGTTCGAGCAGAAGGGGGAGATGAGCCCTCCAGATCGTGGAAGGTCACCGGCTATTTCTCCATGTAAGCAGTCATCTGTTTGGTCATCTTCCACTTGGAATTGGCACCATTCCCGTCACCTGTTTGCCCCTGCTTCAACTGCACCTATCATCTTGGGTGTTGTCATCAACCACGACATCAAACATCTAGGCATGGACTGAACTGATGGCTAACACCACCGTCAACGTCTAGCCGAGTCTCCTAGGCCTCTGAACAAAATCAAAACGAGCTTCATCGCGGTCGAGAAAAGTGGAAGGCTCGGGCTTCAACCAGCAGGCAGCAACGACTCCGAGACACCCATACAACGAACTCCAGGCGGCCTGGGCGACATCGCAAGTCCTTTTGTACCATCGGAGAAGCCCAATGTCGTTGACCTGACTATGGAGAAAGCACCAGCAGCGGCGAGCCCTGGGGCGAGCCGTACACCAGCCGAGTCTCCGAAAGCGAACCCAACTGTTCAGAGTCCGACTGACTCTGCTCATGAAACACGAGCGCAGAATGTAGAACCCTCAGGTAGCGCACCGGAGGAACCCAAGAGGTTGGAGATAGATGGGGCTACTGGCACGTCTACGACGGGAAGTGGCTCAAAGTCAGCAGAGAAAACGAAGGCGCCCAACAGAGCTGGGACCGTCACAGACAAAGAGACAGTTCCCAGCAAGCCGGAGCCTCGGACCGCCCCGAAGACCACAACAAAGTCGAACCTCCCCCCTCTTTCAACGTCTGCGGCCAACAAGACAGCAGCGAAGGCCGGAAAATCCCCCATCACTGCTCAAACGCCCAAGATGAGAAGCCCAACAGCCGCATCCAGTCAGACTTCAGCCAAGACCGCTACCCCGAAGCCTGCGGCAAAGACCGCAAAATCGTCTCTCGGTTCCTCGCTAAACAAAAAGCCAGCGATCTTGGCCCCATCGCCGGTTATTACCGGGAGCTCTAAGCCCAAGGTCAAGTCACCTACACGCCCAATCGCTCTCCCAGAACGCCTTACTACTCATACGGCTGCTTCTGGTTCCAAGCTCGGCAATGCGCGCGCCCAGTCGCAGTCTCGCGAGCGTGGCCCTACCCCGGCTAGCCGTTCCTCTAGCAGAGTGAGAGTGCCAGCCCCCGCTACGTCGGCAGCCAAGACGGCCACCTCGAACCTTAAGAGACAAAATTCGACCAACAGCCGTCCTCGCCCCAGTCTAGGTGCCCCTGTGAAGCAGGCTGCAAAGGATCATCCGCCAACGAAGAAGGAGAAGGAAGTGGACGAGGGGTTTTTAGCGCGCATGATGCGTCCAACTGCGGCATCTGCCTCCAAGACCGCTGAGAAGGTCGTTACTTCTCCGCCCAGGAAGTCTTCGGCAACCCCAGGACCTGCTGCGAAGAGAAGTCTTAGCAAGCCACGGACCAAGAAGCCTGCTACCAAGTCGGCAGCACCGTCTGCGGCTACGACACCGAAACAGTCCCGTGCTAGTTCGGTTGCGGCCAAGGTTGAACAGGTTGCCACGGCAGAGGAAGCCGTCAACATTGCGAAGGCAACAGATGAGGAGATGCCTCTCCCCGCCGTGACCGAGACTCCGCAAGAAGTTTCTCAGCCGGTAGAGGAAGCCGCAGAAGTTACCCAGGAAGTCTCCGCACCACCCTCTGAGGCGGAGGCTGCCGCTGCTCCTCAAACCCCCACATCTGACGTTCATGATGTTAAGGAAGAGATGCCAGCTCAGGAGACTGAAGCTGTACCTTCGCCCGCTGCCGAGGTTGCCGATGCCGTCGATGCTGACATCAAGGAGAAGGAAGAGGAGAAGTCTGCCAGCACTCCCGAACCCAAGCACACTTCTGATTCGTAAAAGAAAGCCAGAGATGGTGGATATGATTGCTTTTTTGGTCTGTAGAGTCTTTTTTAATCACCTCCTACTGCTTGTTCGAGAGAGTGGAAGGGGAGCAGTTTGCAGTGTTACTGGGTTAGCACGAGTTTCATGATACCTTTGTAGGAAGACCACTCACACTTATGGAAGAAGTTGGCGACGCATGAAGTATGATAAGCATAAAGTAGATAGTTGATTGCACAGCAAACACCTGGAGCAGGATGAATTTATTCATTTCCTTATCAATATGTGTGATGTCAATTCCGGTGATTGCCCATAATTTGGATGTTATATCTACAGTCGTAAACAATCCGGCAGTTGGGCATTTTGGCTTCATACCTTGTCTCGGATTCACAAGACACGAACCGAAGATGAGCTCTGCCTTGCCAATGTCCATTCCTTTTTGTGTATTTATACAGTCCTTCTTTCTAAGTCTAGTGTACACTGGAATCACACCCCGTATCGTACACGGCGCAATCATGGTTGGTCCCTATAATGCGAGGAATCCTCCCAAGTGCAGTGACTCTTCCCTCTTCCCTCTTCTTCCCCTTCTCCTTTCTTCCCATCAAATGCATTCCGTTTCCTCCAAATCCAATCCATGTTCTATACCATCCATCCATCCATCCATCCATCACACCCTCCTCCTTTCAGCCACAATCGTCTATTTTACCTTGCACAAAACCAACCCACCAACTTTCCTCTCCACCGCCTCCCTAACCTCCAACACGCCTCTATCAGTGCCCACAAACAGACACTCTCCCAGCTGCAACCCCTTCATATATCCCGCGGGAAACCCCCTCGCCACGCGGTTCAGCTCTTCCAAGCTCGCGGTCACTAGGCGCGACGGCTTCGAAACCGGCTTCAGCTCCTTCAGCACCGGCTGCTCGTTCCAGTACTTGAGTCCCACCCACAACCGACGCGTGGCCACGTTGGCCGAGGTGACGGGCTCGGGCTCGTGCGTCAGCAGCGCTTCCGGGGTAGGAGGGTGCGGGCCGCCGCGGGTCACGGAGGCGATGAAACCGGCGCGGTGCAGGGCCAGGGCCAAGGCCAGGTTGTATTTGGTGTTGGGCAGGGAGGTGAGACCCAGGCGAGCGCGCGAGGCGTTTTGAAGGTGCGAGCACATGTCGGTGATGTGGCGGATGCCCATTTTGGAATGTTGGTGCCCGTGGGGACTTTTGCTGAAATAGAGATGGCTTGTAGTGTAGGTATGGGGTATCAAAGAGAGGTCGAACGATGCTCGTTGTCGTCGGAGTCGTCGAGGTATGCGCCGGGGCTTTGGGCTTCGAGGTGGGTGATGCTTGCGGGATTGAAGAAGAAGAGTGAGGATGGCGTATGGGGATGGGATGCGGACTCGGTGCTGCAGCCACGAAAGCCGGTTGAGTTAGCTGGAGTTTCGCGGGACAATGAAAGACAACAAAAGATTGCACGCACAAAGTTGAGAGAGACCGTAGTGGTTGCGCGCAGAGCCGGGTTCGGTTGGTCGTCGCAAGTCGCAAGGCTGACAAACGGACGGAGTCGCGGTCGGAGGATGCGGAGGGACGGAGCCGTAAAAACAAGTGGAGGTAGGTTTGGCGCGCAACGGAGTCCGGACACGGGAATGCGGATTGCGGTTCGGTTTCGAGCAAGAGTCTCGATCGGGTGTGCCGAATTTTTGTCCCCCCTGTCAGCCCGCCCGCCGGCCTGTGTTTGCTTGGCCCGCCGGGGCCGCAGTGGAGGACAGGGATGATTCGAGAAAGAGCGCTGCAGCGCTGAAGAGTGAGAGTTGAGGGACCTCCACAGTCCACTGTGCCTTCCACCAAAGAGTCACTGCAAAAGAGACCCCTGCTGCCCTGAAAGGTCCTTCTGTCAGGCGCCAGATGGGCCCTGCCGGTGGGGCCTTCGAGCTCTCCAGGTTCAGATGGCGCGGATGGGATGGATCTTCAATTTTACCCCACCTTTTTCTTTTGTGAAAGTGTGACAGTTGACTTGCTCATTGCTTCTTTCTTGGCATCCCACCTTAAGCGCCCAGGCGGACCATCCAGTGACCATCCAGGACGGTGCAACCACCGGGCAAGTCTAACAAGGTCACTTCTACCGGCACCAGGGGGTCGCATCACCAACCTATCGAGAGCGTTGATTCGATGGCTTGTGTGCTGATTGCGCCATGGGAGTGACATGAGTGGAAGAGCCGAATGTGAAGAACGAGACCACGGTCTGATGAACGATGGCAAAGAGGGACGAGCAAGGGTAAGCTGTAGGGTATCTTTTGAGACTTGGGTTCCGTTATCTCTGATATTAGGCATGATAGTCCCTCGGTTGGGAAGCTGAGAAACTTCTCTTTCTTCCTGTTTTGTTTTCTCAACTCTCTTCTGATTGTTGTTGTTGTTGTGTTGCTGTGCTGTTTCACTCAAGCGAGTTCATTGATCACAAAGATGGCCGCCCGTGAAGGAGAGGAGAACGTTGGCACGTTGTAAGTTTTGACTTCCTCATTGATTGCATAGAGGTGTGATATCCATGGGCGCATTCTGACTGATGGTTTCTCTTCATAGCTTTGGTGACATCCATTACTTCTACGGTCCTCCGACGAACAACCCGCCTCATCACAGGTTTGACAAGGGCTCCTACGTCTATCTATTCGAAGATGCCAATTTGGGACGCGCACGACTGGAGGTTGCAAACCAGCCTGGGAGAGAGGACCAAGATGCTTTTGACGGATGTAAGAATCGGATATCCGAAATTGGGGATCGGAGCAGTGAGAAGGCTAACATCATATGTCGCCAGACCTTGACCGAACCCATCTCGAGTACGATTACAATCACACCTGTCTTGTGACTTTGACGGTTGGCGAAGTCGATGGTCACGAAGAGTGGCATCTCCCAACATACGACCCTAACAACCAAGCCAAGTATCACTACAAGCTTCATTCGCTCGACATCTACTTTCACAACCAACAAGATGCGTTGCAGTTTGTCAATGGCATCCGGCGTGTGCTTCCTCCGCACCAATGCGATGTCCATAACGAGCCAGGACCGCCTCCTCGGCACGATACCGAAGTCAGCGCGGTAGTCCAGCAACTCGAGAGGGCGGCAATCAGCGACCACAGTACACCCCCGACTATTCTATCACAACCACCGCAAGCTGGCGGAACTCTATCTTTTGCTCCGCCGCCCATGTCAGCAGTATCTGCTTCCCACGATGCTTCGACACCAGAGCCTCAAGCATTCGTTCCCATGGCCTACAACCCGGCTGCGCCACCTGCTGCCGAACCAGTACGATACCGCGAGAAGACGCCTCCCCCGGAGGATGCCGCGGTGAACCCGCTGCACCAGACTCTGGCCTACGATGCGTCCACGCCCTTCTCACCAGGCCTGCCTCCTCCCAGCGGTCGCGGGCCTTTGAGCCCGGGCATTCCTCCGCCAAACCTCCAGCACCCGCCTGGAGCGCCGAGCTTTGCCGCCCCTCCCCAGCACAGCGTGACCTCGCCCGGTTTCGCGCCCCAAGGATTCGGCGCGCTTGGAGGCGGCTACCCGACAGGTCTCACCCAGCCGCCCGCGCACCCTGGCGTACAAAGATCTATCACTATGCCCGCTGGACTTCCCAGTCCCGGCCTGGCCAGTCCTGGGTTTCCGTATGGCCAGGGATACCCACAGCAGCCTGCTTCTGTCGCTGCGGTAGGCGGCTATGGAGCCGTGCCTCATACTCCCACGCCACCTGGTGCTGGATACGGGGCTGCGCCTGCGCCGATACCGCCGTCGTTGCAGCAAGGGGCGGGTTATACGGCGAACGTGGCTGGACAGCAAGAGTATTCGGTTCACCAGCAGCTGTACGTTCCCGAGAAGAAAGGAAGGCTAGAAGAGGGTGCGGGCAAATTGGAGAGGGGAGTGACGGGCATGTTGAAGAAGTTTGAGAAGAAGTTCATTTAACAAGGGGGCGTTGTTGAATGAGGCGTGTATGGAGATTCATTAGCGGTTTAGGTGTTTTTGGTATACCAATTGAACAACGATTTTCTTATCAACCTGTGCGTGGTCGGATGAAAGGGTGTTGAGAATGATGGCATCAAGCGATCGATTGATCTCCAATTCGAAAGGGTTAGGGTTGAGAGTGAACTCCAGACCCACGATTACAAATGCGTTTTGACTTTTTTCCCTTTCATTCACATGGAAGGAAATCGTCGCATGCCTCTTCACTCATAACGCCGTCATATCACCTCCAAATTTTCAGAACAGCGCTCAATCCTACCAACTGCAAGATTACCATTTTCTCACCAACCAATCCAGCCGTTGATTTCAGAACAAAGAATATGCTCATGCGCCAAATCTCCTCCAAAGAAGACCCCGACCTCTTCACCACCATGTCTTCATCCGGAGCCATCACCAACGGTACCACCACCAACGGCGCCGGCGTCACTCCCACAGCACCCGCAGTCGAATACCACCCACAAACTGACGAAACTTTCAACAATGACATCGAAAACAGCAACACAACACTAGACGATGTCTGGGGCGACGATGGCGATGGTGACAACGATAATGATGACGTCTGGGGCGACGGCGACGATTCACACTCTCATTCTCATTCCCACGAAAACTGCAATCACCAGCACTGCCACACATCACAAGCGCGAGGCGGCCACGGCCACAGCCACGGCCATCCTTCCGACATCCCCCGCCTCCAACAGGAACACACAACAGCTGGCTACCGCGATGGCATCACCGTCGCCAAAGCCGAGCACGTACAAGCGGGCTTTGACGAGGGGTTCGGGCTGGGAGCGACGATTGGAGCGGTGGCGGGGCAGTTGTTGGGGGTTTTGGAGGGGTTGAGTTTTGCTTGTGTTTCTTCTTCGGCGAAGGGGGAAAAGAATGGAAATGGAAATGGGAATGAGGATGAGGATATCAAGGACAGGCTCAAAAAGTTGCTGGCCGAAGCAGAAAAGGATCTCAGCGTAACAAGTATCTACGGAAAGGAGTACTGGGATGAGGACGGCACGTGGAGGTATGAAGTACCTGGGGAGTCGAGGGAGATGCATGAGCGGTATCAACATCCTGAGCGAGAGCATGAGACACAACAACAACAATACCAACAGGGGGATCAAGAGGACGACAACAAAGAGGAGGACCAAAAGGAGGAGGAAGACGGAAAAGAAGAAGGAGAAATCCTCTTCCCCGATGTTGCGCTAGCGCACCCACTCATCAAGAAGTGGAATCAGATTATTAGAGAAGAGCTGGCGGAGAGGTTTGGGTTGGTTTGGGATGTTGCGTTGTTGTTGCCGAGGAGCGAGGAGGATGAACATGAGGAGGGTCATGAACATGGTCTTTTTGCAGCGAAGGGAGGAGAGGACAAGAAGGATGCGAAGCCGGTCAAGGCGACGAGTCAAGCGTTGGCTTGGTAGGTGTGGAAAATAAGAGGATTGAGGGAATGAGAGTTCAAGAGATGAATGATATCTCAACGACGTTGAAGAGGTAGTGAAGAAAGGATTCGTGAACTTCAAATAATGAATGATATTTACGCCCTTTCTTGGCCCTCAGGGTCCTTACTGCAGTTGAAACATTGCGTTTAGTCTTGTTTCGGACATCATGCCGAGAAGGATCATAATCATTGAGCAAAAGGCCCATAAGTACGACGCTACCTATGCGATATCCTCCCCGCAATGCAAGAATTCTCTCAATTTTGATGCCATTCCCAAGGGCAAGTGTAAACTCACTTTGTCAATGGTAACAAAGCATTACGAAAGATTACGAACCCAGGGGTTTGGGGTTCACATTTGAGTATTTGACCCCACATCTCCCCAAGCGAGTCGCTGACTGTGAGCTGAACAATGAAGTCCGAGTCAGGTATCCCGGACTCCTGTCATCCGTTATTCAGCAATGGATGGATGGATAGCTCCAGCCTCCAGCCCAGTCCGATGAGCTAAGCAACCAAGCAGTGCTTGCAATCACAACATTGTACGAGGGATCACTCAAAACGCCGAATAACACGACCCCCCAATTCTAACACCATATCCAGCCAGTTATGTAGGGGGAAAGCTTGTAGTTCAGGGATTCAATGTTGCATGATGGAGGAGGATCCGAGTCTCAGATGAGACCCCTCACTCTTTCGGTGGACAGCTGTTACCCTTTGTTTGTGTCGGCGATAATGGATCTGGAGTTGATTACGGTAATCATGACGAATCCGGGTCGCTCCTGTTATCGATGTTGATGAACTTGCAGGTCCATCCCTTTGGTAACGAGAAGATCCCTGATCCCTCTTGGGGGGTTCATCCGTATATAAAGAGGGCAGTGCCTCATCTTCTCTGAGCTCGTGCCGATCATTCTTTATCATACTCTGGGACCGTCTGTTGTCTTGTTTACTTACCTTCCACTTATACATCACACTTAATACCTAAACAGTATCAGTATTCAAGATGGCGCCAAGAATCGCAATTATTTATGTAAGCATCTGTCGTCCTTGATCAGTTACCGGTAGGCAAACGGCTGATCAACTACACCCAGTACTCGATGTACGGCCATATCAGGCAGCTTGCCGACGCTGCTAAGGCGGGCATTGAAAAGGCTGGCGGCACTGCCGACCTCTACCAGTAAGCAAGACCAGGACTCTGCGATGCGATACACATGAACGAGTACTGACATGAACGATCAGAGTCCCTGAGACCCTGTCCGATGAGGTCCTCGCCAAGATGCACGCCCCACCCAAGCCCACCGACGTCCCCGTCATCGAGGACCCTGCGATCCTCAAGCAATACGATGGCTTCCTCCTCGGCATCCCGACGAGATACGGCAACTTCCCCGCGCAGTGGAAGACCTTCTGGGACAAGACCGGTCAGCTCTGGGCCACCGGCGGTCTCTACGGCAAGGCGGCTGGTCTCTTCATCTCAACTGCTGGTCTCGGCGGTGGTCAGGAATCGACGGCCATCGCGGCCATGAGCACATTCGCCCATCACGGCATCATTTACGTGCCGCTCGGTTACGCCAAGGTGTTCGCTGAGTTGTCCGACCTTTCGCAGGTTCATGGCGGCAGCCCCTGGGGTGCTGGTACCCTTGCCGGTGGTGATGGCAGCAGGCAGCCGAGCGAGAACGAGCTGAAGGTGGCGGGCATCCAGGGCGAGGAGTTCTACAACGTCTTGTCCAAGCTTACCGGTGCGTGAGACTGCAAGCGGTATGAATCCTGTTTTGTGTTGTGGTGAGGTGTTGTTGTTATGAATGATCGCTAATGGTGGTTTCTCCGGAAAGGGTCGAAGAGAGAGACGGTCCAAGTTGACCATGGCCCAAAGGCAACAACAACTGCTCCTGTCGTCCATGAAACACAGCCGGCAGCTTCGCAGCCAACGAAGCCAGTCTCGCAACCGAAGAAGGAACCCGTGAAGGAACCCGTGAAGAAGGAACAACCTCAACAGAAGGAAAGCAAAGAGGGGCCTTGTGGATTGCCATCCAAATGCGTCATCCTTTGATGCTGCATTGGGGAACTCCTAAAGCCCGTTTTGTCAGTTTAGCATGCAAATGATACCAAGTAAAAATAGTTTTATCATTTTGTCCAGTTCCCTGTTTTGAAAAGACTGAAGATACATCTGCTTGAAGTGCGCGGTGATGGTGAGGGAAGCTGGTGATGCTGAATTGCATCGCAAACAAACAGAAGGACCCCGCTCCCACAATGTGCCTGTCCTGCAAGTGGAGGAGGGGCGGGCGTGCCTGACGTGCCTGACAGTTGGTGGGGCCAGGGCCACTGGCAGTTGACGACCCACCCATGCCTGCCACGACTCGCACTGGTGCACGAACAATTTGCACTCGTGCACAGACCACAGCCGGTCGTTCAGGAAGGGTATTTAACGTCGACCACCGCCGCCAGTTTTTGCTGGATTTTTCTTCTTTTCTTCTTTAGCTCTCTTTGCCTTTTGGCTTAGATCAAGTGTAGTATCTGTTCTTTTCAGTTTAATCTCTGAAAGTGCTCTACGGAGTACAATCGTGATTATTCTAATTTTTGCAACTCGGTCGGTTTTCCTCTAGGCTTGCCTATGATTACCGGCCACTGTGTCCCTGGTATTACACTGTCTCCAGGTGACGCGAATCTGCTACATATTGCTTTGGTGCTCAAACCTTTTCATTGCAATCCTGGGCTTTTTGAAGCTCGGGATGTGAAGAAGCGGGTTACACAACATGTTGAAAACCAGGGGAATTGCTTTTGAGTGTATTGGCGACATGGCGTCTTGATCCGGTTGGTTCACCAGCCCGAAGTTTTGGTCGATAATCTGACACTATTCCCGACCGACGGTCGGCTCGGATTCCAATGACGCGTCCCGACTCTTCCCTTCGCACTCACCACCACCTTCCACATCTGAGATCGGGCTTACATAGCCTCCTGAGTCACAATCCATCACGATAATGACGACGTCTGTTCTTTAGTTTGTTGAAGACCCCAAGGATTTCATTATTCCCAGCTAGGTCCGAATTTGGCTGGCCGCCGACTTCCAAACTCCACGCCCTTTACTGTCCATGAACTAACGGGCTTCAACAGATATGCAGCTATCACTTCTCGACCACTTAAACGGCCGAGACATGGTGAACCTGAGACGTAACAAATGCTACCCTGAGATTCACTGTACATGCATATAAAGATCGCGACGTTTCTCATTCAGCAACATCGTTTACTTGCGCCTCGTAACAACTGTCGAGCCTTCGCGCCATCTTTCACGTTAAAGATGAGGTTACTACAGGTTCTTTGTCTCCTTCCTCTAGCCACGGCCTTCGGGTCATCGTGGTACCATAATGCCTTCCCCTGGCAAAAGCCACTATCCGGCTCAACCGTCAACGGCGTACATTTCCCATCACTACTGGATGCCGACCTCGAGGATCTAGCTGCCGGGCTCGAGAAAGGCCTATTCACAAGCGTTGATCTCGTCACTGCCTACACCCGACGTATCCTGGAGGTAAACTCGACCCTCAAGGCGGTCACCCAGCTCAACCCCGATGCCCTCACGATAGCGGCAGAGCTGGACGCTGCTCGAAGCAGCGGCGCTGTAAAAGGCCCGTTACATGGCATCCCGATCCTGCTCAAAGACAACATCGCCACGGCAGACAAGATGGACAATACAGCCGGGTCATACGCTTTGGTCGGGGCCAAGGTGCCCGAGGACAGCACAGTGGCCGCCAAATTGAGGAAAGCCGGGGCCATTATACTGGGGAAAACAAACCTGTCTGAATGGGCAAACTCTCGCAGTAAAAACTATACTTCGGGCTGGTCAGCCACCGGAGGCCAAACCGAAGGAGCATACTATCCCCAGCAGGACCCATCCGGGTCTTCATCCGGCAGCGGCGTAGCCATCGCTCTCGGTCTAGCCCTAGCTTCTCTCGGAACCGAGACACACGGCTCCATCCTCGCCCCCTCAGACGCCAACAACCTCGTAGGCATCAAGCCCTCCGTCGGCCTCACCTCTCGCTACCTCGTTGTCCCCATTTCCGAGCACCAAGACACCGTCGGGCCCATGGCCCGCACCGTCAAAGACGCCGCCTACCTCCTCTCTGCCATTGTCGGCCGCGACCCCAACGACAACTACACCTCCGCCATCCCCTTCCCCACAGACCAACCCCCCAACTACGTCAGCGCCTGCGATTACTTCGCCCTGGGCGGCGCTCGCATCGGCGTGCCGCGCAACTTGATCGAACTCGACGACCAGTCCTTCGCTCCCATCCTGCCCGCCTTCGAGAAAGCTCTCTCCACCCTCCGCTCCGCAGGCGCCACCATCATCGACGACCTTGTTTTGTCTGGGTACGAGACCCTCAAAAAAGAAAACTTCTCCTTCGAGTCCATCGTCATGAACACCGATTTCCCGCGCAACCTAGCCTCGTACTTCTCGCAACTAACTATAAACCCGCACAACATCTTGTCGCTCAAAGACGTCGAGCGGTTCACGCATTCCGACCCGCGGGAAGAGTGGCCGCTGAAGGACACGCTAGCGTGGGACCGCGCGTTTAATGTTAGTTCTACTACTTCGGACGCAGAGGCGTGGGGGAATTATACCGCTTTGCAGCGCTACGCTGGTGGCGCGGAGGGGCTTTTTGGAACACTAAGAAGGCATAGTTTGGATGCAATGGTTTTGCCTACCCTTTGGTCGACGACGTTGCCAGCGGTGTTGGGGAGTCCTGTGGTTTCGGTGCCGATGGGGAAGTATCCTGAGGATGCCCGAAAACTGAAGAATGGGTATGGAAACCAGTGGTTGGTGGCGCCGGGGGTGCCGTTTGGGTTGGCGTTTATGGGGGAGAGGTTTAGTGAGAAAAGGCTGATTGGGTTGGCGTATGCGTATGAGCAGAGGACGAAGGTGAGGGGACAGGTGAGGCCGTATTTGGTGCCGAGGACGGAGGTGGGGGATGTTGTTGTTGGGAAGGGGAAGGGAAGGGGGGTTTGTAAATACTTAGTTTCACGACTAGGAAGTCGTCAGTAGATGAAAATCCACTCCTATACAGACAGAGGCCAAGGATTGCACGGGCATAGCCGAAAGGAAAGGATGAAATGATGGAATGTTTTCCTGCTGAACAGAATGCAACTCCATCACCAACGTGTATACATACAACCAACATCGGTCGAATAGCCATAAAACGCCATTTGTCTCATCCATTCATTCCCCTCATCAAAAGCATCCCTTGCGTATTTCACACTCAAACTCCGATTTCAATTCCATGCCCGTCCCGTCAATCAGTCGTCGGTTGGTCATTGACAACATTACTAGTATATACATATAAACATATTGATACCCAAAAAGTGTGTGATCCTTTTCGAGGTTTCCAAACGCTCCTCCCACCTCGTTCCATCCCTTCTTGGTCCTGCGGTACATATACGGATTGGGTCGCAGGTATACGTCACATCAATCATCAAAACCCCCCCCTTTGTAATTCCACATCTTCAGTCAACCTCCCCTCGGATCTTTCGTCTCATGGCTCTGCACCTCTCGTCGCCGTCCTAGCCGAACTTCCATTTCTGGTTATCCCTTCCCCTACAGGAGGACTTTGACTTTCCTTATCTCTCGCCGCTGTCGTACTCCTGGTGCTCTCCGCGCGACTGATATCCACAGTGGCACTGCCGCTTCCACTTCCTTTTTCTTTCTCCACTTGTTCAACTATTGGGATTCTCTCTGGCTCTTTCCCCTTTGTTGTTATCGGTGTTTCCTCGCCTGAGTCACTCTCTGTTGATGTGCGGAAACTTTCTGATACTGAGTTCCGAGCTGTGCTACTTTCTGCGTGGGGTGTTCCTGGTGTTATGTTGATGTTCGGGGGAGCAGATGTCTCCCCGGCCTTGTTGCCGCTCTCTCCTGTCCTGCTCTCCTCTTCCGGTTCGACAACGATGAGCGGCACTGAGTCAAGGCGCAGACTTGGCAATCTAGTCGGTAGGTTTCCGGCCCCAACACTTCCCCCGCCCGAGATGCTCCTCTGGTGAGCAAGCGTCCTGCCTCCATCTGTGCGCGTAGAGGGCGACGACAACATCGAAGAAGTCTCTTCGGCTAACGGAGCAAGCGCTGGTGACGGGCCGGGGTATTCTGGAGGTGGTTCGCTGTACGGAAGTGGCGTCAAACTTGTGGGACTGTTCCTACCAGATACAGCGGCAGAAGCGACCGGGGATCGGAAGGGAGTCAAGTCGTCCAAGCGCACGTCTTCGTACCCTGGTGGAGGCGGCATGTTGACAGCGCCCAGGTCAGCATCATCGGCATCGATCATCTCGGGGCTAGATCCAGCACGCGGGGTGTTGGCACTCGAGTTTGCCCTGGACCTGGATATCGATCGTCCGCGCTCCTGGCTGTCGCGAGTAACAATACTGAACGTGCTGCTACCACCCGCTCCAGTCAAGGGTGTCGCGATAGCCGGCGAATCGAGGAACTGATCACCTAATCTGGATGTGTCGACACTAAGCGAGCTCGAGCCCCTCCGGTGATGGGTGGCAGCTGAAGTACTAGGCCTTCCACCCTGCTGCGACGCCGCCATGCTCGCCGCGTCGCTCAGCAACCCAACTCTCTCGCTTTCCGTGCTGTTAGCCCGGATGCGTGTGCCGTCCGCCCTGGCGACACCCAAGTCTGCATACTGTACACTGCTGGTTGCGCGCGATCGCAACTCCCTGATGCGATTGTGTTCCTCACGGAGCACCTCCAGCTCCTCGGTATTCCGCGTCGTCTGGACCCGCGCCTGCTCTCTAATCTGGCGCAACGCCGCAGAGTTATGGGTTTGTCGGGCTTCTTGCCTAAGTCGTCGCCGCTCCTCCCGCTCTTGGTTCGCGCGCCGCCTCGCTACACGAATCTGGTACAGCGCTTCCATCTCCTCGTCGCGCAGATGCTCCTCATCCTCAGCAGTCGGCATTTCCACCACCACGTCGATACCGTCGCGCTCGCCTTCCCTGCCTAGTACTCGCTCGTTCTCGGCCGGGGCTGGTCGGTAAGCCGGGAGTGTCATGATGCTGCGGATCGACTGGTTACGATTCACCTCAGCTGTCGTTCCTCCTGCTGCTCCTGATCCGCCGGCTGCGGCGGTCCGACCGTTCACCGCAGTGAGTGCCTCCTCCATATTGTCCTGGTTTGCCCGGTTGCGGGTGTTGTACTCCTCGTCGATGCCGGCCTGGGCGTAGGCGTGTTTGACGGCCGGAACCTTCCAATTGGTCCATAGTCGCTTGAAGAAGGGCGTGGGTACGTATCTTGGATTGGGATGTCTGGCGCGAATGGCGCGTAACGTGAGGGTGATGGACAATACTAGGACAATTACGGCAACGACGAGGGCGACAATCTGCGACGAGGGCAAGGGTTAGAAAGCACCATGTGGTCTGGACAAGAGATGGCCTACAATGCTGGTTTTGGTGGGTTTTTGGGAGGAGGGACCATTGGGGTCGTCCACGCGTGGCCATAACCTGGTTGCCATTGTAACAGCATTGGGCTCCAGTGACGGGTGAGAAGTCCAGATTGGTATCCGCAAGTGTGGTACGGGCATTATGGCTAGTGTTTGATATGCGTGATGGTGTGTATGAAGTAGTGTTGAAGAAGCGGCCGCGTCGACGCTCAATGGGTTGGAATTATCGTCCGAGACTATGAAGGCCGATGTCTCTGCATTGCTCTTGGTCGTCGTCTGGTAATGGAAAGCAAGGTCTTGATCCTGGAAGATGCAAGTCGACAGTCGTCACACAGCCCTTCGCAAGTTGACAAGGCCAATGGGAGTGTGGATGTGTGGTTGGGGGCGGTTCTAGTCTCCAACAGGTCGCAATACGCGGTGATATACGCGGTGATCGTCTCTGTACAACGGTTCGACGGGAGTAATAATTCCTTAATATCGGCGGCCGGTGCAGATATGTATGCAGAGGTAGCCGATAGTGATGGTGTGTGCAAAGGTTGAAGCAGTAATGACACAGTCTGCCATCCGAACTCTGATACTTCCACTTAAGAGATATACGACTAAGCAAATGACGGTAGAAACAAAAAGTACGCCTTGGCGGCTAAACAAGTCGACCAGATTGAAGTTGAGGTTTCAGTTGAAAGAGAGAACAAGACTGGAGGAAATCGATATCATGCTCGCATTTCGAAGAAAGGTCACCTAATCTTTCGGTAAGGCGGGCGGGCGGGCAAGCGTGCGACCTCCATGGAGGGCTGGGAAGTGGAAGCCAAGAAAGAACGTCGGGCAGGGAAGGGCCTGAGTCGAGCCATTGAGAAGCCAAACAAATTTGCAGGGGCTGTTGACGTTCCATCCAGGCCATCCACTGGGCAGTGCCGCCTCGTGTTATGTTGCGCAGCTGTTTACCAAACCCCTGGTGAATCCGTTAAAACGGTACTACCTGCACATCAACAGGATGAAGGACAATAACCGTATAAAACATATATCTGTGACTGAAAATATATCACTCTCAAATAGACTACCTCCACCAATCATAAATACCTTTTGGATGCTCTAAACTCATCCCTGTGTATTTACGTCTGCCCCTTTACCTCGGCCAGCAACCATATCCCAAGAACCTCACTAACAAAATCTCTAGTTGCTAGGTGGTCTTAAACCCCAATGTCCAGCTCGACCGTAGCCGCCCCACCGCACCAAAACAACACTGAAGTCCCACAGTGGATTGTTTTCCTCTCCCAGAACGTCCCCTTTCATTTTCAGGGAACTAACTTATTTGGACGACATCAACCACCACGTCCACAACACTCTTCCGCATGACAACGACATCCCAAAATTATCACTAATTCATTTGAGGCTGTTGCTGGCCCTCGGTTTCTTGTCCATGTCTAAGCTCACTGCCATGGTCGGACCCTCTTGTGGCCTTATCTGGGGTCGATGTCTTCGAAACTGAAGTTATACACTACTTCTACCAAGGCGGGATCCGACGGAGTGGCTGGGAACCTCGGACGTCTGACGGGATCACCACTGCCACCGTTCTGGAGGTTACCACCACCAGTCGATCCTCTCCTCTGGCCGGATCGGCAGGCTATATATCCAGGCTGTGCTGGTCTCTCTCACACACTTGTACACTATTTTCTGCGGTTACGCGGTCATAAGCTTGTCTCCTGTAACCCCGCTTGTCCTTAGCCTACACTGACTTGGGCATGGTTGATAGCCTACGGTGCAAAGGGTCCAACAAAAGGGAAGCTTGTTCAAGTTTAGACAAAAAGGATCTAGATCTTGGATCACCACCACGAGCTCTCCCTGCCATTCATCTTCTATTTCCAATCGACGCTAGCACGCAATCAATTCAACGTCCAGACCAATCCCCGCATACGCCGCCCTTGTCCTTGCGATACCCTTAACCGACAGACATGTTCGAGCTAGCTGTGCACTCTAAAAAGACACACGCATACACACACACCAGGATACGATACCGCCTTCACCATCCAATGATACTTGGCCATGCGTACACGGCATGGCCGGGTTTGGGGTCATTTATTGCTTCTTCCTTCTCTGGGCTTGCGGGGTACGAGGTGAGATGCAGTATCGGACTTAGAAATATTACTGACACTTTTGTGCCTCAAGAAACATTCTTATTGTATTTCTAGAAACACTTATGATGTTGCCTATTTCAGTCACCGAAAAACAAACAAACATCGGCTATCGGACAGCCACCATTTATTTGATGGTTTAATGACTACCAGCGTATGTGTTCCAACACAATGTGGTTGCTGAAGACCTAGGTCTACTCAGCGCTTACCAATACCTCATCCAATTTGAAAAGCTGCAAAGATGGACATCTTCACTGCTCTTCTCTTTAAAGATGGGCCGTCTTCTTGTTCCACCTAGTACAGATTCTCGTCAGTCAAAGTCACTCTCACGTAGTCACCTTGAGAGAGAACTTACAGATCAAGAAACAACTTCCACAAAATGGAAAACATCAACCCCTGAAGACCATTGCACAAGATGCGTGTCTTCAGCCCGCGGCCAAGCAAGCCCTTGATGCCATCGTTGACAATGACCAACCTCGCTGCTTCGGCTCCATCGGATATCACATGTTAGCGCAACCCAATCATTCCGGCCGATCAATTCCGTCAAAGCACTCACAATAAGAAACCTCCTTATCATTAACCTGCCGATACGTCTTCACCACCCTCAACGAATTCGACACCGAATCGCTTACCACGCTCGCCACGAACCCGGCAAACGCCAGTCTCAGCAACCAGATTGCCAACTCCCGGTCCTTCGCCGGCTCCGGTATGATCTCCAGTAGATAATCATGCGTGGCATACCAGGGGTAATTGCCCACAAAAGTCGCCGCGGCCGTCGCAAACGCGCCCCACCAGAGACTGCCGATGCCGTCCGTCTTGATGCGCTGGCGGAGGATGGCTGTCCCGCGAGGTCCCTGGGCTTGCAGCGTGGTTTTCAAAGTGTCGATGGGCGTGAGAATCATGCGGAAGGCGGCGGCGCAGAGCGACGCAAAAATGTCCTGGATGGTGATGGGGAGACGCTTGAGGAAGGAGTTGGATTGCAGCAAGGCGTGGATGCCGGCGTTGGCGGCCGTGTCGCCGAAGCGGGCCGCTGGGCCTGGAATATTGTAGTTTTTGTGTGAGTAATGGGTATGTCAACGGGCACCTCTCTGGGGTGGAAAAGCTCACCTTGGAAGAGAGCAGCACCCATCCCATCGTAGTACCGACGCAGACCACCTTGTCGGTAAAGAGCCTTGGTCGCAGTGGTGAACGAGGTGCCAAAGCGGTATTGGTAGTTCATAATTGTTCGCAATGGCTATGTCGACATAAGTAAGTAGGTAAGTATTTGGCTCATCATCAAAAAGGGAGAAGTGAAAAAGAAAAAGTCACACATACCATCAAAAGCAACACCTGAAGCACCATGGCCGTAGCACCACTTATACCACCCCCCAGAGCCCGTTTGAGAGCACCCTTAAAATCGAACTAGAAGAAATAACATTCAACAGCATCAGCATCAATCCCAAGCCCAATATCTGCTCAGTTATACAAACTCTGCCGGAATATGAGCATGAAACTCACGTTGACATCCGCCCCAGCATCGACCCAAGCCTTGACAAAGACGGCCGTCACGGTGATCGCGGCAACCGCCCATAATATCCTCCATGCAAAGTAACTGCGGGTATATCTGCTTGTTTCGTTTTGTTCGGTCTCTTCGACAGTCTCGTTATAACGCCCTGGCCGGTGACCATCATCACCTTGGCTTACCAAGAGTGGTGTCTCCTCGTTGTCGATGGTGGTTGTCTCGCTTTGGCCGCCGCCGCTTTCGATGTCATCGTCGGTGGTTTTGGTTTTGGTCGTAGGTGACATATTTTCATAAACGCAGATTGTTCAGTGCCTAGCACAAAGTTAGTCCAGGTGTTGATATTTTCTCGTCATTCATTCAATTATGGTTGAATTCTGGATGGTTGTTTTGTTTTCTTTTGTTTTTGATTCGTTGAGAGATATCACTGATATGTGATACGCCCGCCGGCCGATCCCAGTCGTATCATACCCCCGCACGCAAAGGATTACCAATCGATGATGGCGTGCTATCTCTAACTAACATCAGCCGTTGACGTTCCGCTTTGGTGTGGCTGAATGGCATTGTCGCCCATCCATCCAGATACATGGCGGTTTATAGAGTTTTGGATTTCTCTCAGCTCAACATAATATTGACGGTTAATACAGTTCATACCTAAATTACTGATTGATCGCGTTCGGTATTAGGATGACTGATGGCTGACGCGGCGCTTCAGGCATGTATGTTCCCTGTCCCCCTTTCTTTTTCGTTTCCTCTCCAAGTTCTTCTTGATCCACTGCCTTTTTGATAAACTGAGCTGGACTCCCTCCCTCTGGGTCTCAATAGCATCAAGCAAAAGCACACATACCACGAGCCAGCGCGCAACTAGTACCAAAACATTAAGAAACTTCATTATTCATCATCGCCATATCAAGGTATCCAACAGATAACTAATTCCCAAGCAACACAACCCACCAAAACAACACCTCATCATTATTACTTTCATCAAAACCAGCTGAGGTAATCACCCCCTAAACTTCTTACTAGCCTCCGCAAACCCCCATCCCCCCCTCCAGCGCAACCTGCATCTTGGTGTCCGCCTCCACCTGCTTCGCCATGAGCGGCAGCGCCTGCTCCGCCAGGTCCTTGGGGAGCACCACGACGCCGTTGATGTCCGCAATGATGTAGTCGCCGGGGTTGATGGTCATGTCCTGCTCGTCCGTCTGGAGCTTCACCGGCACGTTGACGGCTGCCACCTTTAGCAGTTCCGCGGGCGGCGCGGTGCCCACGTCCCGAGCGAAAACGGGATATTCTAGGTCTCGCTGCTCCTGGAGGTCGCGGAAGCGGCCGTCGATCACGGAGCCGACGGCCCCGAGCGCCTTGGCGCGCGTTGACATGAGGCCGCCGTAGATGGCGTTGGGAGTCTTGGCGGGGGCGGAGACGAAGATGACGGATCCTTTGGGGACGTCGTCGATCTGTGGGTACAAGAGTTAGCTTCCATGTCCTCTCTCAATAAATAGAATGTGATACTAGAAAATGTGTTTACTTACATAGTGAGTAGGATGCTTCGGCCTTGGGTCACTCAAGGGAACATATTGGACTGTGTAGGCGGGACCGACGATCTTGGTTGCACCTTCTTGACGGTGGGGAGACCACATGCTTAGGCCGGAGAGGAAACCGCCGTTGCGGTACTTGAGCTTGACGAGGGCGTCTGAGACATCGCAGCTGTTTGTTTAGTGTGTTAGTCTGTAGGTTCCACAACGGGCTTCGTTCTCTTGAAAGAGAGTGGATGGTGACATACGTTGTGTATTGCTGCAACGCCTTGACGATGAGATCTTCCTTTGTATTCGTCATGGTTGCTGAATTTGATGGTGACTTTGATATTTTGTTGAAGTTGTGAATGTGGTCAAGAATAGGTAAATGATAGCCGAGGTTGCGGGTTCACTTGAGAGGGGTTGTTCTTGAGTCTAAGTGAATGATTTGACTGTGTATCTTCAAACAATTGATTGTAAAATGTCTGGACCTTCGATCAGATAAACTGGTGATAAAGATCACTTATATACTTCCAAATTTGCAGTGGAGTACCGAATGTTGCATGATGCAATATGTCATGCCCCGTCGTCGATGGAAGCGGGATGGAAGTGAGGGAAGGAGGCTTTGGGAAAGGGAAGCTCGGCGACGGCGGAGCTGGCATGTGGGACGGTGGATACCGATGATACCGTTGTGGTCCGTTTCCGTCCGGCCGCCATTCAACGCCAAGTCCGCGAAACCCGGGGTAGCCTCAGGGGTTTTGGACCCGGACCCCTCGGCATGTGGCCATGCTGTTTCCATCTTCTGTTGGTCAAACAAATCACAACAAGTCAAGCTTGCTTTCACATGGAGATCCTATTCTGATCGTGGCTTCAACTCGCAATGATCGGCTTGGCACGACAGGTGGCGTGCGTCTGAGATCTGATCATGAGCAGGTTTTCTGGCTCCAGTCTGTTCGTCGACGAAACTCTTTGCATGTCACAAGATTTACTGGAATCTGTAGATGATTCCACGAGGTACGGCTCGATGTTTCCGTCAAGTTCTTTGGAAATTGTGGCCAAGAAAGATCTCAGCTCGTATCAGTGCTCCGCCTAATCCAACCCCCTCTCTAACACCATTCCCCTTTACAACAGCAAAACACTATGGATGATACGTCCTCCCGCCAACTCTCTTCTGCCTCCTATTCAAGAAAAAGTATTGAACATTTGCAAAGACAGATGTCACCAATCCCACGCTTACCACCACCAATATGGCCGTCCACCCCTTCGCATAAAGCGGCTTGTCGTTCCCACGGAACAGCTGACTGCCAATGATACCAGCCGCATTGGCCGCCATAACCATCAACGCAATGGTTATCGATCGTTCGCCGGCGGACTTGGCGTTCAAGGCTGCCCAAGAGGTGTTGACGCGGTCTAGCATCTCACATGTTAGCATCCCGTCGGCACCACAATTCCATGAAGGGAAGCTCGACAAGACTTACGCCAGTTGGCATTAAACGTGATGCCCAGCGTTAGCAAAGCAAACTTCAGATCCCTATTCGTTGACCTTGCCAGAATTCGGTTGCCGAGCTGTATTCCATTATCATGGTTAGCACCAGTCCAGCCAACCTCATCAAGAGACAACAAAAATTATAGTAATGAAACATACCGTAACCCCCCAAAGAATCACCAACCCACTCGTCACCATCGGCCCTCTCCTCCCCAGCCTATCCGCCAGGTACCCCCAAGCCACCGTCGTGCACAGCAGCAACCACACGCCAATGGTAACCAAAGCGTTGGACTTCAACCTGTCATAGCCATACGAGTATACCAGCGAGGGAGCGTACCCTACAAACGTCGTGGCGGGCGCCATGGCTGTGAGAGCGGCGATGAAATGCGGGAGGATGGTCCAGTTTTTGAACTACAAGTACCCTCTTGTCAGCATCCCATCTACATACGAAGAAGTAGAATGGCACAGTGACTGGAGGGAAAGGAAAGGGGGCAAACTTACAGTATCCAAAATCTCCTTTTTCTTGATAGTAGTATGCTTATGCTCCTTGGACGGATCATCGATGATCACTCTCCAATAAAAAATCTCCCGCTCGCGCTTGGAAAAACACTTAAATCCCAAAAAGGGAAGTCGGATCTTCGGGGTTCTTGGGGAAGAAAGTGAGGAAGGCGAGGCCAACTAGGACGATGAAGATCCCTTCGATCTTTCCCGTGCGTGGTAGATAAGCGTTAGCATTTCTTTCTTCGGCTGTACCCAGTGAAACCAAAGACAACAAACAAAATGGACATACGATAACAAGCCATTGCCATCCTCTGAGGCCGCAGACACCTCTCATGTGTAAGCTGCAATAATTGTCAGTCCTGGTGCTCCTCATCTCGGGTCTTGGGGGCAATAGAGGCAAATAACAAACTCACATCCCGTAAGCAATCAACCCGTAAGCAATCAACCCGCTCGCCGCGGCCAACGCGTAATTCCCCAAATGGTAGATCGAGAACCTCTTGCTCGTCTCGTCCTTCTAGTACCATCTTGTCATGGTATACATACCAGCGGGGATGAAGCCGGATTCACATACTCTGTTCCCGGTGTCCAGGTTAATATCAGCTCATCACCGTCCAATTCATCCACTCACTTCAATCCCATCTTTTAACGGGCCAAGACAGACAGTGGGCAAAAAAGAGCAGAGAGAAAGAAAAAAGGAACATACCCAAGTAAAACCCTCGTAACCAAATACGAAGTCAACCCCTTCTGAAAAGCCTGAAAAGTCGCCACGAACCCCCAAGCCAGTATGTGGCATCCGATCCACAGCGTCGGACCGACTTTGTAGAGGACCAAGTTACTCGGGATCTCGAGCAGGACGATTCCGAGTTGTAGAAGGAGCTGGCCGGCGTTGAATTGGTCCTGCGTGATGCCGACGTCTTGGAGGAAGTAATCTGTTAGGGCGTTGCCGCTTGTTTTTTTGTTAATTAGCTATGAGGAAACTTGGGTAGAGGTAAGGAGCACCGTACATGTTTCCTCTGTCGATTCTGTTTTTGTTTTTCACGAACTGGCTAACTTTTTGGATCCGTATGTCAAATCTTTTTTCGTTCCTTGTTCGGTTTTTCTTTCTTTTCTTTCACCGATGCAGGTAAGGTATCCATACTTTCGAACCAACTTCTTTTCCTCTCCCTCCGTCCAGCCAACCACCTGACCTACTACGTCTTCATCTTCATTCTTATTGCTTTCGGCGAAGAACGAAGGGCTTCGTTTTTCGTGTATTATTTCGGCGGCGGCGGCCCTATTGTTGGTTGGTCTTAAAAAACGACGGAAGAAGTTGGTTGTTGTCGAGGTGTTAAGAGCAGAGTGTACCTATCAACCGCCGTGTCCTCTTCGGCCTGGCGCTGGTGCTCTGACTTGACTGAGAGAAGAGTGATTGATGTTTGGCCTCTGCTCCTCTGCTATGTCCCTGGAACGCCAGTCTACCCATCTAAACCAACCAAACACTTGTCCATCTCCAACTTCGAAGTGGGCTTCTCGAAGCGGTTTGGCAGATCTGGTCCCCCCCCAAACAGCTAACCCCATCTTGTAAGACTCGTGTCCCATCGTCGGCCGTCCTTCTCTATACCGCCTAGTTCTAGACGCCTTTCAAACGTGTCCGGTGATGGACAGCGAGACAGCCTTAACTGCAATGATCGCAAACATACCTATCTGTCACCGCACCACCTAGACAAATGAGATTTGGCTTACGAGTTTCAATGATTTGCATACATACTCGAAGTGGTCTGGCAGCAAGTGTGAGTGGTTGCTTGATCGAGACTAGCATCTCATTTCCTAACCTTGTTGATGCCATCGGGGCGGGTTGGCACGCCATTGAAACGCGGGGAAATGGGCCTTGGTATAGGATTATGGGAAACTATGAAGGGGGCCGGAACGCGCAAGCGACGCCAGCCGCACCGTAGATTACGGCATGTTTAATCTTCGGAGAGTTCTGTTTTGGTTTTAGTTCGTACTTATCTTGTTGGAGAAGATCGAAGTAGCAACCTTGAGGCTAACCATCATGTTGAAGTGGAAGTGCTGACGACATATACATGCGAACTGATTGTTCTCTTTCGGAGATCGGACTGAAAAGGTGTTTCGTCGGTTTGTTAGAGTCTTTTCGGTAATTCTCAAGAGCTATAGGGTTCGCGATGAAACAGAAAGCCAAGACCAAGAAACGACGAGGACATCCCATACGCTGATCCTTCAACGATAACAACACTTGTTAACCACCAGAAACGCACCGCGACCGCAAAGAACACACATTTGGCGTTGTCCCAACAGACTGAGTAGCGACCGTGGTAATGATTCGCTCTTCATATCATACAACCAATTCCCAGATAAAAAAGCACTTCGCAATGCATTCCCGAACCAACCAAAAAACGCCTGCCCCAACGAACCTAAACATATGCTCCTGGAATGCCATCATGCCACTCACTATTCCCCTGCCGTTCTGCAAGTAACGAACACAGCGTCCATAGTTAAACCCTCCTTGCTGCACTTCAAGCAACAATGACAACGTCCATACCGACACCATTCAGCAGCGCAGTAGCCACCATATCACTGGTCGGAACCACGATCTCCCCTTCATCATCCACATCAGTCCAGCCCCTCTCGGGCCCCCACCGAATGTGCTTCCCATGCGACAGCGCCGTGTTGATCAGCCCGCGCATCATGGCGCCCTTCCTCCGGACGCTGCTCCACGCGTCAAATGTAACGTTGTTGACGAACGGCATCTCCGTCAGCACGTCCGTCAGCAGGCCACGGGAAAAGCCCTCGTAAAAGTCGTCGGCGCGACGGAATCCGTTAAAAATGCCGTCGCTGGGGTCGCACTCGACAAAGACGGTCAGCTGGCGCACGCTGGTGCACTCGTGCAGGCCCAGAGCCGGGTTGACAACCCAGCCGCGCGGGGGCTTATTCCAGCCGGGGCCGAGACGCATCTCGAGACTAGTTATCCAGGAACGCTGGCGGGAGCTCATGCGCGCGAGCAGAGGCTTCTTGGTCTTGAAGTGCTTGCCCGGGTGGGTGGGGAAGATGCGGAAGGTGTGGGTGCTGTAGAAGAGGTAGCCGGCCTCGAGGCTGATAGTTCGACAGGTGCGGAAAAAGCCCAGCTTCTTATGGATGCGCCTGTAGTTGTCCGGGTCCAGGTCGAGGACGTAGTGGGTGTCGTCGAAGAAGTATTCATAGATCTTAACTCGTAACTCGGCCGGCAACTCTAGGAAGGGGAACGGTTTGTATTGTCTCCTTCTCTCTAATCTGGTGAGAGGCTTTGGGGGGGCAGAAGCTTCACTACCGGTTGCTTCGGCAGAGGGAGCCAAAGTTAGTGCGCCCATGGCTTTGGCGACATCCTCGTCGACTTGTCCGTCGATGTCGCCGTCGATCTCGCCGTCGACGTCCCCCTCGGCCTCAGAGGTATAGGTCGATGGATATTCAGAACCCAGCGGGGTGTTGATATTAGACGGGATCGGAGTTGGAGGAGCATTGTCCACCATGGTCGTGACGGTGCGGGACGACTTCGAAATAGTGACCCTGCGGCCCACTAATTGTTGGGCGGCTCTGCGAGGCATTGTGGTGTAGGTCGTCGTCTATCGACCAGGCAGGCGTACAGAGGGTTTGAGAGATACGGGAGGTGGAAGTGGTATGTAGTGATATGATATCGCGATCCTGGCAAAACAATAAAATAATAAGCAGTCTGTAGGGCTGACTGGCGCCACTGCACTTTCGGAACGTGGGGTGGCGAAGTTGGATGTCAAAGTTTTGGGTAGGGTGAGAGACGGATGAGAGTGGATATGGTAGGATACTGAGTGGAAGGATAAAATATTCGCGGTTTCTCTGAGTGTTGTTTCAGTTTCTTCTGACTCTTCTTGGCTTTAGGCTTGTTGATGCGTCGATGATAGTAGCAGGTCTAGGCTGTCTTGTTGTTGAAAATGCAGAACTCTGAGAGGGTGGTCCCATCGTGAGTACTGAATGCGCAACGACTGGACCACCCTCTAGAATGCATTCGCAGAAGCCATGATGGGCGGCGACAGGGTGGGATGGTAAGTGACAGGGAGTTGTGAGTGTCGCCTGGACTTTTCGATATGATTGATAATGCTTGGTGTGGTTCGGGTGGCGGAGAAGGAGTGGACTTGTGTGGATCACCGAGCGCAGCCGTTTGAGAATGGAATTGGATGATGTTCCGGAGAAGAAACACAGTGAGCGGGAAGGAGAGAAGAATGAGTGGAAGCAGAAGAGAAGAACAGCCGGAAATGGGCAGGAGTTAAGAAGATTCGTCAATTGGTATCGATCGATTCAAGGCTCGGCAGAACGACGTAGGAAAGAGCAAGAAGTGGTCACCTACCGAAAGTGCAGATGAGGGGAAAGAAAATGGATGATGTTGAATGGTTGAATCGGATGGCAAAAGACGAACCGTCTGTCACAGGAATCACTGTTACTGTACACACACAAGGGTCACTCGCGGCATCGCCTTGCAGAACGATCGGTCCAAGCCGATGCATGGCATTACATAAGCTCTCCTCGTTACAGGGTTAGGGGTAAATGTGAGGATTGTTTTATGTCATTTACAGACAAGAAATACACGTACTGTATGGTAACAGAAGACACCCACTTGAACATATCGTTTACCTTGGAGTTGGGGACTTTTGTGGTTATCAAGCCAAAGCCAAATACCTACAGTTCCTGTTGCATAACAAACGTGTTGTTAGGCGAAAAGCAGAGTGATCTGAACCGCTCAGAAACGCTTGGTCAAGAGGTCATGCCCCTCAAATGCCTACCTAGTATCTATCCATATCGAATGTTTCTTTTTGGTTACAACTTGTACGAGCCCACTTTCACAAACCATTTCAACACTGCTCTTCGGAAGGCATTTGCAGACGCACTGCTCGTAGAATGTTCCTGTCGCGTGACATTGTCGACATTTGCAGTTCCTTGAGCATGTGTCCAACTTGAGTCTGGCCAACCGACATGGGGCTTCTCTCACTTCTGTGGTTTCCTCAATGAGATGAAATCCCTTTCCCAAGTCTTTGGAGTTGAAGATCCAACTTGGGATTCAAGACTTAAAGCTTCACCCATGATCCCATGCACAGCCAAATCTTCAACATGACGACATGTCCCCCACTGTCTTGAAGCTTAAATCCGGAAGTGGGGCCGTTGGAGAACGCTCAAAGAACTCGGTGGCCTGTGCACGGCGGCTTTGAAGATCCAGCAACCGACCCCTCTTCCTTGTCTGATTGGGCCAAAATGAGCGCGCCAAGGCTGAAGCTTAACAAGCGACACTGTGACGGAAGGTTCAGGACTCAAGTTTTTTTTGACAGGCAGCCGGCCGGAAGCTCTGTGGAAAGTTGGATATCATATCGCTATCGGGCCCGGCGGATACTTACTGACTGCGACTGACTGCGACAGCCTGCCATTCAGTTATCCTGCTGTTATCGTCACCTTGTTGCACTTTACTACCTAGCAACCAGCTCCCCTCCCGAAGCCACCCACCTTTCCACCACCTCAACAAGGGACACTCGACACCACAACACACAGCTCCAAACAGCTGCTCTTCGTGTGTCCAACCAATTATCAGTCATGATGCTGTCCAGAGCTGCCGTGCGCTCCATTGCGGGCGCGCGTGTCGCAGCTCACGCGGCGTCGCCTCTTCTGTCGCAGCGCACTCTGCCCGCCGTCTGGGCCCGCTCCATGGCCAACGACAACAAGCCTCCCAAGTTCACCAAGCCCGAGAGCACCCCCCAACAACAGGCTACTCCCAAGGCTACCGAGCCCGCCGAAACCAAGATCCCCGCCGAGAAGGCTCAGGAGCAGCAGCAGCAACACAGCAACAACAAGCCCCCTGCCGAGTCCGAGCCGAACCCGAAATCGACCTGTCCCAAGCTCCCCGATCTAAGAGGTGGCATTCCCACTACCCTAGAGTATGAGATGGCCCAGAAGGAGGCCGGCAAGAAGCCGGTCGCCGGTGAGGAGGCAGAGACACAGGCCGAGGGCGCTGAGGGCGCCGAGGCCGCTGCGTCGGGCAGCGGTGGTGGTCGCAAGAAGGGCCAGCTCCCCGATTCCGCCTACGTTTCTTCTACCGAGAAGCGCCGCCAAAAGATGGCCAACTGGGCCTTCATCGCCGCTGGTCTCGCCTTGGTTGGTGGAACCGTCTACTTGGGAAGGGAATGGGAGGAGGAGGAGATGGAGAAGCACCATGATATACCAAATGGCTGGGGTCTCGGCTTGTGGTGGAAGAGAGCCAAGGCCAGGATGACTGGCACCGTCAGCTACTACCAGGAACCCGCCTTCGAGAAGCTGCTGCCCGACCCGGATCCGTCCTTCGAGCGCCCGTACACCCTCTGTATCAGTCTCGAAGATATGCTGGTGCATAGCGAGTGGACGCGCGACCAAGGTTGGCGTCTCGCCAAGCGTCCCGGTGTCGACTACTTCTTGCGCTACCTCAGCCAGTACTACGAGATTGTTCTCTTTACCAGCGTTCCCTTTGCCAACGCTGAGCCTATTGTTCGCAAGATGGACCCGTACCGCTTCATCATGTGGCCCCTCTTCAGGGAGGCTACCAAGTACAAGGATGGCGAGATCATCAAGGTAGGACGATCCAAGACCTCTCAAGATTGCACCGTCACAGTAGCTAACCAACCATTGTCGCACAGGACCTTTCTTATCTGAACAGAGACTTGTCCAAGGTCATCATCATTGATACCAACGCCCAGCACGTGCGCGCCCAGCCCGAGAACGCCATCATCCTCCCCAAGTGGAAGGGTGACCCCAAGGACAACGAGCTCGTGTCCCTCGTCCCCTTCCTTGAGTTCATCTACGCCATGAACTACGGCGATGTTCGCAAGGTCCTCAAGTCGTTCGAGGGCCAGCACATCCCTACCGAGTTCGCCCGTAGAGAGGCCATTGCCCGTGCTGAGCACAACAAGCTCGTCGCCGCCAAGGCCAAGAAGGCTGGCCTGGGCTCGCTTGGTGCCCGCTTCGGCATCAAGCCTAGCAAGCTGAACCCCATGGCCATGGAGGGCGAGGAGGATCCTGCCGAAGCTTTTGCCAAGGGCAAGATGATCCAGGATATTCAGCGCGAGCGTGGCATGCGCAACTACCTGGCCATGGAGGAGGAGATCAAGAAGAACGGCGAGATGTGGCTCAAGATGGAGCAGGAGGCTCAGGAGAAGGCCCAGAAGGAGATGATGCAGAACATGCAGAGCTCCGTCTTTGGCTGGTTCGGTACTCCCAGCGACAAGCAGCAGTCCGGCGAGTCGGAGAAGAAGGCTTAATCGACCAAACGAATCCGCCCCCCTCAGCTATCTCAACGACATGTATCAACACCTTGTGACCATTTTCTTGTACTTTTACCATGTCTTTGGCTTTGCTCTTTTTTTCCTTTTCCATTCTCTGTCTATGATTGGCGTAACTACAGGGATTTACCGGACTTCTCTACTCCGGTCGTGGTATTCTTCCTTCACATGTGGAGCATTGGAATAGGCGTGGGTCACTTAAGAAAAGAAGGCTTCATGCATACTACATAATCTGTCTGAGGGTGGCTTTAGAGGTGCTGTACAATGTCTCTCAACGAAAAAGTTTTATGACAATATCAACCAGTGTAACAACTGGGAAACATCCATTCTGGACAAGAAGTCTTGTTTGTTCGCCTCCCCATTTCCGATTCGCGACTTCGAAGGGCACGCTACTGTGTGACCACGAGAACGAAGGGACCACTGGATAGAAGAAGGCCCACTAGATTGCTTTTGCTTCTTTCGATATCACAGTCGCCTCATGTTAAACGAGGCACCTGTCCTCGTTGTGTGAATGAGCACAGTCCCACCAGTCGAAACCGATGCTTTATCACGGGAAGTCATTGGCATCGAGCTGGGGTTGGCACAACTCAATAACTCACTGCATTGGATACCACATCTTCCAGTGTCGCGAGGACTGTGATATGTCAGCCTTGACATAATCTCAATCAGGGGTAGGATAACCGATACCGAGTCGATGAACTGCTACGTCCCTCGAGCGAACCCCCTTTGACCACGCCGTCGGGTTAAGAATACGGGGAGCACAGTCAAGATGCTGGGCCTTTGTGTTCAGGGTCACTCATCGATGTCTGGAGACCTTTTCACTAGACCTTTCCACGAGGTATGTTGGCAAGTCCCTCTGGCCACCGCCCCCAGATCTCACAAGCCATGCACATCCAACATCCAGCAGGCGAAAGGCTGTTACACTTACTTGAATCATAGATCTCGAATTCTACCGAACTTGGAGGTTACTCTTGATAGCTGTTGTAGCTGTGCTTCAGTTGGAAGTCTCCTCACTGGCCGAAAATCAGTAACGACTCACCACTTTGCACCCTTCCATCACGCAATTATACAATCTGTGCTCTTTCTAGAAGGGGACACAACAATTTCGATCATCTTGCCCTTTTGGGTGGTCAAACCACCATGAGCACCAAGCAACAACAAAGCATATAAACGACATCGGACTCCTCTCTGCAGTGTCGAAAGAATCTCAACCTCACCATCCATTCAATCCTTTCAAACCTACTTCTTTGAGAGTTCCGACTAAGTCTACTGGCTAATCCGCCGCCAACAACATGCATATTCACTCCCTTCTTGCCCTGACCCTGGTGGCCACCACTTCGGCCTTGCCCTCCCTTCCAGAATGTCTCATGAACGAGGAGAACCGCTCGCGCGCCTGCCGTGAGATTGGCCCCGTGCAGAGCAAGCCGGAGAATTTTGACGGCGAGAAGCAGCAGAACCGCGGCGGTCTCCAGGGCCAGATCGAATATGTCGACCAGCAGATCGGCAAGGAGATCGAGTGCCCCGAGTGCAGCAAGAACATCGTCGGCGACCTGGCCCAGTCCGGATCCATCGGACATAACAACATGGTCACTGGCCAAGGTGAGCAGCAGCTCGACATGATCAATGGCAAGACCCATGAGGAGTGGATTGGTATGGGCGAGAAGCAGCAGGATGCCATGGTGAGTCTCCAGAAGAGTTTCTTATCTTGATCACTCTCGATTCTTGACAACATACCCTGACTAACAACGGTTCTGTCACTATGCAGCCCCATGGCCAGAAGTCCAACTTCAAGATTGGCCAGAATCAGAAGCGCAACCAGCACTTCGGCCAGCTTTTTAACGGCCAATCCAACACCCACGGCTCCATGAACATGGACACCGGCAAGGCCCAGCAGGATGAGCTCATCGCCAAGGGCCAAGGTATGACCCAGGAGCTCTACAACGGCATGGGCCAGGCCAACGGCCGCTTTCAGGAGCGCGACCTCACCCACAACTGGGGCAACCAGCTTTACCAGGGTCAGAACGATCAGCAGGAGCAGTTCAACAAGGGCCAACAGACCCAAGAGATGTTCAAGTCCAACGGTATCATCCATGACTTCAACAAGGGCCAGGGCATCCAGCAACTGTACAACGGCCAGCAGATGGACAACCAGCCTGTACAAGGTCGGTCAGAATGGTATCCTCATGACCACCGGCCCCAACCACCAGCAACAGCAGTGGAACAACGGTCCCAATGATATCCTCATGACTACTCATCAATTCTACCAGGGCCAGCCTATCAACACCCAGGAGCTCAACAAGGTCCAAGGTCAAGGTATCCAGCAGCTGTACAACGGCCAGCAGATGGACAACCAGCTGTACAAGGCCGGTCAGAACACCGGTGTCTTGATGACCACCGGCCCCAACCATCAGCAAGAGCAGTTCAACAAAGGCCAACAGACTCAGCAGCTGAACCAGATCGGCGGCCAACAGACCCAAGAGATGTTCAACAAGGGACAACAGACCCAAGAGATGTTCAAGTCTACCAACAACAACGGCATCCAAGCCCGTCACGAGATCACCCAGACCGGCATCGCTGAGCACCTCGATGGTCAGAACAAGCAAGGTCAGCAGGAGATGTTCTCCGGCCCTACCCAGTCCAAGCCGACAGAGGAGTGGATCCAGAACGGCAAGCAGCAGGAGCAATTCTCCGGGCAGAAGCAAGGCCAAGAACTCTTCAACGGCAAGCAAGGCCAACAAGAACTCCTCCGCCTCGTGTTCACCCCCCAGCAAATGCTCAACTTTGTCTCTTCCCAGGGTCAGCAGCAGTGGGTTAGGGAGCAAATCGTTCAGGAGAACGGGAAGCAGCGGGCTGTTTGGACTTGTGAGAAGTGTTGATTATTGAGTTTGAGTAACTGGTCATTGACTGATCAATGAAAGTCTGAGTATGGAGGTGTGGAGGTATGGAAGTGGTGGCGCGAAGGTAGATTGTTTTTGGACGATTGAGGGAGTGAGGGGGGATGTGGAGGGATGTGAGGAATGGGTTGTGGAGGAGGAGGAGGGATGAGATTGTTAAGGTAGTTGTGGAGGGTGATGATGGTTATTAAGATGATGATGATGATGAGTACGATGGAAAGTGGAAATGAGACTTGATCTTGGGCGACGACGCCCAAGACTGAGTAGGCTATAGGAAAGAAGGGGAAAGGGGTATAGTGTATGATGTCTTGGCTTTTCTTCATCACTTACTTACTCTACGCTCGTTTGGTGTTGAAAGCCTTTTTCTTTTTCTTTTCTTTTTTTTCTTTTCGAGGAGGATGATGACGATGATTTTGTTTTAGTTTGGTAGTTTAGCAATGAAGTCGCTCGTTGAACTTTTAGTTAATGAAGAAGGGTGAAGAGACTGAAGCGAAGGTGAAGTGTTCGTGAACAGCCGCTAAAGGTAAAAAGGGATTCGGAACCTCGCAAGGTCTTTGAAGATTCTTTTACCTGCTTCTTGCACTCTCTTCACACTCCTTTCAACCTCTTACTGTACTTTCATACTCTTTTTAACCTCTTTTCATCCTCTCCTTACCCGCTTTTTACCTGCTCTTCACCTGCTCTCGACGCTTAGTCGTTCAATTAGGTATAGACTTAGCCAACTTTCTGCTCTCTTGGCGTATTCCAAAATCATATCAGTTAAGCAACAAGAAGCAGGAACCAGCCACAAGAGTTGGATAACGACCATCAAGGCCATCGGACTTATACACACGCTATAATGCATATACAGAGTAACAGAGAATCCTAATCCAACCAGTCCTCTATCCAAAAGAACTAAGCTACCCCATATGATCATCCCCAACATCAAACATATCGAAACATCATCACGACTTTTCATAATCCAACCTCTTCTTCGCCTCACTCCACAACTGCTGATCAGGCGTCACTCCTCTCCTCTCCAGCCTCCTCCTAGACTTTGACCTCGCCCGATCCTTCATCACCGCCGCACGATCCCGGCTCATCCCACTTTCATCCCTATCCCTATGTCTCTCTCCCTCCCTCTGATGCCTTTCATGCCTCTCCTTCCTCTCACTCTCCGTCATCCTCCTCTTATGCCTCCTACCACCACCAACCAGTGGAATCTTCCTCAAACCCCTCACAACAGCCTTATCAACATCCACCCCAAACACCGACCCCGCCACTCCGGCGCCCGCCAACACTACCGCGCCCAGAATCACAAAGAAATCCATAAAATGCACCACCCACCACAAATGCTGCGTGCCCATCGGGCACGTCGCGTACTCGGCCTTCCACTCCCACTCCTCCTCATCGAACCAGACGCTCAGCAGGCCGGCGTTGCCGCCAAACTCGCCCATCATGCTGCGCACCGTCACCTCCCTCACGCCGGGCATGTCGTCCCTCCCAATAATGGCTTCCTTCTTGGCCTGCTTGTACCGCTTGACCTCCCATTCTCTTTGCTTGCGCTCAATCTCGAATTCCCCGTCTTCTGCCTGCACGAGGGTCTCCTCCTCGACGAACGATTGGTTGATGTAATGCCATGTGTCGCACCCCTCGTGATCATGGCCGTTCAGGATGATACCCCGGCGACCCTGGCCGTTGGCGGGCGCGTCTTTGTTACCCGATATGCCGAGGATTCCTTCCAAGAAGCCCTTGCTGGCTGCTAGGGAAAGCTGGTTTTGTTCTTTGAGGGTGCCGTCGTGGTCGTGGAAGGTGAAGAGCGGCGAGTCGACGCAGACGCCGTCGGGTTTGTACAAAGGCACGTGCGTGAGAATAAGGGTGTAGTGCCCCCTGAATTGCACGGCGCTGGCGGTGTTGATGACGCTGTTGATGAAGGAGTAGGTGTCGTCTTGAAGCTCGGGGGATAGAGCGGGCGTGTCGAGGTTCATGTCGTTGAGCACGACGAGGCGGAGTTCGGGCACGAGGCGGTCGGAGAGCGGGTTGTCGAGGGCGTCGAAGAGGGTGTTGGTCAAGGATTTGTTGGTTAGGGGCAGCTCGAAGCGGAGTTCGTAGTTGATCTTGCCGAAGGCGTCTTCGAAGCGCCCGGTAAGGTTGGTGTTGATGTCGCCTGCGTATCCGATGTCGTGGTTACCCGCTACGTTGATGATGCGCTTGGTCCAGACTTCCGAGTCGTTGGCGGGCCCGCTGGTCGAAAGGTAGCCCGTCAGGTCGTACTCGTCGGCGGGGAACATGGCGACGTCGTCGGGCACGCGCTCGCCGCCCTTGAAGACGCGGTTCCAGAAGCGGTGGGCGCGCCAGTAGAATTCATCGTCCGTGACCCATTGGCTGCCGAGCAGGTCGCCGAGAACGGTGACGTGAGTCGGGCGCGACCACCAGTGTAAAGTGCGGTAGATGTGGGCGAGGTAGTAGTCGTTGCCCCAGTGGTCGAAGCGCTTGCGGTAGGACTCGGCGAGGTTGAAGACGTCTTCGAAGAATATGTCGACGATCTCGTGGAAGCACTGGCGGAGGCGCCATCGGAGCGAGGCATGGCTGGTCTGGAAGGTCAGGTGGCGGAAGAGGCTCTTGACGTGCGGGAAGACGCCCAGGTACTCGGTCGGGATCGAGGTGTCGCCTTCGAGCTGCGGGTCGCCGAGCGCAAGGAGACGGAACGGCGCAAGCGGTCGCGATGGTGTGACGGCGGGTGTCGAGGTAGGATCGGTTTCGTCTACGGGCACAGGCGGAAGCGAAAGGTGCAACTTGACCGTCTCGAGGAACGCATGGTAGCCCGTGTCGGCGGGCGCATTATGTTGGACAGGCGGCAGCGGAAAGGCGCATTTCCCGAAGAAGGGGAAGAAATATAGGTATATCGTCAGAGCGAGGGAGATGGGGAGGAAGATGCGCAAGGCCTTGCGAAGGATCGCCGTCGGGGACCAGGAGAGTTGCGACATTTGGGGATGTTGACTATCGCGACATGGGGGAACCTAGACACATGAGAAAAAGGGTATATGTATAGTAGGGTATAGACCAAAAAAGAGACAGAAGAAGAAGTAAAAACACAAATGCCCTAAAGACAGGCCTCAAACAAGAGTTCTGAAGAGTCCTCGTGGGGAGCCGGGACAATGAGTATCGAATGCCTTGTTGTTTAGTTGAATTCCCGATTTGGAGAAGGGAAAAAGGAGTCAACAAATTGCGCCGCATGAGAGCGTGTCAGCGACGAATGCTCCAGTCGTGTTTCGCCAATTTTCAGGTGAAGAATGCCAAGGCATTATGGGGGGAGTTTGCCGGCGGCAACTGCACTGGAAGTCTCGAACGTCATGGCTGAACTCCACTGGATGCCCCTGAATTGGAGTTCCCCAGATCCATGTTCACCATGTCTTGGCACAAGGGGTCCAGATCTTGTCCACCCATGAGTTCGTCAACATGGGAGGTCGTTCTCCTTCCTCGAAAATCAAGAAATGAGTGATGGTTCTTTTCCACGAACAGGTTCTCTGATCGTCCTGGGGGAGCTATGGAAAGTGGCAAGGCCAAAAAGATCATCTCACCGGTCGCAAAGCTCGTCGACAATGATAAAGTCAATCCGAGACATTGTCCGTGATTGTGTAGCTGCCAACGGCTCCGTGGCCCGGCAAGCAGAGTCAGTCCAACTCAACTGATGTGCAAGTTTCAAACTTTCAGGCACCTTCTTTCCGCTCTCTTCTCTGACTGCTGTTGGTCAGTAACTCATCGACTTTCTTCTCGTTATATCTTCGTGGGGCTCATCGGCCTTGTGTGTCCTGCTGCAAAGTCCCTCTCCTCCACACGGTCCCGTCGAGGCCGAAGCTCCAGCTTGCATTGTTGAATTTGTAGCAGTGTAAAAGGAAAACCAGTGGTTCTCGACCTTCTGTTTTCCGTCGGACAACACAGATCTGAGACAGCTGAAGGTGTACTCAAAGAGTGGCAATAATCAGTTCACACAAAGATCAGTCTTACATTAGATCTTTGCACTTGTGGCCTTATCAGTTGCGTAATGTGTAGGTGAGAAAACGAGAGAGTGAGCTCGAAGGCATGATGGTTTCGAACATTATAAGCTCCCGGGAGCCGACTTCCCTGCTGCATGTTGTTCTGGGAGGCTTTTGACAGATTCAATTCGAAACAAATAGAAAACGTCGATCCGGATAAGAACTCCCAGAGAAGTGTTTCCCACGATGAAGATCCTGCCCAAGCTTCTGTTTGCGGCATTGCTGCTCTTGGGTATAGTCCATGGACTTGTCATTGAACCCGAGGGAACGCAGAACAATGTCGAGCCTACGGGACATAACGAAACCGCCTTTGGAGGATGCACACGCGTGAGTGAATATCTTCATTATCGTCTCCCAGTGCTGACCTGCCTCAAGTGGTATATGACACCAGGAACCCACCCGCTCGACATGGACTTCATAGCAGAATGCCAGACGGAAGATGGTTCATATCTGAAGTCACGGCAGTACCTTGGAGAGTGCATTGCCAACGTCGGTGGTTATTTGATTATGCAAGACAAGTATGCTTTCTTTCTGCGCCCTTCAATCATGATAGATAACTGACGAGAAAACCGTCAGTGGATGGTTTGGCAGTACATGCGGCAATTGCTGGCTCGGCCCCGATCCTGAAGGGGATCTGGGTATGTTTACATGGCTTCACTGCGACTGCTATGATGGCGAGAGGTGGGGAGACACCTACATAAATCTTGGTTAGTAGCCTTTTGAGAGTTCAACTTTGAGAGCCTATCACTGACATGAATCTCGTAGATGCTATTATCAGCAATTATCATGGTTTGCTTAGCTGCCTGGGTCACATAGCAGTGATGGAGTCGTCGTGAGGGAGGGCGATATTTTCGTGATCTGGAGTCACCAAAAGTTCTGCTTTTTAATTGTTGTTTGTGGGGTGGTGGAGGGATAAGCTAACTCAGAGATAGGGGTGCTAGAGGTGGAACGACAATTTACCTAGGAACTTTCCTGATACATCACCAAAACCAGAGGTAGTCACCATGTCAGTTAGAGTTATCCATTTCCCATAGCCAAACCACTTTTTCATTTCTGCCCAATATCTTCCGACCCGAACGCCGACCATGCTGCAATCCTCAAAATCACCCACTGCGCCGCGCAAACTCCTGAATGTTTGCATCCATAGCTTAGTACTCTTCATCATATTCCTCCAACTGCGGAACAGTGACATCAAACGTCGCATTGCCCGCCAACTCAGGATCAACCAGGGCAAAAGCCACAGCGCTCACGTCGGCAATCTTGGAAGATTCTACCGTGTCGTCGTCCTCCACCTTTAGCCTCTTCCACCCATGGCTCAGATCCCCGTTGGAGTTTCTAGGAATTCCATAGACGACCTTAACATCGCCTTCGGGAAGAGGGATCGGTTCGGCGCCGACGCTGAATGTAAGACCGTTGGGGTAGCGATCGAGGAGAATCTGGAGAAGCTCCTCGGAGACCTTGGCAAAGGTCCAGTCTAGCATGACGAAGAGGAAGATGGTGTGGATGCCGCATTTGAGGCGGAGTGTGATACGGGGGTCATCGACCGGGTTGTCGGTGGTGCGAGGCTGGTGTGACAGTGGTTAGCATAGGTATATTGGAGACGAGCTGACGGATGGAGGTTTCTCACCATTTTGTCTTTTCAACTTCAATGATGATAATGGAGCGTGAGTGACGGATTATTGAATATAGAAGAGGAAGCCAAAATCCGTAAAAAGTTTTGTTGGTCTAAGCTCATGTGTTTTTAAGAAATTTGGGGTCAGTTTGTTCCTGACCATCAAGGAATGCAAACGATGGCCAGTGGGGAGGCCCTGAATGACGTTGGTCGGGTGGGTTGGAGACAGACGCGATCCGACCCGCTTTCTCCGCGTTTTGGAGGGGAAGCTAGAAGGGAGCTCGGGCCACCTCCAATCTCTGATATCCACATGCAGGCATGTAGCTGGCTTCAAGCACTGCAGTTCAAGTTCGTCAAACTGGACTTTCGGGGGAGATTTGTCTCCAGTGACACTGATTCAGTTGCCTTTCCCTGTCCAACCCGGTGGATCTCCAACGAACAGCGCAAACACCTTGACGCCTTTATCGGCTCGAGCTGCCGCAGTTGAACTCTACAACTTCCATTGCTGACAAACAATACCGAGGATTCCGACAGAAACACATCACGACAGGAGACTGCGATACCACACTCGACACTGGTCAACATGTCAACCACCGAAGAGCCAAAGGCCGCCGTGCCAGAGCCCGTCCCCGAATACGTTACCAAATGTCGTCTTTCCATCCCAGATGCCGTACGAATCCCTCTTGCGTCGAGCACCGCCTTGTTCATTGGCCTCACGCTCGGAGTGAGCCAGGGCATCAAGACAGCCGGTATGCGCTTTCGCGCCGAACACGCCCACAAGCTGCCGGCCACCAAGATAGGATGGTACTTCTACCACAAGAGCAAGAACTACAATTCGATTTGGGGCGGTGCCAAGGAGGGTGCGAGGATGGGAGCCAAGATTTCCTTCTGGACAACAGCCATTTTTGGTATCGAGCACATGTTTGACGCCTATCGCGGGACGGCCGACATCTTCAACACTGTAACCGCCTGTGTGACTGTTTCGGGAGCCTTTAGTCTATGGAGTACGTGATCGCCTGTCCTTAGGATCTTGTCCATCGAACGCTAATCATGACTCCCTCGTACAGATCGCTTCTCTTTGCCCATGGCGGCCCGGACAACCAAAGCTGCTCTGGCTGTAGGTCTCGCATACGGAGGCTTGCAAGATCTAGCTGGTATCGTAAGAGGCCGACCCATCGGATATGCCGAATTCATCAAGCGCCACGTTGGTGGCTACAAGAATCCAGCAGACGAGAACCAGAAGGAGCGGGTGATTTAAAGACGTTAAAAGTTCAATCCCTTCGGCCCACGCCTTCGCCCAACGATGCAACCCAATTCGAGCTGTGAAGAAATACGAAACACGACGTTGGCTGCTTCTCAATGTTACCAGACACGTCCGATCTCGGAAGCCCCATACGCTCCGCAACGGTTATTCAAGGTCGAAACAACACCACAGCTGTAACAACTTGCAGCTAGTCGGGATTACTGCAGCATTTTATGACAAACCACCGACAAGACCCTCAATATCCTGCACGACAAATGCCGAAACATTGTGGGAATTGAACATGATGCTCACACCAACCGCATCGGATTCCAGACAGATACCGGCATTCACGCACAAGTCATCATTATTGGCCAGTGCGTATCGAACCTCTTTTTCACCATCGGCATTGGATGTTGAAGAGTCGGCGGCTTAGACTTGGGGTGACAGGTACCAGCTGACCAGTGAGTATGTTTAGGAAAAGCTCTGGAATGCTTGGATTGGAACTGTTACGGCATCCAACCCCACTCGCCAATTCCTCCTGTCATCTCTAGCTTCGGCAAGCATGCATCGTCGGGGTATCTCTTTGGCGAGACAGGGCTGGGAGGACCAATTGTTGACCATTCACCAAGGGGCATCAAGGGGGGGGACGTCACTCCGCCTAGTCTCCCCTCAGACCAACCCCAGCAGATCGCGGCTACTGGCGGCCTTTGGGGGCGGCCACGTGACGCCTGATAAGAAGCAAGCGCAAATGATGCCAATGGCTGCATGCCATCCCGCCGCATCATCGCCCGCGTCAACGAAACCTTGACAAAGGAAGATCGGGGGTGTCATGGGTAGTTATCCCAGAGATAGCAAATCGGCTTGTACTTTGTCTTTGCCGGTCGCCTACGCCGCTACTTGGAGGATGGATCTGGTACGTTCTATTTGTTGGCAGTCCAGCTCTCCTCAAGGGGCGAGCCAGAGATAAAGATTGAGATGACGGTCTGTGGTATGTGCAGGTATCTCCGAAGAACGCAGGTTGGTTGATTGTATGGAATCAAGCTGCGTCTATATATCCCACAGTCATAACCTCTTGTCTGTTTTCCTCAAATACTTGCTTCATCATTCCTTGTGTTTGTGCGGTGTTGTCCTCTCTTTGTCTGGTCCCATCCCAGTACTTCCGTCCCACAAAGCATCAAACCTCGTACTGATCACGATATGTTTCCCACTTCCAGATCACCTGCCAGCAGGCAGTTGGTTTGCAACATAGGACATGCCCGGGCAAGAACCATTGCTTCGTCCCTTGGACCTGCCGTGGCTTCCATCTCATATCATCATGTCTCACATTTAACTTCACCGGTCAGGCGTGCCGACGGCGTTGGGAGAACATATTCAACACGACTTATACACTCCTCCACCAACCGACCTAAGCCTACCAACCACCTAACCATCAACAACGCATCATCACTATCAGCAACAGACGAACCTCAGCCCAGCGAGATGCCCAAGACTCCTTCACCACTGGCAGTACTGCCATTAACGAACGTCCTCCGATCATGGATGACCACCACCGTCTCGTCCTCGCCCTTCCTTCTACCACCCTCACTATCGGTCATGTCCGTCCTAGCCCACACCACAAACCCAGTCCTCAACCCGGACCGAAACCCCATCCTCCGCGCCTTCCTCAAGAAGACCTTTTACGCCCAATTCTGCGCCGGCGAGAACCCAGCTGAGGTCCGTCAAACCATCGACTCTCTCAAGCAAATCGGTTTCAGCGGAGTCATCCTCGGTTACGCCCGCGAAGTCGTCCTCACCGATTCCGAGACCAAAGATCTCGCCTCCTGCGCGGCCGAGGGCGGTGCCGCAGCAGAGGAGTGCATTCGCACGGAAATCAATCCCTGGGCCGAAGGAACGATGGAGACCGTCCGCCTCGCCTCTCCCGGCGATTTCGTTGCCCTCAAGTTCACTGGTGCCGGCCGCCAGGCCCTCTACTCTCTCTCCAAACGCCTGCCGCCCTCTGAAGCCCTAGGCTCTGCCATCGACGGAATCTGCAAACTCGCCGCTGAGCGGGGCGTCCGCCTCCTCTTCGACGCCGAACAAACTGCTCTCCAGCCTGGCATCGACGACTGGACGCTCGATTACATGCGCCGTTACAATAAGGTTGGAAAAGCCGTAGTCCACGGTACTTACCAAGGCTACCTCAAATCTACCCCCTCTACCCTCTCAAAGCACCTCGCCATCGCGGCCGCGGAAGGGTTCACACTAGGTGTGAAGCTCGTTCGCGGCGCTTATCTTGGTTCTGACCCCAGAGAGTTAATTTGCGACACCAAAGCCGATACCGACAATCAGTACGATGGGATCGCTGAGTCATTACTTCGCAAGAGCTGGTCCGGACTGCTTCAACCACCTACCCCACACAAGGAAGAAACAAAGTTCCCAGACGTAAACGTCGTCCTAGCTACGCACAACCGCGACTCAGTCCTCAAAGGCAAAGCCCTTCTCGACAGCGGCGTGGCCAAGCTGGGATACAAACAAGTGGCGTTTGCGCAGCTGCAGGGGATGGCGGATGAAGTTAGTTGTGAGCTTGTTGCTGGGCCGCATGAATCACCGAAGGAGATGGAGATGGGGGAGGTGGCAGAGAAGAGTGAGGAGAAAGTGCACAAGCCGCAGGTGTACAAGTACCTGGTGTGGGGATCGACGGGGGAGTGTATGAAGTATTTGCTGCGAAGGGCTTATGAGAATCGGGATGCGGTGCAGAGGACGAGGAGCGGACGGGAGGCGATGGGAAGGGAGGTGGGGAGGAGGGTTAGGGGGTTGTTTGGGCTTTCTTCTTAACTTTGGTGAAAAGGTTGAGGGAGGATCTGGCTATTTGGGGTTCTCGGTGAGTCGCATTTGGGGATCATCATTTTGGCGCATTGCGAGGGTTTTGTTTGGCTTTTTATTGTATCAGGTTTGGCTTGAGTCTTAGCGTGGGTATTTGCTTGACAGATACGATACAGATACGATACGGATGCAGATGCAGGTACTACTACGGATAATTAAGTGGTGGAATACAGAATATCAACTTGATTATCTCGATTTTAGTCCTTCTGTGCTTAAGTCTTGACACCATTCGTACAGCATGATATTGAGTTCTTGACCAATCTCCATCCTTCAGCATATTGTATGTAATGCCAACCATCCTCATCCACTCACTCACTTTGACACATTATGGTACCTGAGCGGACTAATCACTTTCTTTCACGTATTTTTCCCCCTTTTCTTTGGGAGACGTTTTGTTGTGACATATTTATGGTTATTCCTCTTTTATCTGCGCTTTGCAAATGTAGGTGTACCTAGGCCATTGCCATCTCAAAGAATTTCTCTCATCAAGTATTTATACAGACGGCCCTGTATGTCCAAATCTACCCCATAAATCCACACCCATGGATCCTCGTTTTTGAACTCATCATCCAAGCTCCATCCATTTTGTCTTTCTCTCCATGTTCCTCACACCCCATTTCTCCTCGTCCCTTCCTATTTTCTCCGCTCTCTCCTCCCCTCGCTTTCGTCATAGCCCCATCCGAATCTACAACCCCCTCAAAGCAATCCCACTAACAACCAACCCCTCCATCTCCCTCCTCCTCCCTGCCTCATCAACCTTATCTATCCTCTCCACCCCGGGAACACCATTCAGCTTGTAGTACTTGCGCACTTTAGCCCAATCCGTCGACTTGGCTAGCTCTTCGTCTGTTAAGGGGGTGGGTGTGCCCTGGATGTGCGCGGTCAGGTGTTGCCATATGCTTTCTGGTGTTTGTTGTTGTTCCGAGCTGGAAATTGTCGAGTTTTCGCACGAGAGTTTGGGGTAGACGATTTTGATGACGAGGACGTCGCGCGTTTTAGAGGGGGTTAGACCGTAGCGGCGGTAGGATTCGGAGATCTGTTGTTTTGTTGGAGAGACGTCAGTCGGTTGTTTGTTCAATATCCAATGGCAACTGGGGCTATTATTGTGTAGCGAAAGGGAGGGGGAGAACGAACATTGTTAGTAGGACTTAGCCCAATGACAATGTCAGAGTGGACGTTGGGCGTCTGGAGGGTTCCCTCGGTCAGGGTGTTGAGCGCCCGGAAGATGGCAGCGAACAGGTGTGTGCGGGAGATGAGGACTGATGCGTCGATGAAGGCGTACTCGAACTCGGGGTTCTTGCCGATGAGCTGGGCTTGGAGGAAGTCGACGTTTTGAACATGGCGGAAGAGGGCGGCGTAGACGTGGTGGTCCGAGGGGACGTGCTCGATTTGGAGGGTCTCGAGCGCCATTGCGATTGCGACGGTTGTGTTTGTGTTTGCGGTGATGGTGATGGTGGTGGTGACTGGGGTAGATAGAATGCGACTGGTTGGCCTTGAGGGTTTGGGGATGTTGAAAATGCTCTGGCGATTGCTAGGGAGTTGATATCAGCAGATGTGGTTTGTGATCGAGAAGATGGTTTGGGCGCAATACTTTTTGGTTGACAGGCGAAAGCCGAATGCGACGACAAATTGTCATCCCGTCAAACAGCGGGATCTCCATGGCGGGGCAGATCCCCGGGGGCCGGGGCGCGTCGCGCTTAAGACAGGGATCAACACTTAAAAGACCCGCGACAGCTGGTGCGGGGATGCTACGGGCCCATCCGGCCCGCCAACCTAAGGGTTTAATCCCGAAGTGTTTCGGACAGGGCAGTTCGGAGACCCCTTTCAACGCATCTTTCGATATCGGATCTCCATCATAATGATATGTCACCTATGTACTGACGAGAAAGATCAATTTGTCTCTGAATTATCACCTTGGTGTGCCGCTGTTCCGATGGTCTGACATCTTGACAGCCCAAAAAGTGGAACATGGATAGGGGAGCAGTCAGCCCCAGGCCCGGCGCATTGGGCCTGCCGTCGGATGCGTGCAGTCGTCGAGGTTCTCACTTTCAGCATTAGTGTTTTAGCGCTACCCCAAAGTTAACAAAAAATTTTATAGTCAGTGAGTCCCGTCACAGAATTGCAACAACCAACAGCAGACACAGCATTGAGATGAACCTATGTCTCGCATTGTCCACGCTTCCCCTTGCTCTGCGACGACCAGAGACGAGTCTAGAATCTGCCGTGTAGATAGAACACCTGGGATGTCGCTGTAATCGGCGAATACACGGATGTCGCGGCGCACCCTGATTTTGACATGGTGGTCCTCGGAGTCTTTGTACCTGTCACTCCAAAAACTCCACTCAGTCAACCCTTGAGAAACAGCTTGTCGGTGGGCGCATTGTAAGATGGTGAGCAGTTGTGTAATATCGGATAGAAGTCGAAAAAAGAAAAGACGGAAGCACGGCAACAATAGCTTTGTTCCATCGAGGGCTAATCTGCAATGAAACTCTCAAATCCAGCTGGACTGAACGAAAAGGGCATGCTCTTTTTGATGTTTTCAGACATGTTGCCTTTGCCATGCACCGACGATCGTTGGGAATGATTGGGAATTGGACAAGACAATTCGTAAACCTGGCTTGCACGGGCCGAGAGTGGAGAGAGGATGCAATCATGCCAAATCGGGACATTCGCAGAATGGATCTCCTCATCGGCCCCACACCGATTCAAGTCGAATTTGGACAGGAACGAATTGGCAATGGGCATTCCCCTTGAAAATGGAGTCCGTTTTCTCATTGCTTTGAGGACTCGATCGCAAATCATGGGCCGGTGAAAGGCATGTTCTTTCTTTCCTTTCAAACTGATTGCTTGTTCCCGCATCCATCTCTGCACTTTGAATTCCCCGAACCGGCCTCATTCACTCGTTAAAGGTCGAATTTCTGGGACAAACTCGATCCCGGCGCCCTGGACACATCCGTTTTGATTAACGCGTTCGGAACCGACATCCCTCCCCTCCACGGCTTGAGTGCCTCCAGTGCCTCCCTACCTACCTTCCATCGCTTCGACACTCCCCGGTCGTAGTTCAATTAATTATTGGCACGCAAACCCACCACGCGGCAATCTCCATCGCACATCCGTCTCGTCCCTTCCATCCCATCCCTCTCTATTCCCTCGATATACCATCACCACCACCACCTACTCGACCGCCCTGACCACAGTCTGGTTAGCGACTCGGCGTGACAGCTGAAGCCTCCAGCTTGCCCATCGGCGCCGTCGCTCATCCGCTCGCTTGCTCACTTTCGCTGCACCTCCACGGCCGAACCCGTTCCAAGAAACCACCAGACCGACAACAGACCAACCGGTTCACTGCCGACGACGCTCACTGCTATCTGCTGGTGTTAGCTTGCTCCAACTGGCCACAACACCACTCTTCACACTGTCATTTCGAATCGTCCCAACATCACCGAACAAGACCACGGCATCGAGTCGCCCGTTCGCGCTCGGTTGAGCCCAGGCCCGGCCCGCTCTTCTACCACATACCTGGTCGGTGTTGGCGCAAGACACCAACATACACGCCTTGCTATAGTCTACAAATCCGATCCAACATCGAGTCTCGGACATCATGCCCCCTGGCCGTCCCCCAAAGCGCCCAAGCGAAGCTGGCGACGCCCCTCTCGACAATGGCTCACAGCCCAAGATGAAGCTGCCTCGCCTGGAGCGCAGCACCGAAGATTTCTCGAGCGTTGTCAAGACCAAGCTCTCACAATACACGCGGACGGGTCAGGCTTGTGACAGGTGCAAGGTACGTATGCCCCGTCCTGTCGCTCTGACAGACTGCGCGTGCCCAACCGGCATCGCGTTGTCGTAACATGCTAATTCCTGTGCGTCCCCAGGTCCGAAAAATACGTTGCGATGCCTCCCCTGCAGGCTGTTCCCATTGCGCGAGCCAAAACATCGAATGCGTTGTAACAGACCGTGTAACGGGCCGTACCGAACGTCGGGGCTATACTCAACAACTCGAAGCCGAAAACAACAGCTTGCTCAACCACATCAGATCCCTTGAGAAGGTTCTGGAGGACCACGGAGTCGAAGTCCGGCCATGGGAAGGGTCAAGCGCCAATAGAAACCCCTACCCTCCTGGTGTCACGTTGGATGCCATGGGGAATCCCATCCACGATCCCATGTCCCAGGGCGAATGGCAGCAACAAGGCTCGGTGTGGGTGAGGAAAAGCAGGCAAGGGCCACAGAACACACCAAGTCGTTATACGAGATGTTCGCTGTTGGAATCGAGACCGACAGAGAGCTACCTAGGCGTCAGTTTGGATAGCGAACCTTTGTCTTCAATCAAGGGCACGACTTTATCCGTTCTCGGGACTACGATCGACATTACCTCTTTCGACGCCCCCGACATGGATGAGCCCTCGCCGACTACCCCCACCGGATCACCGCTGTACAACAAATCGGTCATGGCCTTTTACCAGTCGATTGTCAGGATAAACCCGCCAATGGAGCACTGCGATCTCCCTTCGAGAAACGACGCCTTTACCTATGCCCAGTGGTACTTTCTCACCATCTACCCCTTTATGCCACTAGTCCACCGGCCCTCCTTTATGCAGCTTTTGGGTCGCATTTATGATGAACCAGGCTTCAAAGCAACGGTGCCAGAGCTTGTTGTCGTACACATGTTGTTCGCAACAATCTATTTTCAATATGGGGTTAGGAATCGTGAGAAACCAGAGGAGCACGCCCAGCTGAATAACCTTTCCAACAAGCACTATCATTGGAGTTTGAGTAAGTTCTTTGAACTTGCCGTTTCGCAGACGGTTACCGCGGTTCAGGCTTTGGCCATGCTCGCGTCTCACACTCGCAACTTTCCCAAACCGGGATGCTCCTTCACCATTGCCAACTTCGCCATGATGAAGGCTATCGAACTGAACTTCCATCGGAGTAACAGGATACCGAATGGCGGTACAACTCTTGAAAACGAGCTGCGCAAGAGGGTGTGGTGGTCTATTCTGGGTATCATCATCACGCTCAACGGCCGACTTGGCAGGCCAATGCCCATTACATTGGAGGAATTCGATATCGAGTTCCCAATCGCTATTAATGATGAGTATCTCGGAGAAGATGGCGTCTTGGACCCGTCCAAAATCGGCCATTGCTGTTATCAAATCGGGCTCGCCGGCTTCCGGGCCGTTCCTCTATACATGGAGATGTATTCCAGCATTTACAGCGTGAGGCGTGATCCGAAGAAGTATTTGGATGTTGTTTTCGAACTCGAAAGAGCAATGGAGAAGTGGAAGTCCGAACTCCCCGACTGTCTGCGAGTGGATAAGTGTCAGCATACCGAATCGGTGTTTGCACTGTATACCGAGGCCATTAGTCTCGAGTTTCACCTTTGTCTTAGGCATCCGTCGGTATGTCTAGAAAAGGACAAAGCTTTCTGTGCCGACAACACAAGGAAGTGTGAGGAGATAGCTCGGAAGCTATTAAAAGTGCTAGGCGAGTTGTTGAAAATCAAGTCGCTGGACACAACATGGTACCAGTTATCGGTATATGTTGCCTCCATTTTGTCGATACTGGTCGCGAACTGGGAGAGGCGGCATGAAATAACGCATGTGGAAATCGCCACTTTGAGGGCGGACATGGCGTTGGGTCTCGAGATCATCGGCGAGATTGGTCGACTACTTGGTGAGTGATTTCGGCCATCGCCCTACTGCCCGTGCTAACTTTGAGCAGGCACAGGGAATCGACTAGCAAGTGAAATTGGTACAATCACCGAGCGAACAATCGCATGGATCGAACGTGACATGACCCGTAAGGATGGCTTGTCAGTCGATCAGACCATAGTCAAACAACCATCAGTATCACCATTCCAGCAGCCTCTCCTGCCGTTCAAACAACCACTCAACGGCAATGGTATGCCATCCAGCAACTCGGTCACATCCAACGACCACCGCAGCAGCGTGAGCACAAACGGGACGGGGTACTACGACGGCTCAGCAACCCCCTACCAAACGATGTCCCTGAATGACAACGGCCACCCAACCAGCAACGGCGTCAACCTAGCACCCTATGACCCCTCCGGCGGAAGCGCACAATACCTCTACGCAACAGCCACCCCAACCTCCACAACAGCAACTCCGCAAAGCGTCACCGCAGCGATGGACCAAACCTCCTCCGCCACCAACCCCCTGATAGCCTTTGCCTCTCAAGCCACCCAACACGTCTCCGCAACAGGCCAATCGGGCACCGGACCCGAAGACTGGCGACCACTACAAGTCCACCCGCAATTTGCAACAGCTTCCAACACACCTAACAATAACCCCTGGCATGACTGGGCGGCGGCCATGGCTGATTCGCAAGAGCGGTACAGCGCCAGTGCGCTGCTGACTCTCGGGTCGACCAGGCCGGGAGAGGTGTCTGGGGCAGGAATGGTCGGTCATTCGCATGCGCATGTCAACGGCGGAGCTGGACACGGAACCGGAGGCGGAGCTGATGGGTTGGGGGTCTCGATGGCAGTCTCGGCGGCAGCGTCGGCGGTAGGTGGTGGTGGTCAATGGCCGCTGCTATTGTTTTCGGACGTTATTGGGAATGGGAATGGCTCGTAGGGTGGGCTGACTGTTACCGAAAAAGAGGATATGAAGGAGCGGAATTTCGACGAACTGAAGAAGGGATTGGGGAAATGTAACAGATGGGAGGGATATCTGCATGAGCGAGTGGAAGCGTGAGCGTGCGATGTTGTTGTGGAAAGGACTGCGGCAGCAGATCGTCCTCCTCGGATGTCTAGCTGGCGTCGCGGTTTGGCTCTTTCCTGTGCGGTGGTGTATCCTCTCTGGTCTGCTCACTGGTCTTCTTACTGTTTTATCTGTGGTCTTTGCCAAAAATGCAAAGGAGGTACTAGGAAAACCGAGGTGTTCTGGGAATAGGGTCAGCTCTCAGGGAGAACCTAGGGTTGGGAATGAGAAGGATGCGGAAGGGCGGAACTCACAAACTGGAGAAGATACATCGCAATCGAAGAGAGCTAGAGGAGCTCGTACGGGAAAGGGAGTGGGAGGAATTTTGGGATCGCTCCTGAATGCCGCATTTTTTGCGGGTCTCATTGCGGCTGCGGCTACCGCCCTTCATTTTAAGTCTTATTATCTGTTGGGTCAGATCGTTTTGGTCTTTTGGTTGTTTCTGGGCGGCCTCCAAAGGAGGTAAACAGGAAAAAGCGAGGTGTTTGGGAGTTTTTGGAGGGAGGATCCGGTCTGTCTCTGTCTCCTCTCAGACAGAGGAGCGTTTAATCTTTAGGTTGGCATGGGCATGGGATGGGACAACGATGGACGGGAACCTGCTAAGCAAGGATTTGGTCAATAGGACGGGCAATCGGGCGTTATGTGTGTAGTATTAGGTGCTGCTTTCTATGCTCGTTTTCTTGCTTTGGGGATGGGATCTGGGTGTTGAAGGGTTTCCGTGATTATGCATTGGGAATGGCTGGGAGCTTAAGGAGCTTTTGGAGCTAAGGATCTGTTTTCGGGTATCGGCAGTTGACTGACTGTTTTTAACATTCTTAGCATTAGGACATATTATTGAATCAAACCAAAATTGGTATCTTACGGCATAGCATGTTGAATGTCCATCACAGCTGAGGTTCTAAGGGGATCTTGAAGGACATTCCATGGCAGTAAGGTGGGTAGCACTAGCACAGGCGATATACAGATCAGGCTGTGTATCTGCGGATCGAATCCATCGTGTGGCAAAGAGTGATGAGGCAGAGGTGGTACATAGCCCAGACTGTTTATCTTTTCTTCTCAATGCTGGATGGGAACAGAAAGGACAATCTATATCTCCAACCACCCTAGTTGACATTCCTTTACTCCTATGCTATCAGATGCCTTTCAGTAACGGACAAGTAACGACAGTTGTGTACCACCAGTGCCTCATTACTCTTTGCCACAAGAGGAATCCGATCTCACTGCCACAGCTATAACATCTGATATCCCCATTCTGAGACATATGATGAGTCTGGCGAGCGATGTTCACCGAGCAGTAAGTTACAATAAGTGGGACGCAAACGCTGTACCATAAACCCTTGCCGAACCTAACCATCTACACAGGCATGAGGATCAAAAGATCAAAACTTGACCGGATAGATCGTGGAAAAGATCTCCGCCATCCAAACACACAACACAGACACTTGGACTCAGAAGAAGCTCCATAGACATGTAACGGATGTGAACCTTGATAAACCTCGAAAACGAACCACCAGGGTCATGCTATTGGGGTCATTAGGGTCACTTGGGGTACTACCATGAGGCGGCGGTCTCCATTCGGCTCAACCCGCAAAATTTCTTGTTACCATGCTACTTGATGTATGTGTGTCAGTTTATCTTCAGAACCCCACCCCCCCCCCCCCCCGGGAAGTCCTCTCCGGCCGGGTCTGGGTGCCGGTGGGGCGTTACACTCAGATTTGGGAGATGAGGTTATCTAGGGACGTATCGGTGTGTTCCATTGGACCCTCCAGTTCGGGAGGTTTCTGTGCTCGGCTGCAGTGCTGAAAGTGGTGGGAAGAAAGCCTGAGAAAGGATGAAGGATGTGAGCTTGGTGGTGGTCACGAGGACATGGACATCACCGTCGTAGAATCTTGGGAGAAGTGGGGAGTTACGACTTACACGACCAATCCAGTCCAATCCGGCCAATCAAAATGCAGTATTTCCACGTTTCACGACTTGAGCATCGCACGGGTCGACCGTGCTTTTGCCTTTACTGCAGGTTTGTTGAGGGTCCCTGCAGAGTCGAACGTACTAGAATCAGCAGATTCGTGGAGGAGTGGAAGATGGGATGGGCCGATGCGGGGCAGTGAGAATTTATGGAGATATTGCGCCCCATCCCTCCATCCATCGATTCCGTTCACGCGCAGGAGGAGGTAGTGGTGGTGGTGGTGGTGGTGGTAAAGGAGTTCACTACCGTAGATTTCGTTTCGGATTGGTGTGAACTTGACCGGCTTTGTTCATGCTCCGGAGGTTAATTGCTTTCTGCTTTGCTTCGGATATCGGTGAGCTCGAGAACTTGGAATCCTGGAACGGGGCCGGTATGGGATACCTTACCCGCTGAAGAAAGGAAATCGAATGTGAGCAACAGGGAAAAGGAAGCGGCCCCGACGTCGTACACATGGCCGGCTCCGTCCATCTCCCACATGTTTTTGTCTTATTTAATCGATAAGAAGTGCCCTGGTTGGTGGCTCGGTCGATTGGGTAAGCCAACACAACTCTCACATCGACGTCAGTGTTGGATTAATCTGACTACAATTTGTTCATCGCTTTCCGTCCGATCTTTTTTTCTATCCCACTCCATCTCCGCATTAACTGATTCAGGCCTACACCACTTACTACCCAGATCCGAACGGCTTGCTCTTTTCCCCAGAACGTTAGGACTCGGGGCTATTGGGTATAAGAGTGTGACTCGACCACTCTACCTGCCTATCACATCTTTACATAGTGCTGGACATACATATAACACGGCTCACGAATATTACATATCTACGAGTCGACGCACGACTAGAACAAACATACATCAAATTCATCACTATCATCGTCGACATCAAACATCTATCACTCACAGGGTTTGAAGAATATAAAGCAACAAAAGACTTACTTTTGTATCTCACACAATGGCTTCTGCTCCAAGCCAGACCCGTCTCGACGGCTTGGACACATCCGTAAGCCATCCACATACCTATCCACCAGCCCACCAACCCAACCACTGCCGCCGTCATCACCAGTCTCTTCCCATATGGTCCAACCCATGCTAACACAAACCACCACAGTCCCTCTCCGAAAAAGACCTCCGCATCTTCCGCCTCTACGGCCGTCTCCCCGCCGGCGCCAAACCCTCCCGCTCCTCCTCCCTAGCCTCCTCAACCTCCACCTCTCCTTCCACCTCCCCACCCAACTCAGGCTCATCCCTCCAATCCGCCACCACCACTTCCAGTACAACAGCAAACGCAGCAACCACCCGCTTCACCCGCCACCTCAAAGATCGCAAATACTTTGACTCGGGCGACTACGCCCTCTCCAAAGCCGGGCGGGGCAACAGCGTGGATGTAGGCACGATTGGGTCTGCGCACCCCGCCCCTGAACAGATTCCGCATCCGAGTCCGTTGTCGATTATGCAGAGGAGGAGGGGGTCAAGTGTTTGTAGTGGGGTTAGTGGGAGTGTTCCTGGTTTGGGAGGGATGGGAGGTTTTGAGGACGAGGAAGTGATGGGAGAGTTACCTGGTTTTGGTGGTGGTGGTGGTGGTTGGGGTTGCTGGAGTAGGAATGGAAATGGGAATGGTGCGGGGAATGGGAGGTATAGGAGGTCGAGTTTGAGTGCGGCGGTTATGGGTGCTGGTGGCGGGTTTGATGAGGATGGGGAGGAGGGCGGTGGTGGTGGGAGGAGATAATGGGGATGTGGTAGAGTTGGGGATGAGTTTTCGTGCTATGGGAGAGATTGTTCAGCCTGATGGTTCCAGATCGCAGTTGTTAAGTGTTTGGGCCAAGAACGATGTATCACTATGGATGGGACCGCAAGGAAGCCGGCGTTTGGGATGTATGCAGCTGGCTCTATGGTTTTTTTTTTTCTTCTTTTTTTTTTTTTTGGTTATTTTGCATCATCGGGGCTTGCGGGTAACGCGTTTGGGCTGTTGGTATAATTTGGGTTGTTTTTCGGAGCGTTCAATGTGTGGATGTATAATCGGGATATTGATGATGAATGTGTTCGTACCGGAGGGCTGAGAAAACATGTCAGTTCTGAATAGCCATTCGTAGTTAAGCACATTACTGATCTCAATGCAAAGTGCAACTACTCACTATTCCCAATTTTTGGATGATGTTTAGGTGGTTGTGTACTCGGATTCCGACCATATTGTTTTTCGAAAACCTACCTGAACAGCGGTAATGCACGAACCATCAGTACACCTCGCTCGACTTGTGTCGCGACCTCCTTCTTTACCGTTTGCTCCTTCCAAAGAAGAACATTATTTGCTTTGCTCGATGTGGCAGTTCGTCGCCGACCGTTTCAACCTTTTTCTGGGGCTAATTTCGTGCTGGCTTCAGTTGTCGTGTTCCAACAATCTTTGTTCTTCCTCCTCCTTTCTTTCAACTGCCAGATGATTTGTGCGCCAGTCTTCGCCATTTGAACCCGACATTTTCTCGCCCATTCCCAGCTCTTTTCTGCTTACAGTTCAATAATGATATCTTCTTTAGTTTGGTCTTTGATGACAGTCGAAGCTCTTACTAGCCTTGCAATAGAGGAACTGTCCTACGTTTGACGCGAGATGGGATGATGTCAAGGGTTTGAGGCGCTTTAGAAACCACTGATGGGTATCCTCCTCTACCTCTCTCCGTCTCCTTGAATGTCTTGAAGACTGAAAATTATCAATCCCACGGCGCTCACCAGAACGAATGCCGGACGCTCTCCATTTCCAGTAAGTCTTGGCTTTTCCTTTTATTGCTGTATCATGCTAACAAACAAACCAGGGCTGGATTAAAAAGTTTGACTGGTTTAATCCTGTTCGATGGCAGCAGTCAGGATAGTTACATATGTTCCGACCCACTTGGTTCACCGTCGTTCACCGAGCTCACCTCATTCACCGTCCAATACTACCCTGATGGAGACAATTCGTCGTTTCTGAGTGGGCATCATGGCCTGGAGGGGTTAGAATGCAACCCTGCTGGGCGGCAAGGTCAACGATAGGCTATCGTTCATCTATACTGGCCGAAAGCCTAGCTAACCATGAACTTCCCCTCTTGCTTGAAGAGCTCACAGCCCCAAATCCACATATCTATCGGCTCTGTTCAGGCGCAGCATGGCTTGGTGAAGGATCTCGCCATTTTCGCGCTTTCCTCGTCCATGTCTTCGAGTGTGTGAATCTCACGTTTTATCTTCGTCAGTCCATTTACACGCCGTTCCCTGTTTCGTCTTCTCGCACATCCAGCAAAATACCAGGACAGTAGCTCTTCAGATGCGACGCTTTCACTGCCCGTCTTCACTATGGCTTCGGACCTTCCTTCCCTGCAGGTTGATCTCACTGGGCTTGGCCAAATGATGATGACTATGGGTGCTGGCGGCCTCAAGAAACTGGCTTCATCTGGAATAGATATCCACACAATCGGCTCCATGTATGCTTTGGGGCAGTTGGCACCAGCATGTCAGGATTTCCGCAATCGACTTCATAAAGCCCGACAAGAGCAGAGAAAAGAGCAGTGGTGGATAGGATTGGTTGAGTTGGGTGCCGGAACCAATTTTGTCCTCGATGAGTTTCTCAAGACGCGCGCCGGCGAGAATGTCATCAGCCTTTTGACACCAATCATTTCAGTTTTGGACGATCAAGGCTCAAGCACACTTATGTCAAGTCTTTTTGATCACATGAAAGCCCCTCTCGAAGATATTCCCGGAACGGGAAGACTCCAAGCTATACGCTCTATTGCTCTTCCTATCGCACGCAAACTCGGCTTCGCTGAGCGTCTGGCAGAAATGCATCGCTGGCTAGGCTCCAACAGATTCCGGGCTGAAGGTGGTCCAGTTGACCTTCCATTGAACGATGCTGTCCCCGCCACCGAGACTGCTGTGGTTGTTATCACGGCTCTTACTACGCTTATGGTGCAGTCTCACAACAAGACCAAACGTCTGGTGTTCTGTGGCGTGCGTGGAGCCGCTTGGGTACTTGTGTATGCCTCTCTGGTTTTGGGACTCGGTGTTTGCCTGGTTGATAAGGAGGGAGTGCCCGTACCTGTCACGCAACCGTACAGCTCTGCAGTAGTTCTGATCATCCCTTCGAAACCGGAGAAAGTTAAGCTGCAGACTTTGATCACGTCAACGGACCAATTGATTGAGGAACCTCAGTTACTAAGCAGTACTCTGGGTATGAACTGGCTGGTTTCCTGTGGTCCAGAGGGTATCAACCTCTTTTCGCTCATCTGTGGCTGCGATTTGACGGATCACTCACAGATTGGTTCAGTCATTTTCACTATCGCCATGGAGTACATCAAACAATACGAGGATGGGTTGCACAGGAACGGCGAATGCCCCATCATGCCGGAGTCCCTAGTCAACAGCAAATCTTATCAGTGGTGCGCCACGGAGACGAGCCAACAGAAAAGTCATCGCGTGCGGCTCGTTTTAAATCGATTTGGCATAATGGGCCCATACACTCAACTCGACGACGTGTTCTCGAACCACCTTCACCATGTACCGCCTTGGGATGGGGAGGAGGAACATGAAGCATATATCAGTATCACAGATAACTTCTTCCAGCACCTGGGATCTGTTACCATTCAGGGCTCTATCATGCAAATTGCGGAGCCCTGGGCATATTCTCCTGCCCATCAGTCCAAGCTAAGAAAGCGTGACTGGAAGGATATCATCAGAGCACTGTCTTTTGTTGCCGCAGTGCTCTCACAATCTAACTGGGCGGAGGGGTCTGGTAACTTATGCTACGAGACATTGAAGAAAGTTGCATTTGGCTCCGGCCTCAAGGGTATGAACCATAAGGAACGACAACTCCAAGATACCAGCGAGGAGTGGCTCTGGAATCTTTATTACATTGGAGCCATAAAAGACCTTATCATGGAGCTGGACATCCACCTGGAAGAATGGGAGAATGAAACCGAAATGATACGTAGGAAGTACAAATGGTCGCTCAACATGTTTGATGCTTTTTCCGCCTTATTCATGGGGCCTGCACTGCCTCCCCACTATGATGGAATACAACCAGGGGATGCAGTCGGTATTGAACTGGATGGGATCCTTCTCCTGGACTCATATATGCTCGAAACATCTTTGAGGAATCGGCCTAGATATGAGATTGGCCCAGGGAGATTTGTTCTCGACGGGGAACGGAGAAGAATGATCAGGGTTGGAAAACGAGAGGGGCACCTTTGGTCCTCTGCCATCACAAAATCGTCCTCCGTAAACGGCGCAAACGCGGGAAATGGGCAGTCGAACATTTTTGCCGCGTTCTCCTCTTCCAAAGTTGTCATCAGAGCTTCTCTATTCCTTGATGCCATAGTCCTCAGCTTCAGCTTGTATGCAAAGGGTCCTGAAATAACGATCGATGAGTTAGAGGTTGACCCCACGTGGATCTGCTCCAGCATACGTCGGACGGTTGTTGGTTTGCCTTGTGGACACGACACGTCCACCGCAGAAGCAGCAAGAGATTCACGGGTTGTTGTCAAAGACCCACTCAGCCCGGGGGTCCCTCGGATCCGTCAGGAAGAGTTGGGTTCACAGTACACTTGGCAGGACAAATATGACGAGCAATGGCGAATCAGCCCAAGCATGCCATTTATCATTCCAGGCCAAAGCCAACTTAAGGAGTTTGACAGCGGATTAATAGCTCCAACGAAAGGATCTCCTGCCTGTCAGTGGGCTGTTCTCTCGAGCGCAGGCGAGCGTGCATTCAACATTGATACTGCAACCACAATGACTGATATCGTACTGCAAGGCCGACGTTGCTTGGACTGCATAACGAAGGATATCGCGCCCACATACCACGAAGATTTTGGGGAAATTAAGTATCCTTTTATGATCATTATGGGAGATACAGCTTGAGGCCCATCACCGGCGACGATAAGCGTCGAGAGAAATCCAACATGGTGTTTATGGACAATCACCTGGGAGCTTTTGGGCTATCTTCAGACGCAACTGGAACAGATCCTCTTCCTTTGGACTACTGCTCCTCTTTCTTTTAGCATCCGGTCCGTCCTTCAAACAAAATCACTCTGTCAATATCTTCAAGAGGCTTGCATCCGTTGAATGATCCCACATATCACATGTCCAGTGACACGTCAACCGTACAGAGTGGACCAGGACAGTGAAATATCAAGGTTCATGACCCAGCAATTGTCTATGTATTGTATCCACATAACTGCAAACCATTCGACACCTCGCTACTAAGAAACAAGTAGATCAGCCGGATACCTTATTGCAACCAAACCCATAACTCGCCGAAACAAACACCAACATCAAACATGAACACCTTTCCTCCCATCCTTATCTCCCGCTCAAGAATGGACCGCACAAAGGAAAACCTCATCATCACCAACACCCCTCCCTTCCTCTCACACAATCCCCATCCCCATAACCCCCAAAGAATCCCACATCGCCCTCCCCGGCTCACTATGCAACGAATTCACCCAAGGGAACCGTAACAAATACTCCTTAACCCCCATACCACATCCTCCATGTGTCCCAGTTCCCTCCCACTCCAAAACCCCCATCACTCCCCACGCCAACTCCTGCACCTTGGGCGCTAACCACTTCTGTTCTTCCGGCCCTGCCAACACCGAAATCCCGCCGATGTGAAGAAGCCAGAGGAGGGTTTGTTTTTCTACACTATCTGCTGGGTTTTCTGAAGTGTTTGAAGGGGAGGTGGAATGATAGTCCCAGTCAGATATCAGCGTCGTCATACAATCCCGTACTAATTCATAACGTAGGAAACGACGACGACCGAATTGCAGGAAGAGAGTGGTGGTTAGGGCAATGAGGCCTAGGTGGATTGCTGATTCGATCCTTGTCTGTTTTGTTTGTGGCGGTGGGGGACGTTTTCCTTTTTGGGTTTGGGGTTGGTAGTAAGAAAGCGGGCGAAAGCGGATTAATCGGCATCCGACCGAGACGAGGAATTCTTGGAGGGTGTGTGGGTCGAAACGGAAGTTGAGGTAGGGGGAGTTGAGGAGGGTGGTTATCGAGAGGACGTCGGAGAGGATTTGCGAGAGGAAGGGGTGGATTTGGATTTGTTGCTGTTGCTGCTGGTGTTGGTTTTGAACACCGCTGGAGGTGAAGGATGGTGAAGAGGTTGGTGATGGTGAGAGGGGGGACATGGGGGAGAAGGAGGAGAATGAGAAGAGTGGCGAAGGCGGGGATGAGAGGATGAAGCCTTCGGACAGAAGACAGGCGCGGATGGATGGCATGCGGTCCCGGTAGAAGGCGGAAGGGAGCGGGGTGCCGCGGTGGAGGGCGTAGTCTACTGCTGTTCTGTTGTTGGGGGAAAAGAGGGAAATGTTAGTGGTCTGGTTGGTTGCACGGGTTCGGTGGTTGAGACTTGGGATGACGAAGGATTTGGACGTGAAGGATGATGAGAGGCCGAAGGATTCATGCCCGGCCGGCGACTTACTTGCTTATTTTGATACCCAGTGGGTTATCCTCCCCTAACGACAACAGACCGCCACGTAGCTCGACCATCCTCTGGAGACCCTTTAAATGGACTTCGGCCTTGGACTTCATCGAGTCTTTCAACAATTCTTGGATGACAAGAAAGTTGACGACGGCAAGATTGGAATCTGACACGGCGTCGTTGGTCTCCAGTGTCTGGTTGACCATGTGAATGGCTTGGCTGAGATGGTAGATGGCTTCTGGTGTTAGGGCTTGGTCGCCGAAGAAGAAGTCACTGAGGGCAGCCATTAATGCGATGGCACAATGGAATGCTGTGTAAGTAAAGGTCAGTTGAGGATTCTATTCCTTCCTGTGAACGGGAAAGGGAAGGCTGATGAGTAATAGTGATAAGAAGCTCGACTTACAAGTCCTGTCCTGGAAGAGAGTGCTGATCCAATAGTCGTATGCCTTTGCAGCACCTCGGACGAGTTGGGGAGGGTATAAGGCATCGATGACGATGCCGAAGACTAGATGGGTGTAGGTGTTAGTGAGTGTAGAGGAAGTGAAGGCGAGCACTAACAGACTTACATTGGCTGATGACATATTGGCTCTGTGGAGTTGCTTGAACGGGAAAGGCAAGGGCGAACAGGCTGTCTCGTGCTCCCAGTGTCGTGGTGAGAGCTTTCTGGGTGTAGGCCGGAAGAATAAGCGACTGTTGTGCTTGCTGAACCTGAAATGAGGTGTCCATTGTAGGTGAGGTGAGGGTATCGGCAATGTAACCATCGATATCGTGGTTCTCGACGTCGGCCAGCCAGTCAAGGTTGACGAGATCATCATCAAGGAAGAGGAAATCGCTGCTGGTGAGATCTGTGACGCTTGAAGCTGGAGTGGTGATGTAGCTGCTGCTTCCCGTGGAGCTTGAGCCGTCACTGGGACTAGGGGTCTCTTCTGGACTCTTGCTCCTACTCTTGGTGCTACTCGGTGACGGTCTGCCGGTGCTGGTGGGTTGCTGCTGCTGTCCCTGCTGGGTCTGGGGGAGAAGGTTACGCGCAGCAGTGGACGACGTGCATGCTTTCTTGGACGGCCGGGGTGCATGTAGATCTAACTCCAGCCTTGATCGACGGTGAAGCACCTTGCCAACATTCTTCCCCTTCATGGCATGACTTCGAACCAGTCTCCTGGTGACCCTATCGGTCTTGGTTGAGTCTATGAACTGGAACCCTTTGCCCATCATGACTGTATTTGTGTTGGAGTGATTGATTGATTGTGTCTCTGCAGATTTGCTCTTCAACGATCAGGATTGTCTGATGCTCGGAGGATTCAGCAGAAAGGAAGGGGGAGGTCGGAGGAGTAGGGATGAATCAGAATGATAAGGGGAGTTTGCAGTCCGTTACATCGATGGCGCGCAGAAGAGGGTGTAATGTATGCGAGTGTATGGAATTCCAGAATATGTAGTGATGGTCCACCGGCCTCGTCGGAAAGGAAACCGATATGTCTTGACAAGTGTGCCAGGGACTTGTGGCTTCCATCGCTTCAGCCTTGGACGGGCTGGTGCGAGGACCTTTTGCGATGTTTTCAGCCATGTGAAATGGCAAATTACCGTTAACAAGTGCCGGGCATGAGAAGCGTGAGACGAACGCACAGAGTGGCACGACGCTGTGGCTGTCTTTGAACCACCTCATCTACCGGGTTGATGAATACGCGGCAAAGATATGCATGTAAAGGGTTGAGTCTTCACTTACTCCACAGCGGTTAGGGGATGCGTTAGGCAGCCCCATAGCAAAAGTCCCACACCTTACACCTTAAATCCCAACCTGCCAATCAAATGTGATGTGCGCCAACCCCTGTCCGACCATCATCAGAGTTCCTGACGACGACGAGATCCCGCGCGCTCCCGGACACTGGACATTCCGAGAACAGGCACGAACAACTCACCGCAAGCAACGGGATTCAACAGCCCTTCAAGGCTCCAATTATGGTTAAGTAAGCCACTGCAGGGTAAGGGGACAGTCGAGACCAACCGTGACGGTCACTCCGTCACTTTCTCTCTCTTCTCTCTTTCCTTCTTCCATTCTGAAACGGGAGAACCCGAGTGGAATCGACCAATCACAGAATACTTTCCAATTTGGGACAAAGCTCTTAATTTCAGTGATGGCCTCCAAAACAGCACAGCAATGACAGAAGACTAGACTGACGATATTCTAGCCTTCTTCCAACTGGAACACACTTTTGGGCAATTATCAAGCATTTTCCGTTTGTTTCTCCATCCCCGACCGATTGGTTACCAACGGATTTAAGGCTAGACTAAACAAACGTTAACTCCAGCCGCCATAGACCAAGCGGTCCCTTCCGCTTCGTTGGAGGCTTGCATGCAGGCGAATCCGCCAGGAGCACATGAGGATTCTATGGTACAATATAGACAAAAAAAAACCTCCGTCCGAATCCGGTATCTAGTCTGATACTGGGTTGGAAAAGTTCCGTTCCGCCCACCCTGATCTCTCGGGATCTCTGGAACACAAGTCCTCCACGCCGCAGATATAAATCAGCCCACCCCAAGAGACACAAGGACTTCTTACCCCCATCCTCATCTCACTCATCATCAGCATCAGTATCACAAGACCTCACTTGACTCCCACTCCAACTCATATTCACCACCAAAAAAACCGCATCTTTACTCTCAAGAGCATTACTGTCCTCACAAACAACCAACCTCATCGCAACCATGCCTCAGCTCGTCGGAAAGCAAGTTGGCCCCACTGGCTACGGCCTCATGGGTACGTGATCCGATCCCTACAGCCCCTGCCAAGTGAACCAAGTCAGAATAACTAACCTTCCCCTTAGGCTTCTGCACCAAGAACCCGCCCACCCCTCAAGAGCAAGCCTTCAAGGCCATGCGCGCCGCCCTCGAGTCCGGCGCCAACTTCTGGAACGCCGGTGAATTCTACGGCTCGCCCGACTGGAACACTCAAAAGCTGCTTGCCGCCTACTTCAAGCAGTACCCCGAAGACGCCGAGAAGGTTGTCCTCTCCGTCAAGGGCGCCTTCCTCTTCCCGCAGATGATCCCCGACTGCTCGCCCGCTGGTCTCAAGCGTTCCATCGACGCCTGCCTCGCTGACCTGGACGGCACCCACAAGATCGACATCTTCGAGCCCGCCCGCGTCGACCCGAAGGTCCCCCTAGAGGAAACTCTCAAGTTCCTCGAGGACGAGTACGTCAGCAAGGGCGTCATCGGCGGCATCGGTCTCTCTGAGGTTTCGGCCGCTACCATCCGCAAGGCCGTCAAGATCACCAAGATCGCTGCTGTGGAAGTCGAGATCTCCCTCTGGGCGACACACACGCTCGAGAACGGCGTCGCCGAGGCCTGCGCCGAGTTCGGCATCCCCTTGATTGCCTACTCGCCCATCGGCCAGGGCATGCTCACGGGCCAGATCAAGACGCTCGACGACCTGGCGGCCGACGACTTCCGCAGGCACTACCCGCGCTTCTACCCGGAGAACTTCCACCTGAACATCCAGCTGGTCAGCGAGCTGAACGAGCTGGCCAAGAAGAAGGGGTTCACGCCCGCGCAGCTGGCCATCAACTGGGTCAAGGCGCTGAGCAAGAAGGCCGGCTACCCGACGGTGATCCCGATCCCCGGTGCGACCACCGCGGAGAGGGTCAAGGAGAATAATGTGGATGTTGAGCTGACCAGCGAGGATCTGGCGAAGATCGATGAGACGTTGAAGAAGTTTGAGATTTCCGGGAGGAGGTACCCTGATGCTGTTCCTATTGATACCTAAGTGGGGTGTGTGTGTGTGTCTTGGGCTCAAACCTTCCTACAATTATCCATAGACTCATGAGTTTCTTTTGTCTGGGATTATTCTCTAGTTGATAATCAAGAGATCATAATGGCGCATGGAAATACACGAACGAGAAAGCCAACAAAGATTGGGATGTGTGCAGTTAGACGGTCAGGTAGTCTACTCAATTCAGATTTCAGTCTGCTTCATCCTTGCTTGGTTCCTTGTTCGCTCCTAACAGGCACCCCCTGGAATCGAGTTGCCATGTTCATTTATCATCATGACCTCTGCTCCTGGATACAGCAGAACGTGTAAATCCCACTTCCACTAACTGCTTGGCACCAAGCTTAGTAAGTGCCTGCTGCATGAACCTTTTTATGACCTAGGTAAAAAGGTTAACATTCGGTGTGCATTCTGATTCTGGATCTTTCTTTTGTCCTGGGAGAACATTGTCACGATTGTAGTTCAAGAAGAGGGGTTGGAAGCCATTGGTACACTCGCTCTTTCCCAATTCCCACTTCCTCTTGATTGCTCCTTCTTAGATAGTTCCCTTCACCAGCCTGAGGAAGGAAAAATTGACTGATCCCCAGATCATTCTTCGAATCGGAGAATTTTCACGACAACTTCGGTTCCTTCCGTCACGTCAATGCATCTTTCGCTGGTTCACCTCTTCCTTCCTTCCTTTCCTTGGTGCAATATAAAGAGTAATCCTACCCGCACTCCATTAAAACCTAGAGGCACCCCATAGATTTCCGATAAAGTATATTATGGCCACAACCGCAAACTAAAGAGGAAAAGGAATTATATATCCCGACTACGAAGACATTAACCTTACGGGGCCGAGGTTAAGTTTTATTCATGTTTTGTTGTAGCTGGCCGGGCTCACCTAATTGCATTTACAGCAACAATTGTGACAGGCTGGGGTGCATATGCCCAGACGGCCAAACCTACAAAAGATAGGACGATGTTCTGCTTGCAAGGCAGAACTCGGAATGCACACTATATAGCCAATGTCAACCTGTGACAACAATTTTTGCAATTTACCCCGTAGATCGCTATTGGATACCTCCGGAATTAAAGCAAAAGTTCGAATAGAAGGATATTGGCCAAAAAGCTTACCCAAACTTATTTTGTTAAAGTATTGGATTGAGTAGGGTAAAGAAAATCGAAGTGTCTGAAATCCATGGGGTGCCTCTAGGTCTTGATGGGGTGCGGGTAGGATTTCTCAATATAAACCCGCCGTACCTCGGTAGGGGATGATCGGCACGGAGGGTTTATGCACCCCCCAGCGAGTTCCATTGGTAATGCAGCTTTCCAGGTTAGGTTAGTTTGGTTCAGCTTTTGGAGGCACAGCACGCAACGGCACAATGCCGATTAGTTTGTTAGAGTTAAATTTGAGTAGTGTACGGCATTCTTCATTCCATCCAACCAAAACATTGTGCTTTCTTTCCCAACTACCTACCTATGCCCGCTATGACACCTGAGTCCGGCTACCAGCCCTTCTGTTACCTCTCCTTTCCGTCTCCCAAGTCCCACCACCCAGCACCACAATCGTAAGCTACCTAGAGGTAATCTACAACTCCTCATGAGGCGTAGACATCGGCTTCTGCATACTCCCCGCTCCCGCAGCCTCCTTGCCATACCATCCCTCCACCACCCTCGGAATGCCGTGATACCCATCAAAGTACCCCTCCGGATCATACTCCCTCTTCAACTTACTCAGCTTCTCCCACCTCCACTCCTCATACCCAAACAGTGCCTGCAGCGGCTCGTCCCTATTTGCATAATTGATGTACGCATATAACTTCTCATACCCACTATTCTCCGGCCTGGCCAGCAAGTTTCTCGTCTCTCTTCCCCACGCATCAGCGACTTCATTGAGGGACTCATCGTCCCAGGTAACTTGGATGATGGCATTGGTAACCATTTTGCCTCTGTGCGGGTAGGCCGTGGCATCGTCGGGAACCGAGGCGATTACGTGCGGGGAAGCGGCTTCGAAGAGGAGGATTGACCTGTTGGCTGCTGGGTTGGCTGAAATGAAAGAGGCGTAGGAAGCGTAAACGGCTTTCATGCTCTCGGGGGAGAAGAGAGATGGGGAGGAGGCGGTGTAGAGGTCTTGCGAGAGGGAGTTGGCGCAGACGCCGGGGAGGGCGGCGCCGGAGCCGAGCTCGGCGAAGGTGATGAGGGTTTCGTTGAAGTGGACGCGGGTGATACCCTGAGAGCTGGAAGAAGCGAACCTGGCTGAGACGGATTTACCGGCTTCGGTGTCGTGGGCGGAGACGATGTTGATGAAGAGAACGGGTTTCATGGCGGTTTCGTCAAAGAGGTAGCCGAGGATGAGGAAGACGGAGGGCTCGAGGCCGGCTTCGATTACCTCCATGGCAGTCTCAAGGACACCGTCTATGGAGTCATCCGTGAAGACCATGTCGGCGTTGTAGTGCATGCCGCCTTCGTCGGGATAGGTTTTGAAAGTGGACTCGACGACTACGCCGAAGTTGTGCCCGGCGCCGCGTATGCCCCAGAATAGGTCGGGGTATGAGCTCTCGGAGGCTTCGACGATGGTGCCGTTCCAGAGAGCAACTTTGATGCGAAGCAGGGAGTCAATCATTAGGCCATGTTTGCCCATCAGACGACCCATGCCGCCACCGAGGAGAACACCATGGGTGCCGACACATGGGAAGGAGCCGACGGCTTTGATGTGGTTAGCATTTTGAACAACAAGAAGAGGTGAACAGGCGATACGCACTCATTTCTCTACCCTCAGCGTGCAACCGAGGAATAATATCCTGCATTCTAGCTCCTCCTCCCACAGTCACTGTCACCTTATCACCGTCCTTTCCAAAGATTACATGTCGGAAGTTTTCCATGTTGACCTGGACAACCTCATTATATGTCGTGCCAAGGGTAGGACTGTTTCCATGACCGCCCGCCTTGGTGGCTAGGAATCTCTGCTTGGTTTTGGCCAAGTAGGCAACCTACGGGGATGTTAGCCTGTGGAAGATTAGTGGAGGAAGGAAGAGGAAAGTACTTACACCTTGAGACAACTCATCCTCGGTACGTGGCTTGAACACACCCGTGAACTTGGGGGCCGAATAACTCGACCACCGCCTAACATGGGCGTCGAAGTCTGGCCAGTCTGAGCCGTGGAAAGCAAGTGCTTGTGGAGGGTTGGGGATGTCCTCTGCAAAGACAGAATGAATTAGGGTTATGGCTGTCATGAAGACACCCAGTTTGATGGGAAACATGTTGAGTGTTCTCGGGGATTCTTTTCTTGATCGGAGTAGTTCAAACGTGGGGAGATGGGTGAACAAGGAGGTCCAAATCTCGGAGTACTTGGCGCGAGGCCAAGCCTCAAATACTTCAGAGCCCACTATGCCAGAGCAAGTTTGTCATCACCAACCATCATCAGACCGGACGGTGTAAACTCCGACGGTTATGATGATGCATCTCTTAGACTCCTGATGCCGATGGCCGATGTTGTTTTGCTTGACTAGCGACCATGTAAGGTCCGGGCCTTGTTATCCCTGTCTGCTGTCACCGTGGCAATTGAAGGGCGTAGGCGCGCGCATCTTTTTTGGAAAGCGGGACGGATTTAGCTGGGAATAGACTGTTGAACGCCGACTTTTTGGGTCGTTCCCGTCCAGAGCCGCCGCGCTGTAATCCGTAACCGTCAAGCGGAGACATATAAGATGTCAATAAGGTTAGTAAACTCAGTCAATGTCCAGATAAAGATAGTATCTGGATTAGAAATCCTAGACCTGGACCGTTATAGGATGCGTGACTTGACTTCGTGATCCGAATCTTGCATCAACAAACACGGTTTGGATTGCGAGGATGATAAAGTTCCACGCATGCATATGTATAAACGCTGTCGGTGTCGAGTTGTCGTCGATCAAACGCCATATCGAGATTTCAGCACTGGATTTCATCGCTTCTACACGTATAGCTAGCTTCTGTTAATTCTCCTGCTCCTGCTCTACTCAACTCGAGTGAGCTGAGGTGATCGAGATGACATCATGGTGTAGGATGAATAGAAGTGATGATGCCTTCGCTTCTATGCATGTAGGAGAAGACTGCAAACTCGAAAGGGAAATGTTCGATCAGTATCGGGATCCATGGAGCTAAGTGGGCGTTAGAACTCCATGGACACGTCGTCTGTAGATGCTCAGAAACTGGAAATAAATGCTCGTACGGTGCTAAACCAAGGGGGTTGAGGGTCAGGTAAGATACGATGCTGTCTGATGTCAAGAAAATAGAACACAGGCTCGAGATATGAAAAGACTCTCTGTGCAACTTTACCTCTGAGTTTCCACGCTTGGACAGCTGGGCTTTTGGATATCACACCAAAGCCAACTCCAAATGTTCAATCAAGCTTTTTCTTTCCCCAGGCTAAGGCGCGTAACAAGCTTCGCCAAGGGCGGGAGGAAGAACACCCAAGGAGCAGCAATACTCTCAGCTCAATTTCCAGTACATACACAGCACAGATCGTGGGTTCAGCTCCGACATCTAGCATCGTGAGTCCGTCCGAAGCTCTACATACCTCTAGCGAGGCAGCTAGCCTCGTACGTAGGTCCCGTCCATGTGCTCGAAAGCAACGGTACCATTAACAGCGAGGAGAATATTGCTGGGCGAGCGGTTGCGTTGGAGGAGATGGCCTCGACGAACGCGGCAAACAGATCGCCCTCGATGGGTAGTAATCGAACGATTGTGCGTCAAGAGTCAGGCTTCGAGAAGATGCATTATGGTCATCGCGTAGTCAAAACGGGTAAATGCTCTCGGTGTTGTCGTGCAGAGGTAGTGTTGTGTCGTGATGCTTGGGCCTTGTGTCTACGGCGCCGTTTTGGTGACTTGGTGTGGTGTCCAACCCAGCCTCTAGACCTAAGGCACCAAGCAGAGTTGGAGTGTCGTCGTAAGTGGCATGTTTCGCTTAGTTGGGCTTGCGCGTCGAGCTCTTGATAAGGGAGTTGCATCGGATTGTTTCTCGAGGGGTTCATTTTGGAGTTTGATGATCTGGGTTGAGGTTTGTGATCATGGTTGATGGGAAAGGTTGAGGAAGAAGTTTGGCGACAAGCCCACGAGCTCTTGTCGTTGGTGGGCATAGTGGTGGGGTCGAGAGGTGGCGCTAAAAATTTAGCGGAAAGAGCGAGTGTGTTAGTGTTAGTGAGTGTTATTGAGTGTTAGAATCTAACTGCTGTAGCTCACTAATCTTTCCGCTAAATTCACAACCACTTAATAAAAAAATACTCCTGCCAGGTGACATCTTCCCGATTCACATCGAGTAACTGCAAGATCTCCGAATCGACAACACCACAACGTTGACATGGTATGAGGATGTGTTCCTTACAATTACATGACCAAATCATAAAGCAGGGTACAAAAACGTTCTTATGTATTACAGGTCATGGTTCACAGCATATCCCAGTAGAACGGTTCATGTATGAGTTGGAGGGGTGCCATCTGCTCCCTCACAGCATCTGTACTTAGATCTGCCCGTAAGTTGGGGGCGGAATGGTCACAACACATACATATCCAGTGGGCAAGAGCTGAGTCTAGGCTTTGTGCGGTTCAAACGACAACTCTATTTCAGAAACTAAAAGCCGAAAAAATCCCAACTCCTATATCTAATATATCTATCGCACCAACATAGGAAAAGAAAAAGGAGATGTCCAAGAACAGTGGCATCTCCAGAATCCACTTTTATGTCCTCATTATCTCCCAACCTATCCAAGACGTCCCACATCCCCTTCACTGCCCACGACCCCTCGACTTAGCCCCAATATTCCGTCCCTGAAAGTTCTCCTCATGCGTAGACCTCGGGTTCAGGTTGGGGATGATGGGGTTATAGTAGCTGAACAGGTTATCCGGGTCATACTGAGCCTTCAGTCCGCGGAGCTTCTCCAACCTCCAGGGCTCGTAGCCGTACATAGACTCGGTCGACTCATCGCCATGGGCATAGTTGACGTAGGTGCTAGGGAGAAGATCAGGGGCGCCGGCGTTCCAGAGATCACGGGTCTCTTTGGCCCAGGCGATAGCGGCTTCGTCGAGAGAGGGGTTGGGGTCGTAGGTTACAGCGATGAAGCTAAGTTTGGTGTTAGTCATGGAAGAGGAAAGGGTGAAAGGAGAAAGGGGAACGGGGAAGGGAAAACGTACCTAAGAAGACCCCTATCACGCCACGGGTAAGCCGAAGTGTCAGGGTCGATAGCGTTGACGCCCTCGTGGGAGTAATCCTCCATGTTAACAGTCGTACGCTGGAACTCAGGGTACTCCGCGATCTTCTCGTTGTACAAGTCGTAGATCTGGCGCTGGGTAGTGACGTTCCAGACCTTGAGTCCCGCAGGGTAGTGGACGTGGTTCAAGCCGTAGTCGCACAGCGCGCTGTTCATGCCTGTGCCAGACACGCCGGGGATCTCGGGGTAAGGGACGTTACCGTCTTCGGTGGAGACGGCCTCAATGGCGTCGAAGGCATCCAGATACGGCTGCGCTTCCTCCTTGGAGCCGCGGTAGACGAAAGACCAGAAGATGACACCTTCGGTCTCGCTGATGTCGGGGATGATGGTGTAGCTGCCCATGTTGAAAGCCATTTCTTTGAGATGGTGGCCGGCGTGGTTACCGTCGTTGTGGAAGTTGTTGGATGCTTCAAAGACGGCTTCCAACTTGTCTTGTGTCCAGATGTAGGTCTTATAGTACCAAGTGTCGACGCCGCGGGGGTAGATCTTCATCTCAAGGCTAGTGACGACGCCGAAGTTGTGGCCGGCGCCTTTCATAGCCCAGAAGAGGTCGGGGTGCTCGGTATCGGAGACGGTGATGGCGGTGCCGTTGGCAAGAACGACGTTGAGCTTGAGGAAGCTGTCGCTGACGACACCGTAGTAACCTTCGAGACGGCCACGGCCACCGCCGAGAGCTGGACCGAGGAGGCCAACGCAGGATGTGCTTCCGGAGGCTGGTGGTATGGGTAAGTATGTTGTTAAAGGCAAAAAAAACACAAAGTGCTCACTTACCGGTAACATAACCGGCATTCCACAATTTCTCCATGATGTTCTTGGCAAAGACGCCGCCGCCGAGGACGACGCTCTTTCCATCTGGCTGGATCTCAATCTTGTCAAGGAGAGACATATCAATTTGCATACCGTCAAACTCTGACAACGTGCTTGTCATGCCGTGCCTCCGAGCCATGGCAAGGAAGGGGATTCCATTGGTGTTGGCATATTCGACCTGTTTGCTGTCAGCATAGGCCTTTTTAAGTAACAAAAGGGACAAGGGGTTATACAATCTTGGGGACATCCTCCTCCGTGGCAGGCTGAACCACCATTTGAATCTTGGGAGTGAAGAAGGGGTCATATCTAGCTGTGCAGCTGCCGAATTCCGTGTCATCGGGGCCGTAGACATTGCAATTTGCCGAGAGCTGAGGGCCCAGTTCACTGGCAACTGTTCTGCTTGCCAGCTTGTTGCGAGTGAATTGGCAAAGTCCGTTGAGGCATGGCTCAGGAGAAGCACTAGCGAGAGATTGCCAAAAAATTGCTGAAGATACAGCGAAGCGGTACAAACGAGCCATGTTGACCGGTGTGTTTGTCAAGCTGGCTTTGTAAGTTGATGATGATGGGTTGATGTCGAACAAAACCCCTTGACTGTGACAAGTTTGATGGTTTATATGGATCTCCAACTGATTGACAGGGACAACATCTTGAAGGCTAAACATACCCTAATTGCCAACATCATGATGATTCAAGACGACTATCTTTCGACCATAATCAGAGTATCCTCACCCAAACCACTCAATCTTCCACACCGTCTTCCATTGTTCGAAGGAAAAACATATCTGCAAGTTGCAACTCCATGGTGTTGGCCAACCGCATCCTTGGGTGTCGACGAGTTGTGTCCAGATGACGGGACAGCTTTGACGCCACTCCACCAGGCGTATCTGTTCATGATGTCTTGATACGGACGAGATTATCCAGAGGTTGTCTGTGGTACTGAAAGAGGAAAATGCTGGTCGAGTTCTGCCAGCATGAATGTTGATGATTTCATGCCACATTACTTGGCTTCCGTCTTGTCATGTGCAGGCATCTACAGATTCGCTTCTGTTCGAAAGGGCATAGCCGATGCCCAAGTCAAACCTCTGATGAAGTTGAAGAATGTCAATGTTGAAAGTCACGGTGTCAAAGGCTGAATTGGAGGGACTGTAGTGGATGGAAGGCACGTTACGTCAGTGCCAGTGGGGTCCTTGACAACTGACAGTGATCGATAGGGAGCTGAGCTTCAGGGCTTATCGATACTGGCTGCATTGGGTTACACTGGCAGCAGCCTGGCGAGCTGTGCCCTCAGCTGTGCCGCCGCAGCACCTTTGACGACACAACACCTTTTCCTCTGTCTGGTAAAGTCCACGATCCAAGCATGCCACAAACTGGCACAGCTACGGACAATCGCGTCAAGCGAGTCGAATCACCAAGAACTTGTTCGCTAACGATAGGTCGATACAGTTCCTAAGCCGCGATGAAACCAGTACAATCGACGATGACGGCGTGTCCTGTTGCACGTGGCAGAGATCCAAACCCAGTCGATCCGGGCATGTTAACTCCATCTGGCATAATACCAATCATGGACATCGACACAAGGCTGGGATATGGGTTGTTGTCGGTGCCAGGAACGCTGCACTGCGGCTAAACCGTACGACCATTTACTGTTTCTCTGCCCTGCCAAGATGACAAGAGTGCAGTTCCGAATCTTCCACAACAATGATGACCCGAAGACCCGGTTTGGGTTGGCACCATCCCAATATTGGACGATTGCTGTGAGGCGCCAACCTTATTGCTCCTCTGACTACCTACCCATTGGCCACCTCAAACTGTAATCCCCGTCGAATTATGGCCAGATGAAACTGGATCACACTTGGACACTCATCCGTCACGTTCGACGTGATTCATCTTCCTCGGCCACCAAGCAGTTCAAAACAAAAGTACGGCCGTGATTTTGAGGCAGAGCGTACCTTTGTTTATTCTCAGCCAGAATAGGAGAAAGGTCAGCATGTTTGATGCCTCCAGCTTCTCTGTTACGTTTCCATGCTGACCGAAAAGTGTAGCGAATTGGAGACGGATAGAAGCTTCTTGGATGCTTTCCTGTTCACACAATTTTCTCACCCACGAAATCCACGCTACCAAGAAGGCCAATACCCATTAAACTATCCTCACTGGCATCTGCGTTGACGTTGTAATACCTGCAAGCGACTTGTTCCTGCATTGAGGCTGTTCTCTTTTGTCCTCTCTTGTCAAGAGTCAGCTCCCCATCTGCTCCAGCTAGAATTGGTCGAGAAACTGAGAGCCTCATCTGCAAGCCATCTGTGCCTCTCATACACAATGGGTTAAGGGTGTTTCGTTTCGGGTAGCATCACCATGTCCATTACTTAGGGCCCGTGACTCGTTACACCGTCGACCTCACCACGGGTTGAGATTATGGACCAATGGACACTCCATCATGGAACCACTTGGTGCCACGTACCTGCATTAAACAGCATACGATATCACCATGGAGTTTACCTCAAGCAGGCTAACCAACTCAAAATGGTATACGCCTCACAGACAAACGATGGCTGTCAGGGAAACTTCAACAACACCGACATTATGATTCATGTTGAGCTACAAGACTATACGAAGAATCACCTTATACGGCCAGGAAGTTAGAGGAATCTAGTCAGATGCTCGGTTTTGCCGTGATGCCCTCATCATTTACCCAACATGGTTGTTAAGAACAAAAAAACATCAATGATTTCGTTGTATAAAGGAAGAATTGTTTCTCCCATTCTCACGACAATTCTCATTACCATTCACATCATCATCTCAACATCCACTCCTCACTTCAACACCCAAACATCAAGCATCACACCTCATATAATACTTCTCAACAACCAACCATTTAACAATCTTGAACCACCTTCTTTGACACATCTGCCAAGGACTTCAAGATGCATCTGACTTCCTCCCTCCTCTTCACCTCGGCCCTTCTTGCCGGGGGTATCAATGCCTCTCCTGCTACCAACGCCTACCGCCGCCAGAATGCGAACATGAGAACCATTATCGGTGACACTACCCCGGTTCTGTCCAATTCCACCATGATCCGCTACCCAGACTCGGATGGCTTCTTCGGTGTCACCGAGCGTTGGGATGTCTACCGCCCGCCCTCGTACCAGGCCGCTATCTCGCCTACTACCGAGGCTGATATCGTGTCCTTGGTCAAGATGGCTAAGCAGCACAACATCCCCTTCCTTGCTACCGGTGGCCGTCACGGATATGGTACTACCCTCGGCAACTGCAAGGAGGGTCTGGCCATTGATCTCAGCCACTTCAAGGATGTCAAGCTTGACAAGAAAAAGCAAACCGTCACCATCGGACCCGGTGTCGTCTTTGCTGATGTCTTCCCGGTTGTTCACGATGCTGGCTTCCAGATCCAGACTGGTACGTGCAGCTGTGTTGGCATGATTGGTGCCACCATTGGCGCTGGTATTGGCCGTCTCGATGGTGTCCACGGTCTGGTCATTGACGCTCTCGAGTCCGTACGCATGGTCACTGCCAACGGCGAGATTGTCGAGGCCTCCAAGACCAAGAACCCTGAGCTCTTCTGGGGTATCCGCGGTGCCGGTGCCAACTTTGGTATCATCACTCAAGCTACCTACAAGATGCACAAGAACATGGGCGACATCATCAGCTTCGATCTTATCTACGAGCCCGAGAAGAACGTCACCCTCTTCAACACTATCGCCAATATGTACCTCCCTCCCGGCCTGACAGTCGAGACCATCATGTCCTACAACCAGACCACTGAAAAGCCCACCCTCATCATTAGCAGCACTTATGCCGGCGGCTCTGAGGCCGAGGCCCGCAGGTGGATGCAGCCGCTCCTCCGTCTCAACCCCTGGTACACCGACATCAAGCCCATCCCTTGGAAGAGGATGAGCACCGACACCACCCTCGGCTTGGACAAGGAGGTCTGCGCCAACTCTCAGATCTACGATGTCTACGGTGTCAACCTCCGCCGCCACGACGCCAACACCTGGGTCAAGACCTTCAACAAGCTCGCCAAGTTCTGGAACCAGCAGCCTGCCGCTCAGTCTTCCGTTGTCGTCCTCGAGACCTGGCCCAACCAAGCCGTGGTCGCCGTTCCGGACTCTCAGACTGCCTATCCCTGGAGAGATGCCACCACCTATGTGTAAGTCCCCTTTACCTACAACCCTTTAGCTTATCCACTTGCTGACATTCTCGCTCTCACAGCATGATTCAAATGCGCTGGGACGCTCCCGGTAACCCGGTCGAGGCTGCCGCCGACGCCATGGGCCGTGAGCTCCGCGACGACTACGCCAAGACTTCCGGCTACAACGGCCTCACTGTCTACGTCAACTACGCCCACGGTGACGAGACCCCTGAGCAGATCTATGGCCGCAACAAGCTCCCCCGTCTTGCGAAGCTCAAGAAGCAGTATGACCCTTCGTCCGTCTTTGGGTTCCACAACCCCCTCCCTACTAGCTACCCTTAAGTGGCTCCCTAGCTTAGGGAATTCGACTCTGCGTTGAGCGCTGAGGTGGTCATGAGTGAGAAGAGGATTTGGAGATGCATATGAGTTTCACGGCTCATGGGTGTTTTAGACTTTTACTTTTGCTTTTGCCTTTGGATTGGGTTTTGGGTTTTGGTTTGCTATATAGACTTGACTTCTTGGGGATGGATAATTGTTTGGTAGTGGTTTGTTTTCTTTTGTCTTGCTAGACTTTTCCTACTACTCCAACTGGGATACTTAGTACACACATAAACATATCAGTTATATAGACTTATACATACACTGCACATTGCAACTTCCTTTCGTGGAAGCCGAAGATACAAACATTCAAATAAAGTGGATGCGCTCAAAAAACGTCCATTTTTCGCAAAAAAGCGGCAGATCCACAATCCGATTTCACGTCCTAACAAGCTCCCTTTGGACGACATCAAATAACAACAAAATAGTTCTGTTTGGAAAGCTTTACAATCAAAGAGTTTCTCATGTCTGTCTCTTTCGTACACCAACAACCATCTGTCATTCCAACCTCATACCATACTCCTAACAGCTTCTCGTCCTCCTACCACCACAGCTAGCCCAGCGACTGAATACCTTACCCAAACGATCACCCACTTACACGGTGACCCACGGCTTATCCTCGGGTTGACCACGGAACCAAACGCCGCACCCAGCCCCGATCCAGGTCCGGTCTCCACACCACTAACACCCACCGCCCCACTACACCGAAAAATTCTTCATATCTATCTACTTCATAACCCCAACTTCTGGACTTCCTTCCAACAAAAATCGGACCATATCAGTTCAATCGGGTATGGTGTAGCGGTAACATCGTTGACTCTCACTTCTCAGGAGTGACTGCTCTCTCAACAGCCCCGGGTTCGACTCCCGGTATCCGAGTCTCAACATCTTTTTTGGTGTTTCTCCTTTTTGTCTTTTGCCAAGTCTTGGATCTTGCTTATTTATTTTTTTGCTCGGTCGCTTTTGCATTTTGGAAATGCGCACAAGCAGCCATCGCGGTTGAATGTTTTCTATGATATTTGAGCCTGCCACTTATTGATAGGAGGAGAGATCCTTGGGTAAAGAGATGAAAGGAGATTGGCGCATAGTGTGAGTTGGGCGGGAAGCATGGTGCGTTTCGTTGTGTCGATATCAATTCGGGGTTTGGTTGACTCAATAGATGAATTCTAAACAATCACGATCGCTTCGTTCCATTATCTATTACAACTCCTGCGATATCCCCTTTCCCTCCGGTTTTGCCATCCAGATAGTTCACCACCGATATTTTTTTTACTATCAACTTGTCATCGTCCGTTTCTGTCAACAATCACCCTTCTTGACATTGTCCCACCGACTGATTCCCTTTCAACACTTTGCACATTGTCACTAACACCATCCCTTCCGATCCCAATTCTCTTTTCACATCGTCTTGTACTCGCAGAAGATGATTCTATATTATGCAAGTATCGTAGACCAGATAGATTAGATCAGTCAGCATTGAGAAAAAGAAGTTCAAGTTCCCACGCGAGGAGATACAGGGTAGGGAGTCTCCACCCCCGCACCAAAAATACCGCAAAAAAAGAAGATGCCCAATAACAGGATTGAACTGTTGACCTTCGCATGGACTTGATATCTCGGAAAGACAAGATATTAGTACGACGCTCTAACCAGCTGAGCTAATCGGGCTTTCGTTGATGGTGGGGGTTGAAACTAGCATTCTTGATCTTGCATTGACCGCATTGGGATGCAGAACGTGGAAGACGGGGTTGTGAGAGCAGGTACGGAGAATATAAGTTGGTGTATAGAGAAGGTCGATCGGATTGAAGGAACATTATTTCGAAGATATGAAAGAAAAAAGACGGAAGATAAATTAAGTCTTGATGAAATTGTAGGTCTTTTACGCAATACGTACGAGATAGGATGAAAGATCACGATCGCAGAAATGCTTACCTGTAGCATGTGCCATCAATGGGAATAGGAGAGACTTGATGTTTGTGAAATCTGCGGAGCGGGACAAGACTAAAACAGTTGTTCTACAAAAAGTTCCAGGAAGAACTCTACATCACGTCTTTTTATCAGGAATTGCTTGGCCCAGAGGGAACCGAAGTGGGAAGTGTTGACATGTCAAGTTCACCAAGGTGAAAGACCTGAGGTGGAACAGCCCCGAGCCTCTGAGTACATCTGAAGTTTGAACAGCGAGCGATTGAAAAGTGGAAACTAGTCCCGTCATCATGATACGCATAACGTTTCAGAGTGTGAAAAAGTTTCATTCGAACCTTAAAAGTTAAAAGAAAACCACACATCCAATCTATCATCTCAACCGAGACCCAGGACGACAAGGAAAGACACAAACAAGCCCACCAAACAAGAAAACAGAGAAGACGATGGCATCAACCTCAACATCAGAAGCCCACCCAAACCTCAAAATAAGCAAAACCCCTAAACAACAACTTGAACCTTTCTAGCCCACGGCACCCTCCCACCCCTGCCCTCAAACGGCACAAACCTCAGAATCTGCCCCTGCCTAACCAGCAACACCGAAACCAACAGTCCCTTTGCAAAAGTCTCCATATCGCACCACGGCAAAACAAACCGGTCCCAGAACCAGCTGACCCAGCCCTTCTTGACCACCTCCCTGATCATCGCATGTCCACCGTTCCAAATGGGCTTGACCTCTCCTTTGCGATCCTCTTGGTACCGTTTGAAGACAGCCTCTAGCTCTTCCGTTGATGGCTCTTCACCGTCCATGTCTTCAGAGGCAGAAGAAGAGGCAGAAAGAGAGGACAAAAGAGAGTGCAACTCATTAGCCAACACAGCTCCCGAGTGCAACCCACAGGTCATACCCAACCCGTTAACACTGGTACTCTTGTGCACCGCGTCGCCTACAAGGACGATACGGTCGAAGAACCAGTTATCCAGGAATCCTTCCTCCTGGTTCAACATCCTCGTGCTCCCCCTTTCAGCCTTGGACCAGACATCACCGAACTTGACACCAGGACAGACGGCCACGTCCTCCAAAGAGGCGGCGTACGCATCCATTTCTTCGTCCGTGTACCGCGGACTGCGCTCGCTGGTGGGACCACCCGGCAAAGGCTTGAGGGTAACGAACTGCACGATTTCCTTGGTAGCCAGACATTGCACTACGGCACCACCTTCTGGTCCGCCGCCTCTGGACTCGAAGAAGACTTCGGGCTCGATACCTAGCTCGAGGTTCGATGCTCGGCCGAATATACCGTAAAAGGTGGATACCATGGGCTTGTTAGCTAGACGAGCGGGGTTGAGGGCGTGTTGTGCAGCGAGAGAGTCCATGATTTGGCGCGTGCGGGAGTGCACGCCATCGGCGCCGACGACGATGGAGCCCTGGACGAGAGAGCCGTCGGCGAGGTGGACGTGTACGCCGGTGGCATGGGGACGGATGTCGGTGACGCGGGAGTTAACGCGGATGTTGGATTCGCGGCCTTTGAGGTGGGTGTGGAGGATTTTGACGAGTTCGGAGCGGAGGAGAGGGAGGAAGGGGTAGCCGTGGCTGTGATGTTTTGTGCTTGTTAGTCTGGTAAATGAGTGATGGAAGGCAGGTAGGAAGAGAACTGACTTGTCTTGCATGGCATCCCAGAAGTTGCTGGTGGTGGTTACTTGGCCATTGTCGCCGAAGAGACGCTTCTTGTGATGAATGCCTAAAGCGACTTTTTCGAGGTCTGCGAGGAGGCCGATCTGGTCGAAGAGGCGTACTGTTTGGGGCCAAGTGAAGAGAAGCTGTCCTGAAATGTTCAGGACGGTGTCTTGTTGTTCGAGTATCACGTAGTCGATGTTGGCACGCTCAAAAGCGTGGGCCATGTAGAGCCCAACAGGGCCGCCACCCACGATGATGACTTTGAAGGTCATAGTGGATGGAATGCAGCTAGTACGGGAAATGAAATGAAGTTGTTTTGAAATATTGCGAGCCTCGCATTGACATATCAATGGGTGTATCACGGCTTATAGGAGCTCTACTGCGGATCGTCTTCAAGCGCCGTCATGATGTCCTGTTACCAGCGGCCGCCGTGCTGACTGGCCTCCAGCTCCGACCATTCGGCGGCGGTGAGCCGCCAAACTTAAGCAGTATCGGCGACAAAATGTTTATGGCATGTTTTTTGCCTTACTATCGACTGTTGCCGCTCCACAGTGACTACTCTGAAATGGTTAATCCTACTTGATTGCTGGGATGATCAACCGATATCTCTCCCGAGCATATGGCTCAAGGACAATTGTATGAGAACTTTTGTCCCGTAAAATTAACCATGCGCTTGACATATCTTCTTCATGTCGGGTATGTTTTGACAACCTCGATCGGCGAGTTGTGCGGTTCAAGTGGTACGAATGACGGGCAGGTTTTCTCCCTGTTGCTCTGTTTCTGTGGAAATTGCTATAGCTTACAGAGCAGACAGAAGCCGGTGTCGCACTCAGGCAGGCTAGGCCCTCCTCGGGGCAGAATCTTAGACACGATGTGTCCATTCAAAAGAGATGTGCTTGGAGTCTCGCCTGGAGCATAGGGCTGGGTCATAATCATGACAGAACCCTTATTTCTGCTGCAAAGTACTTTTGTAAACCCTCCGGCCTTCAAGCAAAGGTCTAGAGGTCTCGACGATCGAAGATGATTGCGATATCGCTTGGTGTGTGGCCAAGGGGAACCATGACCGGGTGCCGGAGCGGACCCACGGTATACTAAAATAGATATCAGCCTAGATCAATGACCATGTCGTTAGTTAGTAGATTGTTTTCCTTTTCAAGCGTCTTACCACATCTGCGGCGGCATCACAAATGGAACACATCACCTCCATGCGCCACATCTGGTTTATCAGACGCATTTTGCATTCTAAGTATTTGCCGGATAGGGAGCCGAAAACCCTGTGTGTCTCAGGCCAACAAATCCCATGCTCTAAATTTCCATTCCCATTGACGATTGCCGTCATCCCGTTCCCGTCTTTGGATGCAGCCGTGGGGGCTGACTCAGAAACGCGGTGCAACCACAAACAAAAGACGGTAACATGTCTTGGACTGGTTGGATGCGGCCTCCTGTCCTGTCTGCTTCGTGACGCGCCCACGTTTCGTCCTTTTGTCAACGGGAAGAGCTTCGGCTACTGCGCAAGGTGGGACGAGGGACTTTTGTACGGCACAGGTCGAAGATCTTGGTCACATTGTTGATGGCTGAGATTTGGCGAACGGGACGGAGTGATTCGATTGGAGATGGTGCGAAGGATTCGAAGGATGAAGTTGGAAAAAGCATCGGGGCCCTACTTTTAGTGGGAGCACTAACAATTAGGCCTGTAGTTAGCACTGCAACGGTCCCCTGTCGATCAAAAGCTTGGTGGGGTAATGGGGTAGCTGTCTATGCAAGTATGCGTATATCCGTTATGAGAATATCTGCCGCGGGGTTGTCTTCAACAACCAACAGTACTTGGAACACCGACACGAGACAAAGAAGTCTCCGGACAAGAACCAATGATTGGAAACCCGACCAACAGGCTCGGTATCTTACCAATGGCCTCACCGAACAAGGTGGACAGCATTTTGGAGCGGCAACCGACATGTCGGCCGTGACCACATTCCCACCGGAAAGTGAACTGGTTTCAAGACAGTCACGAACTGGGTCAAGTGATGAGATAATGTTTCGTGATCTTTTGGTATCCTTCCAAGTATGGAGATTAATACCATAGCAAGATCATCAAGCTGGATTGTCTAGGCCGTCATCCACCACATCCGTGACCTATGAAGACGATCTACGGCAAGAACACAACCAACCTCGACCCCCAGAACCTTTGTCCTCACAAAAACTGCTCCAAAAACTCCCCAACAAGCTTGTTAACCTCCTCAGGCGTATGAATCAATACCCAATGCGACGCCTCAGGAATAACCTCCTTCCTCAGCCCCTTCGCAAAATACTTCTCCATACCATCAGTCAACGTCGGAGGCAGCGCAGGATCATGGCCAACCATGACAATCATCGCCGGCACCTGGAACTGCCAGGTAGCATACTCCTCAGCCAGCGGTAGCTCATCCTGCAAGTTGATTTCCCGTGTGCGATACCAGTTCATAGGCCCTTGGATTCCATTGCGGGAGTACTCCTCGACTGTTGCCATGTAAATAACAGTTAGCCATGCCATCACAAACAGTAACTTTGACACTCTCCGACATAGTCAATATTGATGAGAGATGGGGAAGCGAGCAAAACATACCATAAAAAATCCACAACCTCCTCCCCAACCAAAGGCGAAGCCTCCACCTCCTCCAACTTATCCAAATCCAACCCCTTCCACGGATCAAAAGCCATGACCCCCGTGTCCTCACTTAACCCGCCAAACATGGCATTTAACCATCCCCTCAACTTTTTCTTGTCTTCACCAACAACCCTCTCTATACCCCCTCCCGCATTCTGCAACTGATACCCCAGTTCCGGATGTTTCCTCACATGTTCCTCCAGCGTCGTAACTTTTGTTTCCGGTGGGGTATAAGGGATACAAAATGCGAATATCCCTTTGATTAATTGAGGGAAGTAAATGGCTAGCCGCCAGCCGAGGAAGGCGCCCCAGTCGTGAGCACCTAGTAACACCCGCTCTGGCTTTTTAGTAGAAGAGGTGGTGGTGACTTCGCGGATGATATGCGCCAGGTGAGAAGATAGTTTCTTCAGGGAGTATTCAGTGGGAGAAGCAGGGGAGGAGGTGAGGCCGTAGCCGAGCATGTCGGGGATTATGACGCGAAGGCCGAGAGAGAGGAGGAAGGGGACTTGGTAGCGCCAGCCGAGGGAGAGGTCAGGCCAGCCGTGGAGGAGGAGGACGGTGCCGGTTGGTTGACCATTGGAGAAGGAGGTTGAGTTGGGGTTGGCGAGGAGGTAGTGGTAGGTTATGGACTCGGTGGTATGGGAGGTTGAGGGGATGGTGGTGAAGTGGTGGGTGACCCGGGGGTCATGGGGGGTGAGGGCGTCGGGCACCATGGCTCTGAATATGGGTAGTGACAATGAGAAATGTGATAGAGGAAAAGGGAAAATGCGGATGTATGAGAACTACGCTGTCTTATAATCACAATGGTAGAAAATGCAACAGGTCGGAGCGTTTTGTTAGAGCCTCACTCGGAGGGTTATTTCTGCATAACATAGCATGTTGACTGACGGGCTCCTAATGCTGTGTATGTTCTCTGAAGTCTCATCATAGGTCAATGTCAGCACATGATGACATGACTGACAAATGGCTTTCTTCTCGGGAAATAGTTTCAAGGGCTTATGTCGGACTTGGGTAAGTGTCAGCATCTCGTTTCGGCACCCCAGTTAACTCGTCGCTTTATCCATCTCCCATTGCCAAGTTCTAATATAATTCAGCATCAGACAAAGTCATCAAGGGATGTTCATGTGTGTACAATTAGTGGAATTCATGTATCTAAACCTCTAGTATATGTGAACAAACAAACAATCTGTAATCCAGCTACCCACCAGCAGCCCCGCGCCATCGATGCTCTTTACCATGGCACCTCGGTAAGGTCGGTAGCGTTGTAGAACTTGCCATTATCCTCCTTGGTGAGGCCATCGAGCTACACACAGCACAGTAAACGTTAGCAAAACATAATGAAGTTAAAGAAGACAGTAGAGCAACTCACCAGCTTAACAATGAACGCCGCACTATCCTCCACCGTAACCGGCGCCTTATCACCCAACCCCACCTTCTGCGCAACCCAGTTCCCCGGTCCTGTCTGGACCAAGCCCGGGTGCAGCGCAATGGTAGTTAACCACTCCTTCTGGCTGCTCGCAATACCAGCTGTAAGCCAGTTCAGCGCCGCCTTTGCGCCTCCATACGCCGGGAGGATCCAGGCCGCCAGGGCATCCACAAGCCCAATACTTCCGGCGGTAGTCGAGACGCTAGCCCACTTGGGATTCTTGCCCTTCTTCAGCAGCGGCAAGATTGCCTGGAAAAGGAGCAAGGGGCCGATGGCGTTGATGTGGTAGTTCTCCAGCATGTCCTTGGTGTCGACCTCCTCGATGGGCACGGTGGAGGGCATGGCACCCGCGTTGGCGATGGCGATGTCGATGTGCTCGATTCCCTGAGCGTTGATGGCCTCGACGGCGCGCGCCGGGTCGGTGGAGGAGGTGGATTCGATGTGAACGAGGATGAGCCGGGAGCCTGGGGCTGTGGGAGAGGCCTTGAGCTCGGCAACGGAGGGCGTGGAAAGGTCCCGGACGGAGCCGATGACGGTGTGGTTCGGACGGGCGAGGTACAACTTGGCGATGCCTGAGCCAATGCCTGAGAGGAACTTTGCGTCAGTTTCTGCTAAGGGTTAGACGGGAAGCTTGGGGCAACGTACCCTTGCCTACACCGCTGATGAAGACGACGGTGGAATCTGTCACGACCATGGTGATGATGTACGGTTCTTGGTGGATTTGGGAGTTGGTCTGGGTCAGTGATACTCGAAGAGGATGAGGGCGAGCTGTAGAACAACAACCGCTGTAACAGCCGAGCCTTTTAAAGAACTACAGATGGTAGTGATACTGCGGATTTGTCAGTTCCATGGATGAACTGAGTGACCAAGCTGTTCGTTCTCCCATCATGATGCCTCGAGATGACGACGGCCTAGGTGGGCAGAATACGATGCGGCGTCGTGCTGGGCCGCCAGTGCGACCACATAGTGCCTGGGATCGGATGGGATGATTGGTAATTGTAGGGCGATTGATCTTTGTCTTGATTGAGAAGTATTGTCTCAACCTTGAGGGTCGACAGGTCATGGACGGGTCACGTCGAGTAACATGAACCGGAGAGTTTTGGGAACTTTCCAGTCGTGATGTTGTAAGCGGGATGAAAGACGGCAAGCTTTCTGCCCGGAGCGGCGGTCTACCATATCCAACAGGCTCTCGAGAGGCTCGCTCTACAGTGGCTGGTCCAACAGACAACAGCAAATGCGATGGCGGGCAAGCTGCAGGGTTACCCTTGTCCTCATCTATGATTGGTCTAAACACCCCAGCCGCTGCCAAAACGGGCAAAAAGTCTTGTAGTCACCAGTTGGATCCACTCTTGAGACCAGACGAACCCGAACAATGGATGTGTTGACGAGACTCAACGAGCTTCTTCTACTCCCGTCCTTCTCATGTAATCCGGAGATGGTTGTCCCCGATACCGTGTAATTCAGCCAGTTCAACACTTTAACCGCCGTGCTTAAGCTCGAACCCGATTCCGCGAGGCCCAGCTACTTTTCACCACAACACCAGGCTCTTGTGTCATGCATGCTGATGGCACCTGTTCCCAGAGCGATGCCAGACATTGCAACACCAAGGCTCAAACAAAGTGTTGCTTACGCTCCAAAGACCCCGACCAATACCTCTACTCCTGGGCGGACTTGGTTGATATCTGGACATCACCATGCGAGGAACTTGATACTCCATATCCTTTCCCGGTCAGAGGTATCACCGGCGGTATCACCATCATGCTATCCAAAGGTCGAACTCAAACTCATTACCGTGCCATCAACTCCTAAAATGTGTTTGAACGGATTCATAACATGAGTCCGAAGAAACCGAAACACCTCTAGACATCATGTTCACTCATTCTTACCCACCTTCTTCTTCTCATCACTCTCCCGCCACGCCTCGTTCCTCTCTCAGCACTCGACGATCATCCCTGCGGAAGTCAAAGATGACGCCTCAACCTCAAAAGTTTGCCCTGATTACAGGGTGTGGCGCCGGTGGCATCGGAGAGGCTCTCATCCTCGAGTACCAGCGCCGTGGCATCCATCCTATCGCCACTCTTCTGCCCTTCGAGTCGAGCGAGCATCTCGACAAAGCCGGAATCACTTGGTTTAAGCTGGATGTTACCAATGAGGAGTCTGTGATTCAAGCAAAGAAAGATGTTTCTGAGCTGACCAAGGGGCGTCTGGACTTTCTGGTTAACAATGCGTGAGTTTCGACAACGCTCCTGACGACGAGGGCGGGTGTGTTTGGTAGCTGACTTGTAACGGATACTAGCGGCATTTGCTACACCATGACAGCCATTGATACGGATGTAAAGTCTGTTCAACGCATGTTTGATGTCAATCTTTTTGGTCCTATGCGGATGGTTCACCATTTCCATGATATGCTGATTGCTTCTTCTGGGATCATCGTCAACATTGGCTCCATTGGTGGCATTGTGCCTTTTGTCTATGGCTGTAAGCTATCAACGTGTATACAAAGACCCGAGAAGCGCAACTGACAATTTCAATAGCATCATACAACGCCTCCAAGGCAGCTCTAGCGCACTGGGGCAACAGCTTGCGTGTAGAGCTGGCACCGCTTGGCGTCAGAGTTTTAGTCGTAAGTCATGATACCCTCGATAAAACCCTACCAGAATGATCCGCTCACAATCCTGTTATTGCAGATCATATCCGGTGAAGTCGGCACCAACATCCTCAAGAATGATCACGGAAGGGCCCTACCGGAAGGGTCATACTACTCGCCAATGGCTGAAGAGTTCAAAAACCACGTCCACAGGACGCCCGGTAAGCCCTCTCGGTAATCCAATTACTCTGTACGACAGCTTTCTAACAATAACAACCGTACCCAGACGCTGCCACCGATCGCTTTGTCTACGCCAAGAATGTCGTCGGCGAGTCTCTCAAGAAGTCTCCCACCACATGGTTTTGGACTGGAAGTTATTCGGGTGTCATCCGCTTCATGCATACCTTCTTTCCCAAGACGATATTTGTGCGTTTTCCCAAATTCACAATCTGACTATGGGCCTTTGCTAACTCAGTTGTTGATAGGACCGCTGGTTCTCAAGCATGTTCAACCTGGCTAAGTTGAAGGAAGCTCACGATGCGGCGACGAAGAAAAAGGTGGCTTGATTATGACCTTGTCCTTTTTTTTTTTTTTTTTTTTTTTGGTTGGCATTCTTGGGAAGTCCGAGCGTCTGTGTTTGGGATATTGATGGACAAGAGCTTTGACTACGTACTCTAGGGCGTTTAAACTACCTACAAATCGAATCAAATATTGAGAAAGAATAAAAAGTACTCTGCATCGTGCTTCAGAATACCGTTTATCCCACCCATGTTCATTCCCAACTACCAAAGTCTCTGTCGTCACTTCTTTTTCTCTCTAATGGTCTTCGTCGTGCTGGCCACAAAAATGACACCTTCCGTCATATACCACTTTTTCCAAGTAACGCAATTGAATAAAAGCAACAACAAAAATAAGTTCGCTACCATTGGAATGCACTGCCTAAACTTGCTTAATTGCGAATTGCAGACTTCTGTCTTGATCGCTCCGTCAAAGTGACTAGTGATTGTTATTATCGAGAATGGTCAGTGGACCCGGGCCTGATGAATTTTTTAAGAGCTTGGAAGCTGGAAGTAAGTTGAGGAGGAGCTCAGTCTTCTATAGTGTCTCAAGTTAGAATGCTTGGTCAGTTGAAGGAAGCACATCCAATGACAATGTCTCCGTTGATGAGCAGCAGGTTGGATGAGAAAGGAAAGCAGGAAGGGTCAAAAGGGAATAGAGGCGGCCAAGGAAGCAAGAAGGAAGGGGGGCAGTTGCCATGACCTTCCTGAAGCAACAATCGCGCTTTACCGTGACCGGTCCAAATCCTGCCGATTACGATGTCAGAGCACATGCTTTCCCACAATATCTTTTGGCTCGCGCAAGAAGCCTTCCATTGTCACTAAAACCTCTTCACACTGAACCCAATCTACCTAAAACAGGAAGGAGGCACCACCACCCTACCTACCGCCCCTCATAATGCTCCTTCAAACTCCCCAAATACCCCTCCACCTTCTCCCCCTTCGCATCCACCACCTCCTTACAGTCCAGCAGAACCCACATCACCCTCCCCGGCAGCGTGCCGTTCCCAGTTACATTTACCCACTTGTGCGCCGTTGCTCTCTGCACGCTCACATCTCCCTGGCGCATGATGCGCTTCTCGCCTGAGTCCAGAATCAACTCAAACACGCCCTCGACAATGATGCCGTAGTCAATCGTCATGGCGCGGTGCAGGGGCGACTCGACGCCCGGGCCGAAGTCGATCATGCGCACTATGGAGCCGGATTTGTAGTGGATTGTCAGTCTGCTTGGCCTTGGAATAGGGGAAAGATTGTTGGATGGGATGGGTAAGGTGGCGGGATGATGGGAAAACAAACCTCCTTCTCCTTAGCCTTCTGGATATCAACATTATTGTTCAGATCAACCGGTGTCTCCTGCGTGGAGTAGAGTAAGTTGGAGATGGCTTGGTTCTGGACCATGAAGCGGTGGTGGTCGCCGTGGTCGGAGTGCAAAAAGACAGAGTCGCCTTGTTCATTGAGGCCGGTGATGTGTCGGACAATTTGGCGGAGGCCGGGGGCGGGGAAGGATTCGACGTAGTAGCCGTTGGGGTTGTCGTTGGGAGGGGCCATGGTGGATGGGAGGTGGGGTGAGGGAGGACTGGACGGATGATTATGGGGTGGAAGTGGTTGAATGGTGTTAGGAAGTTGAAGTTGATGTTGATGTTGTGGGAGTTGTGATGTTTGATGACTGGAATCAGGAGATAATGGTGTGAATGATTATGGGCTGAGATATGTTTCTGAAGTTTCCGGGGTTGTTATAACGAGTTGATGTTCCGAAATGCCTATGAATTACATCACAGTTATTCCCGGTACCATGTGTCTATACTCTCGATCAACCTCCGGGGTGTCAAACCCCCCCGGCCCCATCAGACATGGGCAGCAAGAGTGGTACCCCCATCCAAGATTATGTTGCACCCCGTAGCATAGCTCGCCCTCGGACTAGACAGGAACATGACCGCATCGGCAACTTCCTCGGCCAGCGCAATCCTTCCGAGCGGAACGGCTTTCTGGATCATCTCGCCGAGTTCCGGGATGTCATCCATGGCCTTGCGGATCATAGGGGTATCGACCCATGAAGGACACACGCTATTGACCCGGATTCCGTGTTTGGCGTTATCGAGTGCTGTCAGTCACCAGTCAGAAGATTGTCAGTTAAACGCCGGAGCGGACCCTTTTTGCCCCCCCCCAAGCAGACACGGGAGTTTTGTGTAACCCAACCCCATGGAGATTAAAAAACTTACCAGCATTCTTGGTAACACCGTTAACTGCATGCTTGGCGGCCGTGTACTGGACCATACCCGGGGTAGCAACGAACCCTGAAGCTGACCCCAGGTTGACAATGCTACCGCGTGCGACACCCCGCGCGGGAACGGCTTCGTCAACGAGAACAGCGTCTTGGGTCTTCATGATGGTGGAGAGAGCGCGGGTGACGAGGAAGGTTCCGGTTACGTTGACCTTGAACATCTGTTCGAACTCGGAGACGCTGGCTTCGGCGATTTCATTGGCTAATTGGACTCCGACCTGCATTCGAAAAGGGAAGTGTTAGTTTGGGTTGGTGGTCGGGGATTCATAGGTGGGTAGGGCTTACACCAGCGCTGTTGACTGCGTAATCGATCCGACCGAAGATCCGATGTGCATATGTGATGGCTTCATGAACCGACTCTTCCTTTGTGACATCAATGGCAACAGTTTCTGCCAGAAAATCTGGATTGGTAGCAAGATATTTGCACTCTTCTGCCACGGCCGAGGCAGCTTCGATGGTAAGGTCTGCTACGACGATAGCTCGAACACCATACCGGGCAAATGCCAATGCGCAAGCCTTGCCAATGCCGCTTGCTGCCAACGAAAATATGTTAGTAAAAGTGATTCGGAGGAAGACCGAGGCCACATACCTCCGATAACGAAAGCCGAACCCGTGAGATCCATGTCTTCGGTTGGTTTGTAGTGATGTTTACCTCTAGCTAGCAACAAAACCGAGTGTCATCCGCAGCCGAAGGATTACCATTTTATGCATCGGAGGGATGGCAGGCAATCAATGAATGTTACAGAACTCCAAGTAGTGCTTAAACTAAAAAACCAACAATCTGGTGTTCCGCATTTCCATATCTCATCGATCAGTGCCGCGCGGGTGTGAGATACAAGGAGGTGGGATTTTGATGCAGGTCAGATTTCAGTAAGACGGAGATGGATGGAGGCAATACCCGCCGGTGTTGCATCCTGGGAGTGACCCCAAAATTCGACCAAGCAAATGCTAAACTGTTTTGTTCGTGGAATTACCGTGATGAGATTCCGTCTCCGTGAACTGGTCCCGATATTCATGGCGGGAACAATGCAATTGCACGTCGGTATCGGGCGGTTGTTGACCGTCATGACGATGGGGAACTGAACCGGGAGGTAAGACGGACCATAGGAGATGCAACAGTCTTGATAATATAACATCAGAGTTTGACTCCGGGGTTTTTTTCATCATCGACTTCACATCCCAAGCATCAGCATTTTTCCATTCAGTCCATCAACAAACCTTCTCTCTCTTCCAAGATGTCCACCTCCGGCCCCATCACCGAGTTCCCGGCCCCTGGCCTTCGGGACCCCTTCCGTTACATCACGGGCCACGATGCCGAGGGCAACGCAGTCTTCGTCCAAACCGACAACGGCGACCACCGGGCAGTAATGCTCGGCGGTGCCGCCGCGCAAAACATTCTCTACAGCGCTGGCTCCAACCCCATCGAGCTCACCGGCAACGTCGATCTCGAGTTCGCCAAGAACAGGGTTTGTTTACACACCCCCTTCACCCTCTCTCCTTGGAAACAGAATCTAATGTAGTTCGTGACAGCCCTCGCTGCACATTCCCAACGGAGTCTGCGTGCGAATGATTGACTTCGCGCCCGGCTGCAAATCCAATATGCACCGGGCGCTCTGCATGGGCATCGGCACCGTATGCGAAGGCGAGGTCGAGCTTACGCTCGGCAGCGGCGAGAAGCGCATCCTGAGGCCCGGTGATGTCTCGATTAACCGCGGCGCGCTGCACCAGTGGCGCAATACGTCGGAAGACAAGCCGGCGAGGATGCTGTACACGCTGCTGGACATCAACCCGCTGATTGTCAATGGCAAGCAGCTGGACTTTGATATGGGGTATTTGATGAAGGAGTATGCCGAGTATGATGAGGGCGCCGGGGACAAGAAGGATGAGTAAGATAGATAGGCTCGTAAGGTTGGTATGGGGTGGGTGTTTTTTGAGTTGGCGGAGTAGGATACGCTAGACAGAATACACCAGAGACAATACTGCGAACTTCCATTTTCCTCAAGCCTCTCTGATGAGCCTTTGTGGGTGTTGAAACTGGGCGTGATTGTGAAGGTTCCCTCGATGAAATGTCTCCCGTACTACGGAGAGGACCTAAGCTGTCGTCCCAATCCCGCTACACTCACAGCGAACAAATGGCTTGGGGGTTTTGATATGACCAATGCTGCCAATATCTCGAGTACTGACGTAGCCTCATTTGCAAAGGATCAACTGCAATTGTGAATCTGGATGCAACAAGATATCTAGAAGGGAAGTCGACCCCCCTGGAAGCATTGAATAGAAGCCGTCATGGGTATCACAAAGATACGTCTACTGAGTGAGTGCGGGGAGCTCTGTAGCTGATTTGGTGGCACACCTCACCTCTCAAGCGCTGTAAACCATTAAACGGGCTGAAAACGGACTGGGCTGGATGGTTAGCAGGGGAGGGGGCGGGCCGCGTTACACTATCACCATTAGAATTGAATCTTGATGGCACATGCCGTTCGGCTTTCGGGAACGCCCGATGTCGTCACCATATGTCAAATCGTAGAGATAACGTGCGTTCGTGTTCTAGCGATTCCTCATCAACATTATCGGCTTGGTCGCGGTGGTATCGCAGTGAAGTCGTCGTCGTCGTATAACCGCTCGGCGGTCCGAGGGTCGTAAGAAGTAAGACGGGGGAAATGGTGGGTGCTGATGCTACCTCTCTTAGGCGCGAGGGACTTTGGCGATACCACCACAGTAAAAAGACCGTTCACTCACTGGATGGAAACGGGCCTTTCGTCGACGGATAATGGCATGTGCTTGACCGTCACCGTTTTTCTTACAGCGCAGGATGCAACCAAAAACAGAAACACAGGTTCCTTTTCACCTGAAGCCTGACGAGCACTTGCTCGGGATGGTTTGATGCATTGTCCCTTTTGAGGACTCTGCTTGTGATGGGCCCGTGTAGGGCTGAGGGGGGTATCTTTGCAAAGGGCCTGGGCTTGGAGAACATGGGACACAATTTTCATGTGCTTTGTTCCACCTAAAGGGGTGAAACCTGGTGGACAAGTCGAAAATGGCAGATGCCCTCCGAGATGGAAACGATATCTCTTGTCAATCTGATGTTGCAAGCTTGGGGAACGGTGGCCTGTGCAAGTAATACGATGAAACCTTGCGTTTATCTCCGATAACCCACGGCATCCGGCTCCCGTTGCACACTACCGGCCAGGTGCCGAGGGAATAGCCGCTTGCCATTTTTATTGTGAAATGCAGTCCGTGTCTGTGTAAACATTGCAAAGGACTTATGGGCATGATTAATGGCAGACATAGAGTAGCTGGGTTACAGGGCTGCGGTTCTCTACCAAGGGCTTCATTCAGGGCGATGCCACCCTCGAGCTCAGACCTGGGTTTCGAGTGTAACCGGAGATTTGCTCTGAATGCCACTTGACTTTAGCCAAGACACCGCTCTTCTGTCCAGTCCGTATGATCATAGCTTTAAGCTTACTGAAACACGTTCCGTACAGCATTCCGGGGGCAATGTAATGTTGAATACGATAGCTGATGTTTCTGGTAGGCATGCACCGATCTTCCGCAAAATAGTCAAATGCACCAACGGCAAGGGACTCCTAGTCCATATTCATCCCTACTACACCTTGCGGCTCACTCACAGCGTGGTGAAAGATAAGGCGGATATGCTCTCAACAAGGGAGGAAGTAAACAATGTAGCAGGAGACGGACAGCGGTGTTTTCGTTACCGCGCGGTAAGATAATGCCCGTCCTCCATGCAACTCCATACACGGCGATGAACCTGGGGTAGCTTCTTCCGCTTCGGAATAGCAGAGCTCTAACCGCTTGGTCGAGGAACTTGTGCAAACCGCTAACCTGTGAATGTCTTCGGCGTTCTCATCCAGGAAGACAATCGAAGAAAGAGGCCATCATGGATGGAACTTGTGTAGACCGCAGTCCTCCGTACGCGAGTAAGCCGGCGATGGTGATATTGATGCTCGCGATGATTGTGTTTTTGACTTCGATGATGGAACAAACAATGTATAAGAAAGATCATCGTCGTCTCAATCAAAGCTCAACTTACCTTCCAGATCATCACCAACATCATCATCACATCAACAACACACCCGTGCTTCCTCCTCCAAGCATTCAGACTCCCATCTCTTTCACAATCCGTTGACAGCAGGACACATCTCCAGCCCACCAAATCATTCAAGATGGCCCCTCACAGCACCGTCGACTCCGACTACTCGTCCGGGTCCTACACCCCGACCAGTACCGATGGCTTCGCCGGCCTCAACGGACTTAACGGTGGGCGCACCGTCGACCCTCAAGAGCCCATCGCTATCATTGGAATGGGTAAGTTCAGCCACTAGCCACACTTGTGACAACTCCTTTTCCCTACCAAAATACCACTAACACTCCATAGGATGTCGTCTGCCCGGTGGAAGCCACTCCGCATCCAAGCTCTGGGAGCTCCTCAAGGCCGGGCGTACCGCCCAGAGCCGCTTCCCACCGTCGCGCTTCAACATCGACGGCTTCTACCACCCCAACTCGGACCGTCCTGGCTCGCTCAACATGGAGGGCGGCTACTTCATCGAGGACGACATCCGCGGGTTCGAGAACTCCTTCTTCGGCATCAACAACCTCGAGGCCACATACATGGACCCCCAGCAGCGCAAGCTGCTTGAGGTGGTCTTCGAGACGTTCGAGAACGCCGGCTTCACGCTGGATCAGGTCTCTGACGCCAACATCGGTTGCTATGTCGGCAACTTCGTCACCGACTTCATCACCATGCAGCTCAAGGATTCCGAGTACACCCACAGATACTCCGCGACTGGTCTGGGTACCACCATCTTGGCCAACAGAATCAGTCATGTGTTCAACATGAAGGGTCCCAGCTTCGTCATCGACACTGCTTGCTCTTCCTCGCTTTACTGCTTGCATGCGGCTGTTACCGCCTTGCTCGCAGGAGAATGCGACTCCGCCATCGTGGCTGGTGCCAACCTTATCCAGTCTCCTGAGCAGCAGCTCGCCACCATGAAGGCTGGTGTCCTTTCCAAGACCTCCACTTGTCACACCTTTGACTCGTCTGCCGATGGTTACGGCAGAGCTGATGGTATCGGCGCCATCCTCGTTAAGAGGCTCAGTGATGCCATCCGTGACGGAGATCCGATCCGCTCCGTCATCCGTGGTACTGCCATCAACTCCAACGGCAAGACCAATGGCATTACCCTGCCTAGCGCTGATGGTCAGGAAGCCGTCATCCGCAAGGCCTATGCCCAGGCTGGTCTTGGCTTCAACGAGACCGACTACATTGAGTGCCATGGAACTGGTACAGCCGTGGGTGACCCGATCGAAGTTGAGGCCGTGTCCCGTGTCTTCAAGAAGCCCCAGGGCGCTCCCCTCCTGATCGGCTCCGTCAAGAGCAACCTCGGTCACTCCGAGGCTGCATCCGGCTTGTCCAGCATCATCAAGGTCGCCATGGCCCTCGAGAAGGGCGAGATCCCTCCCACATATGGCGTCAAGAACATCAACCCCAAGATCAAGACCGATGAGTGGAACGTCCAGATCGTCACTGAGGCGACCCCCTGGCCGAAGAACCTTCCTCACAACTCCAGCAGACTCTTCCGTCGCGCTGGTGTCAACTCATTCGGATATGGTGGTGCCAATGCTCACGCCATTCTTGAGGCTCCCCAGATGCACGTCCCTGTTGGCTACAACCGTGGCTCTCTGCCGGCTTCTCTCACCCGCTCGACTCTGTTCCTCCCCTTCTCCGGTTCCAACACCGCTGCTCTCGAGCGCAGAGTCACTGACATTGCTGCTGCGGTTGACTTTGACAACGTCAACATTGCCGACTTGGCCTACACCCTCGGCGTCAAGCGCACCCACCTCAGCACTCGCGGTTTCATCCTCAGCGGCCCAGACACCCTCAAGGATGACCTCAAGCCCGAGAACCTCCGCGTTGCTGTCCAGGGCAAGACCTACTCCAAGCTCCCCTTGGCTTTTGTCTTCACCGGCCAGGGCGCTCAGTGGCCTGAGATGGGCAAGGAGTTGATGAAGGAGTTCCCCAGCTTCCGCCGTACTATCCAGAGGCTCGATGCTGCCTTGCAGATGCTCCCGCATGCTCCCACCTGGACCCTTCAGGGCGCCATCCTTGAGCCGGCCAAGACTAGCATGATCAACCATGCCTCGCGTTCTCAGCCTGTCTGCACTGCTGTCCAGGTTGCCCTGGTCCAGCTCCTTGCCTCTTGGGACATCAAGCCCGAGAGTGTCATCGGCCACTCCTCCGGAGAAATTGCCGCCGCCTACACTGCCGGCTACCTCACCCCCGAGCAGTCCATCATCATCGCCTACTACCGTGGTCACTGTGTTACCAAGAGCACCATGGTGGGTGCCATGATGGCTGCCGGTCTCGGCGCTGAGGATGCCAACAAGAAGATCAGCGAGCTTGGCCTCGACGGAAAAATCAGGGTTGCTTGTGTCAACTCCCCTGAGAGCGTCACCATCTCCGGTAACACCGAGGGCATCGAGACTCTCCGTGCCCAGTTTGACGAAGCTGGCACATTTGCCAGAGTCCTCAAGACCGATGGCAAGGCCTACCACTCTCACCACATGGCTGTCATCGGCCAGGAGTACGAGGACCTCATGACCGAGGCTCTCGACGGCGATGACTTCCCCACCACCGGCAACGGCGTTCGGTTCATCTCCTCCGTCACTGACGCCGTTGTCAACCACGCCGTCGGCCCCGCGTATTGGCGCGCTAACCTCGAGTCCCCCGTCCTGTTCGCCAACGTCGTCGAGCGTCTCATCAAGGACACCGCCTCGCACCTAGTCGAGCTCGGCCCTCACTCCGCTCTCGAGCTTCCCATCAAGCAGACCCGCACCAAGCTCAACATCAGCGAGACCAAGATACACTACGGCTCTGCCCTGTCGCGCGGCAAGAACTCCATCACCACCATCCTCAACCTGGTCGGCGACCTCTTCCTGCACGGCCACGACGTCTCCTTCAAGGGCGTCAACTACGTCGACTCGGCCTTCAACAGCCCCAAGGCGCGCAAGAACGTGCGCACCCAGGAGAAGATGCTGCTCGACCTGCCGAACTACACCTGGGATTATAGCGGCACCGTCTTCAACGAGTCGCGCGTCAGCGTCGAGTGGCGCAACCGCAAGTATCCCCGCCACGACCTGCTCGGCTCTCAAGTCCACGGAGGCAATGGAATCTCCACCAACTGGCGCAATGTCGTCAAGGCCAAGGACATCCCCTGGATGGAGGGCCACAAGCTCGACACGACCACCGTCTTCCCGGCCGCTGGCTACCTCGCCATGGCGGTTGAAGCCATGTGCCAAGTCGCCGACGTGACCAAGGAGCAAGAGCCCGCGCTCAGCCTTCGCAACGTCAACATCACCAAGGCCCTGACCCTCGGCAGCGAAGAGACCGACGTCGGTGTCGAGCTGTTCACCACGCTCTATCCTGCCCAGCTCTCCGGCGGCTCTGCTACCGACGCAGGCTGGTACCAGTTCAACATCAGCTCCTACACCAACGACACGGCCACCACGCACGCCAACGGTCTCGTCAAGATCGACGCCGCCCCCGCTCCGCTGGAGGTCAGCCTGCCCATCGTCCCATCGACCATGGAGCCTCAAGCACCGCGCACATGGTACGGCAAGTTTGCCAAGGGCGGCTTGAACTTCCAGGGCCAGTTCCAGTCTCTCACCGAGATCCAGAACCCCCGCAAGAAGGAGAACGCGCACACGCTGGCCAAGACGGAACTCCGCCAGGGCGGTGGCAGTGGCACTTCGTCTGAGTCGGAGTATCTCATTCACCCAATCACGATCGATGCCCTCTTCCAGGCTGGTATCATTGCCAGCACCTCTGGTGTTGTCCGCGAGTTGCGCGCTAAGGTCCCGGTGCACATCGAGGAGATGCACCTCCGCGCTCCGGTTGGTGGGCAGAAGGAGCTCAAGGTCAATGCCACTTCTGACGCCGTTGGCTTTGGCACCATCCGCGTCGATGGTGAGCTGTTTGATGACGAGGGACGTGTCTTCCTCCAGATCAACCGGTGCAGACAGGTTGCTTACCAGAGCGGTATCCAGCAGGAGGCTGGCGATGAACGTCACCCTATGCTCCGCGTTGTCTGGAAGCCGGATGTGACCAGGCTTGGAACCGATGATGCCGAGGAGTTCTCGCAGTACATTGAGCAGTATACTGCCAAGTCTGAGAGCAAGGCTGATGATGCTACTGTTCGCTTGGGCGCTGCTCTTGATTTGTTGATTCACAAGCACCCCCGACTTCGCATCCTGAACCTCGACGTCAACTTGAACGAGTTCTTGGTTGACACCCTCCGTCTCGAGACCGACTTCAAGAAGTGCAAGACCCTGGTTAGCGGCTCCTACTCCGAGGATGGCACCCTCACCTTCGAGGACCTCACCAACGAGGGCAAGACCTCCACCGTCGCTCAAGTCTTTGACGTCGTCATCCTCGGCTCCAAGACCCAGGACCTCGAGGCCGTCAAGGAGCTCGTCGATGAGGACGGTTCTATCCTCCTCAACGGCTCTTTCGCCGACGCTGACAAGCTCCAAAACCTCGGCTTCACGACCCTCCAGGCTCCCTCCGGCACCACCCTCGCACAGACTCCCCAAGAGGTCACCGCCAAGCAGACCAAGACTCTTTCCAAGCAGGTCCTCATCGTCGAGCGCAACGCCGACCATGTCCTCAACAGCGCCATTGCCGCCCAAGCCAAGAAGATCACCGGCCTCGACGCCCAGCGCATCCCGCTCGAGAGCGTTACCGCCGACATCATCGCCGCGCACACCCGCGTCATCTCTACCATCGAGCTTGAGGACCCCGTCCTCTCGCGCGTCACCGAGGACGAGATGAAGCACATCAAGACTTTGACCGACAACTGCACCAACCTCGTCTGGGTCACCGGCGGCCGTCTCTTCCACGCCTCTTCGCCCGAGCACGCCGTTGTCTACGGTCTCTCGCGTGCGCTGATGCTCGAGCAGCCTTCGCTTCGCTTCTTCGTGCTGGATGTCGACCATGAGAACACCCCCGTGCAGAGAACGGCTAAGCACGTCGTTGAAGTCCTCCAGCAGGCTCTTATCGAGGCTGATCCCGACTATGAGTTCATCCAGAACGCTGGCCTGCTTCATGTCAGTAGGTTCGTGCCTGAGGAGAGCCTCAACAGGGTCTTCCGTGAGAAGCAGGGTGCTGAGAAGCTTGCTCTGCCTCTCAAGGATGCTAGACCTTTCCGTCTGGGTACCGATATGGTCGGCCAGATCGACTCTATCTTCTTCCGTCGTGAGGAGGTCAAGGATGTTCAGCTGGCTGATGGCCATGTTGAGGTCTCTGTTAAAGCTGTGGGCTTGAACACCAAGGATCTGCAGGCTATCAATGGCGACGGCGATAACACTAGCGGCTCCTTCTGCACTTCGCAGTACACCGCTGTTGTCACCAAGGTCGCTGGTGGTGTTGAGAACCTCGCTGTTGGTGACCGTGTCGTCGTCATGGCCCCCGGTTACTTTGCCACGACCGAGAGTGTCCCAGCCTGGGCTTGCCAGAAGCTGGCCGACAACGAGGACTTCACCACCCTTTCTAGCGTTCCCCTTCAGCTCAGCACCGCCATCTACGCCGTCAACAACCGTGCCCATGTCCAGTCTGGCGAGTCCGTCCTCGTCATCGCCGGAAGCGACATCGCTGCTGACCAGGCCGCCATCCGCGTCGCTCAGCTCGCTGGCGCCGAGGTGTTTGCCGTCGGTGACAACACCAACCTGTCTGCGGACCGCGTCTTTGCCAAGGATGACCAGGCTCTCGTTGCCAAGCTGCTCAAGGCCACTGAAGGCCGTGGCGTCGACGTCGTCCTCAACTTTGCCAACGAGGCCGCTCCCATCTCCAGCATCGGCAGCATCTTCGCCGACTGCGGTCGTCTTGTCCATGTCGGCAAATCTGGCCTCGCTGAGACCATTGCCACCGACTCGACCCTCTTCCGCAAGAGCGTCACTGTCACGACCTTTGACATTGCCAACATCTTGTCTCTCAAGACCGCTGCCGGCCAGAAGATCCGCTCCCAGCTGTTGGCTGATAGCATTGCTCTCTACCGCCAGGGCGAGCTCAACTTGGCTACGTCTCCCAAGGCCTTTGACGTCTCCGAGGTCCGCGACGCCTTCCGCGCGCTGGCGGCCAAGGGCCACTCTGGCTCTGTTGTTGTGTCTCTCGAGAACGATGCCTCGCTTGTCCCTACGCTTCCGCTCAAGTATGACACCGTCCTTAGCCCCGAGAAGAGCTACCTCCTTGTCGGCTGCCTCGGTGGTCTCGGTCGCTCCATGTCCAAGTGGATGCTCGCTCGTGGTGCTCGCAAGTTCGTGTTCATGGGCCGCAGCGGTACTGACCGTGCTCCTGCTCGTCGCTTGGTCGAGGATCTCGAGCTCGCCGGTGCGCAGGTGACGGTCGTTCGTGGTGACGTTATCAACATGGAGGATGTCGAGCTGGCTGTCAATGGTATCGAAGGACAGATCGGTGGTGTTATCCAGGCTGCTATGGGTCTTGATGTGAGTTCCAACCCCCTTTTCCGATGACGATGATGATGAAGCAAATACTAACCGGTAACTCCCCCAAAACAGGAAGCTCTCTTCACCACTATGCCCCGCGACTACTGGCTCACCGGCCTCAAGCCCAAGATTGTCGGCTCGTGGAACTTGCACAATGCCATCCGCGGCCGTGACTCCCAGCTCGACTTCTTCCTCATGACCTCCTCCATCTCCGGCAGCGTTGGCACCGCCACCGAGTCCAACTACTGCTCGGCCAACTACTTCCTCGACGTCTTCGCCCGCCACCGTCACTCCCTCGGTCTCCCCGCCACTTCCATCGGTCTTGGTATGATTTCCGAAGTCGGCTACCTGCACGAGAACCCCGAGATCGAAGCCATGCTCCTCCGCAAGGGCATCCAAGCCATCAACGAAGACGAGATGCTGCAAATCATCGACGCCTCGCTGGCCACTCCCACCTCCGTCCCCGGCAGCTACGACGAGCTCGCCCGCGCCCACGTCCTGACCGGTCTCGAGCCTCTCGGCCTCAAGGAGCTGCGCGCCAAGGGCTTTGAGGGCACCTCGCCCGTGCTCGGCGACCCCCGCGCTTCTCTCCTGTCCGCCGCCCTCGACGAGTCCACCGATGCGGGCAGCAGCGGCGCGGCCAGCGGTATGCCCGCCGAAGTGGCCGAGGCTATTGCCACGGGTGCCTCGGTCGAGGACGCCATCCTCAAGATGATCTCCAAGAAGTTCTCCAACTTGGTGCTGATTCCCGAGGACAAGCTGAACCTGACCAAGCCGATCAGCGAGGTGGGTGTGGACAGCATGTTGGCTGCGGAGTTCAGGGCGTGGATCTTCCAGGCTTTTAAGGTGGATGTGCCGTATTTGACACTGTTGTCGGCGGCGGCTACGCTGACGTTGTTGTCGGAGTTGATCACGAAGAAGATGTTGGAGGCTCAGGATGCTTAAGGTAGCTAGCTGTTGGTTGTTTGATGGTTGATGATATGATTGGTAGTTGGGAGGTTTAGATTGGTACATTTCCTTCCTTCATGTTGTTCTCTCATTCCCTTTCTATGGCGTTCAAGGATCTTGGCTTCACAACTGGGAGGAGGATTGATGAATGGCGGTGGTCAACGTCATGATGAGCTTGTCTCTTTTTCTTTCGTTTTTCCATTTCTAGACCGCGATGCTTTGGTCACTCTTCTTTGGTTTCGATGCGCGCGTTTTATCTCTCGTACTCTGTCTTCAGCGTTGCATTTGTATAGATCTAGATCGATTTTCATAAGTTTGATGTTATCAATAACAAACATATTTGAAATAACCAGTGCCGACATTGTTGTTGACGTGACTTCAAATTTTGATGTCAAGAGGAGCAAACGAAGGGCAACTGAGAGCGAGTGCCAAGATTGGCAGTCTTGTCGATTTGTGGACCCACTCCACAGTTGGCACACCAAAATACTGCTCCGCTGCCAACTGTAGACAGCTGCTGTTTTGAGCTTTGAGTGTCTCGGTAAACTGCTGCTTCCAAAAAGACGCGCAAGACAAGAAGAGTTCATCCTGATAATTGTTTCGTAATTCAAGTCCAGACGGACAGGAACAGGAAGTCGGGAAAACTTGAGTTTCCCATTACCACTTTGGAGGCGGGCTTCAAAAAGTAGCAAACCCAAATGCCGGATTTTGACAAGCAGAGCTACTGGCATACACGTTTTGAGTCGGAGACGGCCTTTGAATGGCTCATCCCGTCGTCAACGTTCATGCCCCTTCTCGAGTCTTTTCTCAAGAAGCTGCCTGGCTCTGATGCCAATATCCTTCATTTGGGTTTCGGCACGAGTGACCTACAAGTCCAACTCCGGACGCGTGGCTTTGCCAACATATCTAATGTTGACTATGAGCCTTTGGCGACCGAGAGAGGCCGGCGCCTCGAGGAGGCCGCGTTTGGCGATGTGAGAATGCAATATATCACTGCCGATGCAACTCGTCTTGATTCCGTTCCTGATATATCTTGCCGCAAATATCACCTTGTCGTCGACAAGAGCACAGCTGATGCCATTTCTTGCGCAGGCGACGATGCGGTTTTGGCCATGGCCCAGGGCATTCACCGGAGTCTGGCCGATGATGGTGGTGTCTGGATCTCCGTGAGCTACTCGGCCTTCCGGTATGACATTCCGCAGTTGCCGTTTGACGTCGAGGTCATCACCAAGCTTCCCACCGCCAAGACGAAGGCGACTGATCCAGATATTTATCACTATTGCTACCTCCTGCGTCCGAAACCAAAGAAGGCGTAGATGGCTGGCATTGGCAGTAGAACTTGGCTACAATGCACCACCGACCTGTCACAGGGTCGCACTCTCGGCCGATCCGCTCTCTCTTCCCGGAACCGCTCACGAGGTTTGGGTCGGTGCATACCCCTTTTCACCTCGATTATAGACCCGAAAAAGGAAATCTCGGAGGAAGGCTGTCAACAGCCGATCTGCCAAGACTCCCGATCCGGGATGGAAGGGTTGTCAGAACCGGGGGTTCGGCATGTCGGAGAGCGGACCGATCGCATCCTGGGATCTAGCGAGATTTAGCAGTACCACGCTGGGGTCGAGAAACAATGGCTTTGCATCAAGTCAAGCAAGAAAATCCGGGGAAGAAGCGCCACCACGAGGGAAGACATCGTATCCAGGTTTATGCGCACCAACGAGACAAGCATCCCACGCCCCATGGACTAGACCTCCGCATCCCGTTCGAGAAGTTTCAAAAGACCGGGATGACCTAGGAGCCAAGGCAATGGTCCAGGGAGACGGTACTGTCATCCGAGATGTCAAAGGAAAGGGGGGCGAAACCGTATCGAGGGCCTTTAATCTCAAAGACGTCGAGGATGGTGGGATGGTGGGATGGTAGACGAGTATAAGTGCTCTCGACTCCCGTCATCTGGCCGAGTTTTAATCCTGTTGTGATACCACCAGCACAATACCCAACCCACCACATACCCTCAACAACAGTCCAACATGAAGACCGGAGCCATCCTCACGGCCCTCGTGGCCTCGGCCAGCGCCCACACCATTTTCCAGAAGGTGTCCGTCAACGGTGCCGATCAGGGCCAGCTCAAGGGCATCCGTGCTCCTCCCAACAACAACCCCGTTCTCAACGTACAGTCCGGAGACATTGCTTGCAATGTTGCTTCGATTAAGGACAGCAACGTCCTTACCGTTCCGGCTGGTGCCAAGGTTGGACACTGGTGGGGACATGAGTTCGGCGGTGCTTCCGGCCCCAACGACCTTGACAACCCGATTGCTGCTTCTCACAAGGGTAAGCTTCCACACATATCCTCCGGTACGATGCTCTTGACAGTCAACTAACATGGACGTTTCCATTCATGCAGGTCCCGTCATCGTCTACCTCGCCAAGGTTGACAACGCTGCAACAACCGGGACATCGGGGTTGAAGTGGTTCAAGGTGGCCGAAGCCGGTTTCAGCGGCGGCAAGTGGGCCGTCGACGACCTGATCGCCAACAACGGCTGGTCCTACTTCGACATGCCCACCTGCATCGCTCCGGGCCAGTACCTGATGCGTGCCGAGATCATTGCGCTACACAACGCCGGCTCCTCCCAAGGCGCGCAGTTCTACATCGGCTGCGCCCAAATCAACGTTACGGGCGGCGGTAACGCCTCGCCCAGCACCGTCAGCTTCCCCGGTGCCTACTCCGCCAGTGACCCCGGCATCCTCATCAACATCTACGGCACCGGCGGCAGCACCAACAATGGCGGCAGGGCCTACCAGATTCCTGGCCCCCCAGCTGTTCACTTGCTCCGGCAACGGCGGTGGCTCTGGCGGCTCTACCCCCCAGCAGCCTACCACCACTGCTAGCAACCCCCAGCCTACCAACGGCGGTGGCTCGGGTACCGGTGCTCCTCTTTACGGACAGTGCGGTGGTAAGGGCTGGACTGGCCCTACCACTTGCGCTTCGGGCACTTGCAAGGCGTCCAACGAGTACTATAGCCAGTGCCTCCCATAAATCTGAGGCTCTGCGGTTGAGAAGAAGAAGGTAGTGGTGATGGTGGTGAAGTGCCCAGAAACGTTCGGTTACTTCAGCCTGAGTTAATCGGGACAGGAAAAAAAAAAGTCCTGATTGACTTTGGATAAAACAAACAAAACAGTTGGGATTCTTCTGCTATTTTTTGGGAGGATCATACCCAGCGCTTGCACATAACCTTTTTACACACAACATACTTCTACTGTACATATCTTAGCAAGTATATAAAACTACTACCATTGAACATATGGAATACTGACCATGTCTCTGTGAACTGATCATTTCTGCATATTATTTGTTTGACTGTGTGTGTGCTGGGATGACGTGTTGTTGCCTTGGTCTTCTCGGTGAATATGGCTGACAATGTTCCGGGGACCTTAATAATCTCTTAACTCAGATGCGCGTTACGTGCGGCAAATACAGTTAGTGGAAGATAGCGATTGGCCCCCAGCCCATCTAAGAACAAACACAAAAGTGATGCTGGGAAATCTTCTATGTACATACCACGCCGAAACACAAAACAAGCAATGCCTGTTCAGTTTCTTCTCACCTTTTTCGACCATCGTCTGTAACAGTGACAGCGACAGTGACAGTTCACCTTCTCTTCAAACATCAAATCTTCCATCCCGTCTTAGCACCGACCTTCCATTCTCAGAGACCCATCACCAAATGCAGCCAACCCGACCGCAAAATGTGACAACTTGAACATGGAACATGAAACAATCCTTCCATCCCTGAAAATCTGAAAATCGTGAAAGTTGTGAACAGTCCGTTATCTCAGTACATCCAACAACAAAGAACTTCAAAGAAGGTGGTCAAACTTCCACTGTCCCCTTATGTTTCACGCTATCGAATTCCTTGCAGGGTGCAGCTCTTGGGCCTTATGGCATCGAACATGGATGGTTTCTTACTTTCAGTTTAGTACCACGCCCGCTCGGGCCACGTTTTCTGTTTCTTTTCGTTCAACTCCACTTCTCTTTTTCTCAGCACCACCACGACGTTTTTTTTCTCAGCACGCAGCTGGCACGACATGGCAGGACGGACTTGCTGGTGACTGGGACTGAGACTGAGACTGGGACTGGGGTCTGAATGATTGAGGCACGGACGGCCGAGAATGTAACGCTGAAAGAAGAGGAGTCTGTGAATCTCTCAAAGTCTGGATCATCACATTTGACGATGATGTATCACGCTTCGGCTCGCCTCCAGTGAACGCCCTTGAGCTTCTAGCCCACCTGTGTCCACTAGCCGTAACCGGGCCGCCTAGACTCTAGACTCTGACTGCTCACTCCTCAGCTGGAAGTCAAAGAGCGGTTGAGCGAGCGGCTCATTTGGTTGAAGCTGTAAGCTGGTACGATTCATTCGATTGGTAACCAACCACCAAGTCGTATATCTACCGAGAATGCAGTGTTTATGGGGTGGCTCAATAGATTTGGTCGATAATTGCTGGATATTGGCGTGAGAGTGAGAAATATTGCCTGGGCCGACTGGTGATGCTATTCTCGGTGACTGGCTCCCGTCGACTGGGTGCACATGTCTGTGGATTGTCGTCAAACAACCTCGACAACTTCGAGACACTCTTGACTTGCACGTGGTCGACAACGAAGAGTGAAGTCAAAAGAAGATCGTCGGTCCTCGGCATTCTTGCATTTCTTCTTCTGATTCTTCTCTGCAGTGTGAGTGACTGGAGTCAACCGAGCCGTGTCCCAATCCCCCGCAATTCGCATGTGTGGTTTGAGTATCTGGGAATTGGGCCGGCCAGGGGGGTGGGCTCGTGGCCTTCAGTGGACCCCTTCCCCCGCACGACCCTATGTGGATCCTTCCTCTGTAGCGTACTGGACCTTGTGGAACTGACGAACCCCCCCTGGAGCCCACCTGGACCCCCCACCACACCGTGACACCGGCGATTCTCTCATTCCATCCCACGGTAGGGCACTTTCCATTCCACGACAGCGGACTTGACGACGGAGCAGGACGGACAAGAAAGTGGTGAAAATGATGGAGTGAGTCCAGTCTCACAACTTGAACGCCACGATGCACGACTGCAGACACCTACGCTGCCTTGCACCCACCGAGGGGCCCGGACAGAAAGCGAAACTCGATTGACATCGGTGGGCCGAATTGCCCGATTGACCGGCCGGCCAATGGCAGGTTGAGGGGAAGACGTTGCCTTTAACCACAAGCGGAAAGTGGACGGAGGCACTGTCGCGATCTTCTATCTCGTTGTGGGCTCCTATGGGGGTTGTGGCGGGCGCAAATCAGTCCCTCTCTTTTCAGAGAAAACACCGCAAGAAATGAGTGGTTCCAAACTGAAGAAAGTCGGCAAAACTTGGATGTCGTTTTTCGCCTCCGCTGATGAAGATGACAGATAAAAGAATGACTCTGACGATGGTGGAAACTCGGTACGTGCGGCAAATAGGTATACGTATTCGCCGTCGGTTGTGTACCCATGATGACTGTCCATCCACATTTCCTCATCTTCCAGCAACGCCAGGACGCCCACCAAGACGCCCACCAAGACACCATCGACGCCGGTAGGTCGTTAGTCTTTGGTCGCTCACGGGCGTAGAAGACAGGGAAAATTTAGGCCCTTGCCAATCATCACGCAAATCCAGTTCATCCACGGTACGCCATGCCACCTTCCCGATGGACTTTGGGGACATGCGGAACATGGGTCCGGTTCGGCTGTCCCACACCACCCAATGGCACTTCACGATCGATATATACCATGTGTACTATGGTACATGTAAGCAATAAATGAGCATCAGTCAGATAGACTCCTCTACCGTACGCTAGAGGTCAGACTAGTACATAGACTCCGGTCCTCCCCCAGCCGGTCGAGACCTTGTGTCTGTCTTTTCTCTCTGTTTTTGTCCGGTTTCCTCATCTGCTTGTTGAACCTGTCGGTGATACTCCATAGTCCCCGGTGCAACTGTGTATCGGTGTAGACAAGATCAACAGAGAGCAGTTTTCCCCATGGCGATGACGCTTCACCAAAACGCCGCCGACCATATGGCCGGTAGGCTCGGGTCGGGCAACATGGAGCAGTACATGTAAGTAGCCGTGTCTCCAAAGACTTCAGAGAAACATCAGACGAACAGTTGGAGAGTCTCTGCGGTATTCATCCCAAGTCACGAACAGTTGGAGAGTCTCTGCGGCATTCATCCCAAGTCACAACATGGCTAACCCTGTTTTCTTCTCTCTTCAGAGCTATCAACGCCGGATGCTCCGCACTCATCGCCGCTATCGCAAAGACCGTCACCGCCATCCACGGCCTTATGCGCGAAGTCCGTGAATCACGCGCCGACCTCGATCCCATATCCAGCGAACTCCATTCCCTCGACGGCATTCTCGATATTCTCAAGGACGACGTTCCACATCTTCCAGAACAACTGGCGCAAAGGACCCCCGAAGTACTTAGCTACTGTCTCACCATCATCAACGAACTCCAAGGATGCATCTCCATTTTGGACCGTGTTGGCCTCTCCCGGCAGGACAAAAGATCGCGATGGATGGCGAGTAGGGGACATATTGCCAAGTTGCGTTGGACGTTGGAGGTGTACAAGGCCAGCCTGGGACTGGCGGTGGACTTGGTTGCGTTGTAAGTGCGCTTCCTATATGACTGGGAATGCGAGGTTAGCAGGGTTGCTAACATGTGCAAAAAAGGACCTCTAACAAACAACAAAACGAAGAAAGCCCGGTTAGGGAAACTTTTATGGAAGATGCCTCTGTGGTATCAGACGGCAAGGACGAGTTGGCCGGCGTATTAGCCCAAATCAGCCGTGTTGCTGCTCGACTCGAAGACGAATCCCGCCACAACGGCGCTGTTGCGAAGCTTCAACATTACCTCGATGCGCTATACGGAAATGCTCTTGCCGCTGTCGACCGTGAGATGGACCATTTCGAAGGTCAACGAAATAGTGCCCACTCCTCGACCGATCATGCCCCCGATAGTGCTATCGACATGGGCGACGACGACCACACTTTTGTTCACGCCAAAACAGCGAATATCCCGATACCGCAAACCCAGGTCGACATGACCCAGGACGAGTTCGACGAGATGCTGGATGAGCTAAGGGAGATGCCGGTTCGACCTCCAACACCACCGCAAAGGTCAGCGAGACGGTCTTCGTCGGCTGCTTCCGCCACCCGCAGCGAATACCGCCCTAGCACAGCCGACTCCTATACCAGCACCCCTTATGGTGCTGGAACATCGTTCCTGGATCTTGAAGCCCGAAGCCAAAGCCCACATCTTCGAAGCCAGAGCGACTCGGCGGCCATCTCACCTCGACCAGCCCCCATCAACCACCTCTCACATATGAGCGGGGGTCTGATGCCAGTCCGTACGTACGGCCAAAACAGCGATTCCCTCTGGGAGAACCCTCGCCCAGCGGTTCCCGTTCCTCGACCGACCACATCTAGCTCGAACATCACAAACTCCCCGAAACCCAACGTCCTACGAAGAAGCAGCTCCCGCCTTTCCTCCGCCCTAAAAGGCCTCAGCTTCGGTCGCCAGCGCTCCCACTCAACAACCAGCACCGGCAGCTCGGCAAAATCATCCACCTTCTCCATGGCCATGCCACCGACCCCTCCTACCCCAGCTCCCATCGCCCACGAAGCCTCGACCTTCCAACCAGTCTCTACCATCCCTCCTCCTGTCCCCTCCAGTGGCGGCGCCATCTTCGGTGTCTCCCTCGCCAACTCAATGTCCGTAGCCAAAGGTCTCGCCGCCGCCCGCCACGACAGCGGCGGCTCCTCCACGCGCGACTACCCGCTCTGCATCCTGCGGTGCGTCTACTTCATCCAAGACCACGGTTTACGCGCCCCTCACATTTTCGCTCAAGAAGGTGACCCCTACCGCCTGCAGCGTCTGAAAGCCATCTTCAGCTCCCCAGAAACCGGCTACGGCAAGTTCCTCGACTGGAACCAATTCACAGTATACGAGGCCGCCGACATGATTTTGTTGTATCTCTCCTCGCTTCCCCAACCACTTATCCCAGAATCGGTAGCCAAGCGGTGGATCGCCATGTCCCGCCAGGCGACCATGTCCGGGTCTTCTGCGATCCGGTTAGACAAGGGGATCGATTTCTGGGAGGAGGCGCTGCAGGGCATCAAGGGACCCAACAGGAGCTTGTTCAAGCTGCTGTTGAACCTGTGGGGCGACGTGGCGGACAGCGTGGAATGGAACGAGATGACGGCCGAGAGACTGGCGGAGAAAATGATGCGCCCGCTGATGCACCTCCCACAGACGAGGTACGGGACGGATTACATGCTGGGACTGGCGTTTGTGGTGAGGAAGCGGAGCGAGTATAATGCGGGGTTGAAGGGAGAGAGGAGTCGGGCTGCTTTTTGAGCATAGGCACGGTAACCTGGACGGTGTCGCTGGATACTGTAGAACTGGGTTGGATATGATTGATGGAAGTTGGAGCGTGATGATGCGCTTTCTTTGGCTTGGTTTGGTCGGTGTTTCCTTTCTCTTTTTCCTCCTGAGCCCATGTTTTCTTGATTTTTGGGACTTGTTTTCGTCCTGTCGCTCGTTTATTGAGCAGCTGAAATGATACCCCGGGGAGAATGACTGTAGTACCACATATGGAATATTACAGAGTTGTCGTTGAAAATACACTACCTTGCCACACATTCGATTTATCAAGACACTGACGATCGATCCGTCTGCAAACTGAAATGACTGTTACATGACAAGATTCGCATACTGTACTTTCTTTCACCCTTCGAATTCGGCCCGCGTCCTCTTTTGGCAGCTGTCTGATCACCACCACCAAAACGAGGCTTTGGATTCATCTTTTTCCAGATTTTTAGATATTGCTTGATTCATTTGTTATTACCAGTGACCTTCCTCGGCCTTCCTCGGCTAATTCTTCCTATTCCTCGACGTACTTACATCATACATTCCCATTTCCCGTAGGTAACTGCTCTCACATACCTATACTCTCACATATTGAAATTAGGTTGCGAAGCTGTCCTGTAGGTAGTGACCTCTGGCAGGTAGGTAGCTCAAAACGGCGGGAAACCCCCTCCCTCTCCCAGAACTCGTCGTGGCTTGAATCCATCGCCTTCCTTTCCCTCGGTGCTTGCAAGGCAAGGGCCAGTGACGAGCAGGATCTTGAAATGCATTGACGTCTTTCTTGTCAGTGTGCAGATAAGGCATGCAGCTGAGTGATTGAAGCTTGTGGCACCGGCTGTCAACGACACTTGGGGGTCATGACAAAACAAGCAGAAAAGGGCGCGAGTATACTTACTGCTTGAATATGTGCGTTTCATGTCTGCAAAAAGAAAGTTGGGGGAGCCCGGGGGCAGTGTAAACTCGATTCTTCTGCTGATGCTAAGTATGTCTTTTCCTCCCATCAAAGGCCAACGAGCTGGAGGGTGGGCATGAATGTTGCAGTATGCTTGTGCACTATGGTATATCTGCTTTTCAGGGTTATCTTAGAGGGACCCAAGATTCTGTTGACCAGAATTCTGCGGTATTTATTTTCGAAGTCGTCATGAGGACTTGATCGCGTCCCGCCAGAGCTTGATGCGTACTCACTTGCAGCGTATTCTGTACAGAAATGGGTTTCTGCAACTATCAGGTAGCTGCATACGCGGCTTTTTTTTTCGGTACACATTCCAGTAAGCTTGGAAGGGCAACTCTTGACCCAGACCCGGACGCACTTGCCTTCTTCTGCGGACCTCCGGTTCTTCCACCACCCAGTTGCGTTTGTCTTGTTTTCCTGCCCGCATAACGTTGTGAATTAACATGAGCGGACTGCCACATTCAAGTTCTGCTCATGTACAGAGATTTTCCCCGTTATATTGTCCGAGCTACCTGCGCTTTTTTTTCTTTCCCCGATGTCTTCATCAAGTCATCCAGATACCGGTTGAACGTCGACGCAATGCGTAGTCACTGGCCATCTTTGCCCGCTGCCAACCCTCGACCTTGGCAGAAGAATACCCATCTTGAGCAAGTTATAGACATGTTACTGGCCTGTAATGGCTTACTTCTGGCGGCATCTCGCAGGTGGCGAGGACGATGTCCAAGTTGTCACCTGGATGAGTTGTCAGCGCAGCAGAGCGGACATCTTGCAAACTGCTTCTGCTCACATGTCCGTCACTGGTTCTTTAGTTATGTAGATATCATCACGGGCAGTGATTTTTCTGATGAGCAGCGTCCAAACTGCATCATGTTTTAATCGGGGGGTTTTTTGGCAGGCCTACAAAGCTCGAACTTCCCCCGCCTCTCCAGCGAATTATTCAACTTTTTTCTTCTTCGAACATCGAAATCAATCCTGACCATCTTTGTTGAAAGGGCACTCTGTCTTCAATCAGCTACTAGCAACGCTCTTTGCGCGAAAACTACCATTTCGAACAAGCTCTCTTGCACATCAACATCATGGACGGAAAAACCCGATCAGACAGACCCGCACAAGCTCAGCTGGAGCGCTTCCCACCAGAAGTTGCCGAGATCAACTCCAAGTACCACATGAATGTAAGCGGTACAAACCCCCAGCTGATCTGCTTCAGTATCATGGTCCTTGGCTCTGGCGAGTATGGCTAACAAATTCTGTCCCTGACATAGGCCTCAACCGCCATGGAAACTCGCCAGATCTCAGGCCTTGCCGTCTCGTTTGGCCCAGGCATGGAGGTCGCTGGACTTACCCCTGCAAAGATGACCAATTTCCCTTCGTATCAAGTGGAATGCAAAACGGTCCACCTGTACTGGGACAGGCAGTGGTCCAACCACACCATCATGAGCTGGGATGCGTCAAGTCTTTTGACGATCCATAGTCTGTTTCTCTGTGGAGGAATCAAGATCCGTGGCAAGCAGGTCAACACCCACTACTCTTATCTCGGTCCCGGCTCCGGAACACTGGAGCTCTCGGAACTCCATCCAAGCGTAACGGAGGAGGAAATAAAAGGCCAGATTCCTCACAAGCTTCTGCTTGGTGCCAAATGGTCCACAATCACCCCGAAATGCAGGGACATCAGTGTTCTGAATACATTACTCACGACATTCAACCAGTTTGGCCATATCAAAGACCGCAATGTGGAGACCTTGCCAACCATGATGCGGTTAACGGCCTTGTTTGAAAACGAGGAGGACGCCAGGAGAGCCGTGGAGGTCCTCGATCAGTCACCACTGCCAGCCAACCCCCAGCAGAAGCTGACAGCCAGGCTGGGGTACGAAATCGAGATCAAGGGTCCGGAAGAATGGATCCGGAAGGTTCCTGGGCATCTTCTGAGCAGTGTCTCCGTTTTGAGAAACATCCACTACATAAAGTATGTCTTGTCACTCTACGGCGAACTACAATTCTGCATGAGCGGAGAAAATCGTGAAGTGCTCGTCGAGGCAATTGAGTGGATACGCGAGCTCCGCCTCTCCGGTCAAATCCACGGGAGAAGGCCAAGATCCCAGGACTCTACGACAACAGACCAGTGCTGTGCTGTATGTTATGATACGGCAGTGTCTCCCGTCATCACCCAGTGTAAGCACGTCTATTGTAGTGAATGCTTCGACAACATGTGCTCCAGCACCTTCTCAATCGGAAGCTCAAAAGACCGGGTAGTCTGTCAGGCACCTAAAGGATCGAACACCTCGACAGCACTTGACAGCTCCATCTGTGGCTGCACCCTCGGTCTCCCGGAACTCCGCGAACTGCTTGAATCAAGTACCTACGAACGCCTTTTGACTGCCTCCTTCAAGTCCTACGTCCACCGCCATCCGGGCAAGATGCAAAATTGTCCAACTACCGATTGCGACTACATTTACTTCATCCCGGAGCCCTACAATCAATCTAACCAGCACAACGACAATCCCGCCACAGCACCGCACATTACCTGCCCCCATTGTCTTGCCACCATTTGCATACGCTGTCAGGAAGGCCATGTAGCAAGAGGCATGACTTGCCTCGAGTTTCAAGATCACCTAGCGGAGGGGACACACTCGATGGCCCGCATCAAGGAAGAACAGGGCATCAAGAACTGCCCAACTTGCACGACGTACCTTGTCAAAGAGGAAGGGTGCAACCACGTCACTTGTGCTGTGTGCGATACCCACATGTGCTGGAACTGCTTGGAGGTGTTCACAGGTGATGATGCCGTGGATCGCGTGTATAGTCATTTGAATGCGGAACATGGCGGGATCGATGACTATCCTCCCGATGATGACTTTGATATCCGTGCATATTGGGACGAGAATGATGACGAAGACCACGATAATGATGACTGGTGGGAACGGGATCAAGACCTACAGGCCATACGCGCAATGGAACTTGAAATCGAGTTTCAACAACAAGAACTTGCAGAATTGCGTGAGTTTGCGGAGAGAAACGGTGAGAGGATAGACGCGATCATAGCGAGGGACAACGGAGGAAACGCCGCCAACCGGGGCATTGAGATTGAAGACGAAGAAGCAGGTCTTCGAAATCAGGAACCTCCAGAAGCACAGCACCAAGGGGTGTGGTTAGAGGGGGTGGCTTTGCACGAAGATGGGCAAATGAACGAGCCAGTACAATCTGATGACTGGGGGGCCGAGGAAGGGATTGATATCCGAATACTTTTGAGGTGGAAACACGAATTTGGATTTCCGGTGTCTGGTTTAGACGTCTGTGTGGCGATCATTTTATGCCTCGCTGCGGACTTTATCTATGATCATGTTCCGCCTGTTGTTAGGCGTGTTGTTGGCTGGTTTCTCGACAGGTCATGGGCCTTGTGTATCCTTTTATTTTGGATTTTTAGCGTGGTGTGGCGGTTGATGGAAGTTGATGGTCCACCAGAAGGGAGGATAGGATGACGAATCTGATCTGTGTAATTTCGACTCCTCCATTTTGGTTTAGCGTAAGACATAGCCAGTTGGTCGGTCAAAGTGCATCTCGCGATACTCAGAAGCCGCCTCAAATCCAAATCCATACCCAGCATTCGCAAACGATTTCCATACCGCCGGCCATGATATCAAATCCCCTCTCAATACTAAAGTCCATTTTTATACCCCGTTACTTGTTACCTGGTAAATTACCGTCGAGTGTCTTACCCTTTCTCCAAAGTTCCAACTCCTCACAGCGCTCGTCCCCTTGCAAGCGTGGGACCAGCGCCCCATCTTGTTAGGTGCTAATAAACAATACTGCGGGGCGAATCTTCTAACAACCAACACTAGCCCGATTAGCTCAGCTGGTTAGAGCGTCGTACTAATATCTTGTATTCCAAGATATCAAGTCCATGCGAAGGTCAACAGTTCAATCCTGTTATTGGGCATTTCTTTTTCCACTTTTTTTGCTTTTTCTTTTTTATTCTCTTTTCCTGTTCTTTTGAACTACGGTTCGTGGTGTTTTTTTGTTTTGGTTGGGTCTTTTGTTGATTTCTTTTTTTCTTTTTTTGCATTGTTGTCGCAGGTACAATGTCAGTGACCTTGGTCGCAGGCGACGCATGCATGTATTGTTCCTGACTAACGATATGTCAAGCAAGTATTCCCCTGGAACAATAGGAACAAAGGATCAACCACTCATTTACCAAAAATATCATACTCTTCTCTGTGATGAGTACAATGAAGTAGTGGTCAATGCTGATCTAGATAGCTAGCTAAGCTAGATCGGTAGCTTTTTTTAACCATTGAAGTTGCGATCTCATCCTCATACAATGCATATTGTATCCGGAAGAATATCATTGAAGCATGCCTTCGTCATTGTGCACTAGCATCGTCAAGAGTCATCACACAACAGTTGTTTAGTTAGATATTACATGTTGGGCAGGCAATGGTATAACACCCTACGTGCGGGATTCCATGTCGTCCTCGCCTAACATTGCTTGGTAATCAACGAGAGATGGAACCTCAGAGTTGCACAAGACTCGGACCCCTACTTACTGCCAAATGCAGTATATGCTGTCCGATGATTTCACAATCACCAAAATGAAGGAGGAAAACAACAAGTGTACCAGGATCATGAATTGTTGGGTTGGTCATCTAACTTTGTCTCTCTTCTACCAAATATGCGTTCTCCAACTTGCTTGCTCTCGAAAATCGAAATGCTTTGTCCGTCATGCTGTCATGTCAAGATGTGCTTCATTAGGTATCTTTTGCGCCAAGTGCAAATCCCAGTAACTTTTTGTGTGATCAACGCCATCCAAGCAAAATATTCCAAATCGCTATGCCCAATAACCGTAACCCAAGATTTTTTTCGGAAAAACGCCCGCGAATCCAAAGAAGCAAATAGGTATCCCAGAAAGAAGAGGATGCGGCATCCGAGTCCTTCAAGCCCACTTTCCAAGCAAACTCATCACGGCCAGACCCGCAATAAGAGAAGTAAGACCAGCAAGTGTCCGAAGAGGGCCGGAGGTGGTCATCTCGCCGCCCAACATCCAGTCATGAGCCCACATTTCGACGATGCCAACCCACATAAGGATGCCAGAAGAAACGGCATCGAGGGTGCCGATAGCAATGATAGTCGAAGGGTCGTTGCCGTTGAACTGCTTGAGCACACCGATGCCGATGGCCATGCCGATAGGGGTGACCAAAGCGAAACCGGAAGCAAGAAGGAGCTTCTTCTTGAGCGAGACAGGCTTGATGACGGTGACTCCCACTGACTCGTCTTCAGAGACCATTCCATTATCGGTGCAGGTTGGTGAGTGGGGCTCGGTAGGCAGGCTTGGGCGCTTAACCTCCTGGGCGTGACTGTGACTGTGTCCGTGGTGGCTGTGACCGTGGTGCGAATGGCTGTGGACCGAGGAGGCCGCGTTGATAGGGGGAAGAGTTCCAAGAGCTGCGATGCGGGAGCCAAGGGCAATGCCCTCAAACATTTGATGGAATACGATTACTGCAAAAAGAGTGAGGAAGAAGGTGTCGCCAGCAACAACCAGGGTAATGCCGATTACTGTGATGCTTGGTCAGCGGTAGTCCATAGGCAGGGTAGTAGGACCGGCGTAACTTACGAATAGAATGGAAGATGACGCCGCACTCCAAGACCATGATGTTGACCATCTCGGTCCTCTGGGCCGCGTCTTCCTTCTCTCCACCGTTCTCGATGTTGCGTGCTTCCGTCTTGGCGGCATGCCACTGCAAGACACGAACGCCGAAATACTCTGCAAGGAACGAAATGAAGATGCCCGCCATAGCGATGGCACCTGCTGTCCCTTCGTAACTAAGCTCCCCCAGACATTCGCTGGCAAACATAAGCTGAGCGTGAGTAAAGAGATGGATGAAGGCAGTCGAGATAACGACACCGGTGCCGAACTGTCTGAGGATGGTGATGAAGACATTGTTTGGCGAGACGAAGCTGGAGAGCAGAATGGGACCGAAGACACCGATAGAGCTGGTTGCCAACATGGCGAACAAGAGACCGACTCTGAGACGGATGTTGTAGTCCCGGTCCTGTCTATCGCATGTTGAGCTCTCGTCCTCATGCTCATCGCCACCAGTGCAGTGTTCGACGCCAGCGTGGAAGTGGCATTTCTTTTCGCTGGTAGAGGACGTCGCTTCACCTTCATCATGGTCGTGATCATCATGGTCGTGATCATCATGACCTTCTTCGGATTCCTCGGCTACTAGTGAGATCTCCACATTATCTCCACTTGGCGCTACACAGAATCTGCTTCTAGTCAATATGGGCCACGAGGCAAGAAAGGTGGCGGCAACAAAGCGTACAGTGCATCGTCGTGAGAGTGACATCCTGTGAACTGAGCAGGAAGCTCGGAGGTAGCAGTGGCTGTAGTGTGAACAGAGTACTCCGTATCACCAGCGAGGCAGAATCTGTGGGGGCTATGTCAGTAATCCAGTGATACACATAAGAACTGATATCAAAGCACCTACACTTCATTATCATGCAAGTGACAGCCTGAGATGGCGGTGGGAACGGCCGCTGGAGCAGTGGTCGCGCTGGGAGCAACTGTGACCTGTGGCGCTCTGTGTTGTATCTGAGAGGCGGATGTAGACTGAAGGAGCAGTGCCGTCAAGGCATACTGAACGATGGATTTCCTGTCTGAGGGGAGTAGGCGAGCCATGATGAGATTAGGAAGGCCGGTAGCCCGGGGGTGAAGGGCCACCGAGAAAAGTATAGGCTGTGTGAGGCCTAGAGGTTTGAGGTGATATAGCGTGGCCTGAAGAGAAGCTATTCTCAGTTGGTAGCTTCCGGATATTATAAGAGTAGCTGATGGGTTGCGTGAGTAGACCAGGCTGGAATGACCTTCTCTCAGTGAGGGATGAGGGGAAGTATAGGCTGAAGGCGTTGACAGCTCTTAAGTAGTGAGACTGGAGGCTCAAGTGAGGTAGGTTGACTCGCGGGGGTGAGGTGAAGGGTGAGATTGGCCCGGTGAATAATGTCGCAATGAAGATCGCCGTGAGGTATGAGACGTCTACTGCTTCGGTCAAATTGCCTAACTGGTATATGATCGAGGGACGTGGATGTCCAAGGCCCCAAGTTGTAACGGTCGTCGGGGTCGTAAAGGTAGGCCAAGCTGGTGGTGGTGGATCCGGGTTGAGTGTCTCGGAAGCTTCAGACGAGACGGGGTGAGTGACGCGCCAATTCCACTTTTGGGGACTTGGAGGCGAGGGGAGCGGGATGTGCCGAGCGAGCCCTGCAGAGATGAATTGAAATTGGAAATTGGCGAAAAGAAGTTCGTGAACACAAGAATGGGAAGACGAGGGAGAAGGGAGACTGGAAGGGAGTTGACAGATTCAAATTGTCCGGTTTTCCAAACGGCCCACGTGGGGGAGGGGAGCAGGAGCAGACACGGAGACATACCGAGCAGAGGCTGGCGGCGGCCACGAAAGAGGGAAAAGCAGCAGGACAAGTAGTTTTTTGCAGGCTGTGGAGTTGCTTTCTTGGTAAAGACAGTTCTCAGCCAATGGGCGGGCTGCTTTTGTTGGCGCAACGGGGCGTGGTACGGGTCCTAATCTTGTCTCAGCACTGAGGGCACCTTGATGGTTGAGAACCTTGATGGCCAGATAGCTCACTGCGCGCTCCGACGGTACGTACCTTTCCGGTATAACCCCTGCCGCGGTGGGGCTCAGCTTTGCGGAATTCCTGTCATTGATTCTCAATCATTGATTAGAAGGCGCCAAGCAGACTTCTCTTTTATCCGAAACTGGCAGTTGCCATTGTCCTGTCAAATCGAGCATTTGCAGCTGCATTTTTCCATTGTTTCCAAGCGGAAGGCGCATCATTCAGTCAGTGCATCCATCATTGTCCTTGATGTGCGATGCTCATCCCGATACTGTTCAGAAACACACATCATCAGCGTGAAGAATTATTCTCGAATATCCGGCCGTGAGACATGTGCTCCTGGAGCCATATGGTCCGTGGGGATGCCACGCGCTTATCGTAAACAAGGATACCGATCCATGAGAAGCCTAGGGGATGGTTGATTTTCAACATCACTTCCACTGACACTCACACTTTCACACCCATCGACATTTCTCCGCCTCTCGTCTCCAGCCTACCGCGGTAAGCTTTCGGAAGTCACCAACATCAACACGGGAGCCCTGTAGGGATTTGCGCCAAGTCATCCGTTGTCTCAACTCATTTTCCTTTCCCTGCTGCCCACCAGCCCAGAAGGATGAGGATGGACTCACCCCCCACGACGTCCCACAGGTCCAAACCTTAGTTTTCGGAGTCAGCTCCAGAGGAGGCTTTCTTGGCATCAACACCACCATGCCGCCAAGATGAGGCATCACGAAAATTGAACTGAGCCCTCATCCCTCGGACACCTTGATGGACTCCTCACGATGGCTGGGATCTGCTCACTCGACCGCAACGGCTCGCCATGCACCATCTCTGCATGAGCATGATCGGCCTGTTCTCGAATGTTGCTGGACAGCCAAGGCAGGCCAGCAGAACTCAGGATGAAGATAAATACAACGGGATGAGGAGGAAGCATCAGAAGACAGACCCGATAACCACTCGTCTCAGTCTTTTCAATCAGCCACTCGCCCAATCAACACCATGAAGCTGTCCACCGTTGCGCCGTTCTTCTTGGGTTTTGTGCACACTGCACTGGCCCAGTCCCTCGCTCCCTCGCCCACTGCTTCAGTTGGCTGCGAGCCTCACGGCGACCACTGGTACGTTGAAGTGTCCACGCCGAGTCATACCCTCACGGGTACTGTAACTGACAATCTCAGGCACTGCTCTGGTCCCAAGGTCACTTCCCTCGCCACGGTTGTGACCGCCGCCAGTGTCTCGTCTGTGACTACGACCGCCTCCGCGGTCCACGACCATGACGATCAAGACCACGACCATGATCACGGTCACGATCACGACAAGGAGGACCACGACCATGACGACGAGTCCGGCTCCTCGGTCTCTTTGAAGCCTAGCCCAACGGAGTCCTACGGCTGCGAGGCCCACGGTGACCACTGGCATTGCGCTGGTCACGTCTCGGCAACCGCCACGGCATCTGCCGGGTCTCAGGAACAGGTCAGCTCGGCCAGCTCCTCTGCTTCTGCCACCCCTTCCACCGCTGCTGCCGTCCGCCAGGGAGCTTCGGGCTTGGCCGCCGCGGGATTGGCCATCATGGCCCTCGCTCTTTGAGTTTGAGCTGCAGAGTGTCAGCGAGGTCGGAAGAGCTTGTATCTGTACTTCTGTAGCGAGATGCGCGCATTTCTCCCACTTTTCATGTATTATTTGCCTGTCACATATTTAGCGGCTGACCCCCTAATGAGAATTGACAATGGCGCTCCTCCTTTTGAGCAAGTTTGAGGCTGGGCACTAAATGCTCGATATTACTCGATATCATGGTTTCAATGTCGTGAGCGGAACGCGCAATCAATGTAACTGGCCAAGACACACAGGATGCAACAGCTGCAGACGGCACAATATAGCAATGCGACAAAAGATCGGTCAGCAACAGAGGCTCAGCTATGTGTGGGAGAGTGATGCAGCAAACCGCAGTTGGACATGATTGCTTGTGACTGTTGGGATGTTGGTTCGAAAAAAAGAACTGCTGCATGCTCGCGACTACCAACTCTCGGTGCTTAACTTCATTGTTCTCATCGTACGGTTTTCTAGCCGTTTCTTCTTCTTCGTTCGTGTTGGTGAGGGTGTCATCGCTCGGTTTCGCCAACTTGCCAACTGATGTGATGGATGGATGACCAGTACGGAGCGCAAGGGCGCATAGAAGTGAGAACCTTGATGGCCATCGGGTGGTGGACTTGGCGGCTGGTTGGCCCTAGGTGGGCGATCGGCCGGTTAAAAGAACAAGGTTGTTTCGTAGCCCCGCCGCGCGCTAGCGAGTTGGCAAACGGCTTGGCAGTTGGCAGATGGCTGCGAGACCCCTGGTTTCTTTTCGGTTGGTTTGACATTTTGCGTTGGTCCGCGATAAGCACAGACCCTTCTGTGTGTCTTGTGTTTTTAGCAGCGGCTTTTGACAAGCGGCTAGCCCTTATCGAGTGTCATGCACGGACCATCAGCCAAGCTGATAACGATGACATTCGCTGGCCATTGGATCTTGGCTCAGAAATTGAGGACGTCATGTCGGATGTCCTGCCGTGACAGACACTCCAGCTTGTGGTGATGATGGAAACGAGAACCAGACTTCTCCTGTGGAACGCCGAGAAAGTCAATTGGGAACAAGCATCCTGTCTCACGATGTGACCCCTCTTCCGACATCCTCCCCTCCGAACCGAGCAGTATCCACCGCCGAGTTACCTACCGCATTCGATGCCGATCCAGAAGCGAGAAGAGCAGCATGTTCGATGAATTTCGGACGAGCACGGCACACCATACCGCGCAGATACATGGCGACCTTGTGCACCACCGAACTTCGGAGTGCGGATATCGTCTTGCTCTTTCACCCTATCGAGTCGAGCCTATAACAAAGGACACCGGGATCCAAACGCAAACGCCATATCACAGTTCATCGTCAGTGACCAAAAGGCGATTTCAAGGATTGGCAACTGTCACCAGGTGTTTATAAAAGCTCCGTATCGCTAGTAAACTTCACCACGTCAAAGGCTTCAGTGCTGGAACTGTATCGCCCACACCCCCTACAATGACTCGGTGGCCTGCTACATACCCGTAGAGGTACTTCCAGCTCCCCTCGCGACCGGGCTAACTGGCGAACGGACATATGGACGCTCGAGTCCTTTGGCGCCGTGGCGTTCGACTCGGGTCATGGTACACGGCATGGGGGAATGTGTCGTCACATACGACCAGAAACGGTTCCTCGCCCGATATACCAAATGTGAACAACCTCAAGGACGGTCAGAGGGCTTTCCCACGCCGGAGAGTTCCAACCTCGGCTAGTCATCAATAGTCCCGTTGGACCATATTGCTTGAGACACGCCACAAGCTGGTTAAACATCTCCACAAGTTGATTAGGGACAGCTACTTTCCAAACGTTCCCAGTGGTGGAGATCCGACGCTGGTCATCAAGGTGCTCATCAAGGTGTGATGGCATGGACGATCCTTCCTTGTTATCTCCGCGAGTCCACATGTTTTTGCTCCATGTTGGTATCCAGGACTCCATGCGCTGAACTCCTGAAAGTCTGTCTAGCGGCTCCGAGCGGCTCAAACACAATGGAACGTCGGACGGTCGACCTGCTCGCCTATTCGGGCCTTTGGTCGTTGGTCGCGAGCAACTGGGGCTAGGATGCTGCAGTCGTCAGCCCCTTCATGGACACACCGGAACTTGAGTGCGTACGAGCTGAAAACGTGGGTATATACACACGCCTCCATCCCACGGGTCAAGAAGCAGCATCAGCACTACCACCGTGGTGAGAAACTACAAAATAAGTACGTTTTCCGGCTGCAGAGTGTAACAGAAGAGTTGGCACATGTGAAGAGGATATAACCGAGAGTATTCCAGGACACTTTGGACGGTTAGGTCACGGTAGGTCTTCACTACATTGTCAAGGCACTCGGATTTTGATCATCGAACAGTAAGTTCTCTTCAAGATTCAACCCATAGCCCACGGGCGCCCGTGGCTTCCGTCGTGGTTACCCATCGGTCTTCTCCTTGTCGCTGGAGGAACATCGGGACGCAGGTTCTTGCAAACATCTACGAGGGTGCCGGGCTGTTGCGTTATGGCAGTCGTTAAAGTTCGGAAACCCCAACCGAGCTCCCTGGGCCGTGAGAGTCTTTACGGGCCGCCGTTGCGCGAGATCCAAGTCTTCGACAGCTGCAATGTAATTCACAGAGAATTAGAGACTCGGTGTCAAGGGACTAAGGCGTGCACTACCTGGGCCAAACCACCAAAAGATGGAAGGATGTTCTGCTCTTTGGACAGAACATCCGAAACACGCTTATATAGCAGTGTCACAGTTGAGCTACCTGTGACACTCGGACCCAGTATCTCTACCCTCTTCCTGGTGTTGATCAAAGAGCAGATACATTGCTTCAATTCTGGCGGAGGCTTCGAGGTCGAGCTTCAAGTTAAACCATTTACATTGATAGAAACTTGTTGAGCATAGCGTGTCTGAGTGGCGAGGAGTTGTCCGGTTCAGTTTCAGGGGACATTCTTTCCGGAAGTTTGCAAAGCTTTTTTTACATCATTATAAAATAAATGAAAACTTTCCGCCTCAGATGCAAGAGCGATTTCCTGAAGCCGATAGTTGTCAGTTCAGCAGGACGCTGTTTAATAACCGCGATTTTGGCCGATGAGGAGATTCACATTACTTTGTCCCACGGTACCTATGCCCATTTATTTGTTTAGATGGGCCAAATGCCCTCGGTTCAAAACTGAAGTTGCCCTTGATGTTCGATGGAAATACTTACCTATGCTAGACGAACAATCACTGGTATTGTTGGCCTTGAGTTGACTCGGCGTTCCTGCAAGTTTCCTGTATTCTATTGTACCTGCACTAGCACACACGTTGACACGATTATTCATGATATGTAGGCAACGTTTGTGTTCTGTGCAGAATAATCATGGCCTAACTGCAGGATTTTGAAGAACAAGCTGTTCGAAATCGATCCCCAACTTGGATATGGTGTTCCGACGTGCCAAATAACTTGGTGAACCGAGGCGATTACCAGATCATCACAGCCGCGCAATTCTCCAGCCGCGCAGTTCTCCAGCCTCAAACAGGTGTAATTGGGTGTGTTCTCTTGTCGTTCTGGGTTCAGGTATGAACTTATCTTTTCTCCTGGAGGCCGAATAGCTGATTTGGGAACGAGTGTAGCCGGCGACCCTTAGGCTTAGCGTCAACTACTTAGGGACATGCGTCAGTCGTAGATGCGTGAGTGCGTGAGTGCGCGCAAAGACTTCAGGGTGATACAGGAGAAGAGAGGAGCAACGACGTAAAATCTATTCATCACGACGGCAAGCCCATGTTAAACCTTTTAGAGTATATGGGCATTACCCATCACTGGTTATCTTCGGACTGGTCTATCTTTGCATTGATTCCCGTGTCTGGTCTCGTCTTATGATCGATATGAAGATGCAAAGGCACGAGAGAGTGTCTAGGACCACAGGTCTCCCGAGTTTTGCAGAAAAGGAAACGGATATTGGGCAAGCTGAAATAGTTACGGTTGGATTAACCCAGGGAATTCGTCTGCTCGAAAGTTCGAGGCGTTGTCATCCACAAACACGAGACCTCAAGTCTTCGAGCTTACATTTTTGCCTGACGACTGTGTCATGATGTAGGAAGTACATGGCCATCATGGAAGCAAAAATGACGAAAATGTTTCCGGTCCTGTTTACTTCTCAAAGAACCAGTCGCGTGCATCACCAAAGAAAAATTCGTTCCAGCAGAAAGGACGCATCACCAGATTCCGAGAACAGAAAACATCAAGCATGTGAAAGAGACGTCATTCTACGCACAAGCACACCCATCCCCTCGGGACCTCAGATACCGAGATTCTGTTTTCAACTTTTGAGCCTCATTTCTACTTCCCCAAAAAGGAATCCCTTGCTAGGATAATCCCGACCGCATCGCATCGCATCCGATGTCATCCAGAAACCAAAAACCAGAAGTTACAAAAGAGCACAAAAAAAAAAGAGCAAAAAAAGTTGAACAGAAGGATTTGCTTCAGGGCTCAGCCAGGGTTCGAACCTGGGACCACTTGCACCCAAAGCAAGTATGCTACCACTACACCACAGAGCCGGTTGAGTCAACTCTGTTGAAATCTGTTCGATTTGTTGATGTTGGGTCCCGTTAGTTGTGCTTATAACCCCCATTTCTGGGGGCGGTGGGAAAGGTGCAGTGGTGAGGTGACTCCTGGCCGCCGCCCCCGTTGGTGAGGTGGCTGGCCGCGGTGAAAGGGATCCACAAAACTGTACCGATTCGGGCTTGGCGTCGATGGATGCCAAACGCCCGTCGCCCACACCCGACCGACGATGCCCTGGCGGGGCAAAACGGGGCCGTTTGCGTTGGCGCCAGGCGGTTCCACCCGCCGCTTCGGCCTAACGATCCGCGGGTGGGACTTTTTGAGATCTCGTTGACAATAGCGCGCGGAGAAGAAGGAGGCTCGGGGAGGGGTCGCCGACGGATGAGATGGGGGAGATGGATTCATGGACCGGAGATGGACGGAGGTGGGTGGAAGTGGACTGGACCCTGAGCGCACGGTATCTCCATTTGGCATCATGTAATTTGGGGTCGATATTCTTACATGCAGATGCAGATTTGAAACACTTGAGAAAGTCATTGCAGGAGCAGGGACTTCACACTCCCGGGTTGGTGTTTGGAGTATCCCCTTCTTGGTTCGAGCTCACTGAGTCCGAAGCCGAGTTGCCGCCGAACGACTCAAGACAAACCTCTCGATGAGATCCCGTCAGTGAGGCTGGCGAGTTTCTTTCTCTGTCTTGGAACCAGTGATAAAAAAAAGAGGCAGAAATGCAAAGACCAAATTTAGGCAGAGCTGATGGTCTCATTCAGCGCCGAGTGTAATGGGGTCTCTTGGGCATCGACAAACGACAGTCAATTCCGGCTCATCAGTCTGACTACCTACCTATCCTGCGGTGCTACAGCAAAATGCCGCTCTGGTCCTGCTAAGATGGGGAAACCGAAGATCGCCGCCGACTTCGTTGGCATATGTATGGCCTCAAAAGTCACCTATCAAGACCTTTCAACAGCTGTCGACGTCGCATGTTTTGCAGCTCTCACGATTCGCACGATAATGGCGTGCAGGAAATCGCACGTCCGATATTGAAAGTCTCCTGCCGTGGTTGCATGCGGAGAGGGTCCGGGATGCCTTTATATGGAGCACCGAAGAACCTCCTCCCGACATCTCGACAACAATTGGGCGAAACACACGATGGTTTAAAAATCGAGGGAAGGACCCACGAATCCACGAGTCCATGACGGCTCGACTCGAGTCGCAGAGACGAATGGGAAAATAATTCTCCTCCATATCTCCAAATCTACCTCTAAGCAAATGGAAACCGAGAACGAGCAAAGAGATATTCGCACGAATCCCTCCTCTCTCACAGGCTAACCCAGTTAATGGGCACCGCAACATTGAATAAGAAAAAAAAGACTCTTTCGTCGTCTTGGATAATTTTGATATCAAGCGAACGAATAAGTGCCCGACTGCGACTGCGACGATGAACTAGTCTACCTTTGGCCGAAAACGACGTCGCCTCAGAGCTCAGACTGCTGCTTCCCCCGCCCCGTGTGAGCCGCGAAAGATCCATTTTGATCCATTCAGAGCGAACTACAGAACTGCAACAGAAGCAGGATAGTTAGTGCGTGCACGAAACCATTGGCTGCATCTGGATGCTGCAAGAAAGAAGTGCCACTTCACCACTTTTTAACTGGATCTTAGCTTCGGGGCCACTTGCATGCAACAGAACGAAAACTGAGTGGAAGAGAAAGAAAAAAATTTGAGCAAAAGAGGAGGAGAAAAGGGGAACATCGAACAACTGGACTTGCTTCATTGGCTCGTTAACATCATCAACAATGGAGCTAGACGACGTTGTAATGTCAGATCTTACATAGAGGGGAAGACTAGTTAGTAGATTAGTAGAGGCTTTTTTTAAACCCGCATGTGCTGCTTGCTACTGCTGCGCGCCTAGGCTCTTATTTTTATGCTTTTTGGTCCTCCAGCTTTTGATTGATGCTATTGATTTTGCACACCACGGATTCCAAGTTTTGGCGACATTTTGGCATCGGCCGTCACTAGTCCTCCTTTTGCGCTCAAGGAATATTGAAAAGAGATCGGGCGCAAAGAATAGCCGAAGATTTGCTGGGTGTGACCAAAAGTTGACTCGTCAGCTTTGGGCTTTTATCGCATTCGCAGCGCCGACAAAGACCGCTGCCAAGGCCAGCCAGCTGAGCCGCTCGCGAAGCGCAAGACAAACAGAGAAAGAGAGAGAGAGAGTCGACGACAACTCGCCGCGACACGCACACAACGAAGCATCGTCGCTCGCCCACACCGTTGAACTGGTCTCAACTACCTCCAGGCGTCCGCCATCTTCAACTTCAAACAACCAAAAGAATAAGCCCGCGCCAGCCATGCCGACGTTAGCAGCCATAGACGTCTCGGTCTGCGACGACCAGATAAGCCTCGTCTTCTCGCACCGCGCCCTCGCCGCCGCCTACGCCGCCTACCTCGATGCCGAAGATTCGCGGCCGCCTTATGCGCAGGCTGTGGGGGGTTACCGACGACTTGCCGTGTATCATGCCGCGTCCAAAGAAGTCACGCTAGCCATGCCCAGCTTCCTCACATGGTTCATCACCATGCGGCAACCAGACGACGAGGACAGCGTGACGTTTACTTTCTCGGATGCGGATGAGGACCAAGCGAGGGCTTGGGCAGAGAGCGTGGTGCTCTTTGAGCCACCGGTACCGGGAACGGTATATGATGAGGAGGACGGGGCCAAGCAGCTGCATGTGAAGAGGTTGTGGAACAGGGAGAAGTTGTTGCAGAGGCTGGAGGAGTTGAAGAAGGTCAGAAGCAGGGTCACGACAGTGTGCTCTCTTAAGTCGACGAGGTCGTCGCCACGGTCGTCGCCAAAAGAGGGATCCAAGGACGGTTTGCCGTGGTATGAACGGCAAGATTATGGGTATGGATATCGGTATGCAGGGGTGGGGCAGACGAAGGAGCTGACGATCCTGGCGCCGTTGCCGAAGCGAGTGGCACTGCCGCAACAGATGACAACGACGGGGCTGTTTCATGGGGAATGGTGGTAACAATCATCGGTGCTTGGGTAAAAATACATGGAGGAACGAAAAAGAGGTGCTGTACATATCGTCATATTCCGGCAAGCGGGCAAGGCAGGCAGGCAGGCAGGCAGGTGTTTTGCTTTTTGGGAATACCTAGGTTCTAGATAGGAAGCGAGGCGTTTGTCGTTTTGTTTTACGGTTCCCTCTGGAGAGGCATAGACCAAGAATTGAAGCTGTCTTTTGGCCGTTCTGCACGGTTATCCTTGGAGCGCATGGTGTTCATCGCTATTTCTGCCGCGAGTGTTACACAAAGCTTACACACAAGACGTTGTGCACCGTAGGCTTGCATATCTCTGGAGATACCAACCGGCAATTCTGATCTTCTCTTCAATTGATATTCTCTTGTTTTATTGCAGGGACAGATTGCTGAGTTCGCAAGGAAGTGATGGCAGATCTTCTCTCGTCTCCCCTGATCATCATATGTCTCAGCCACGACACTTGCGCGTACGGTGGACGGTGAACCAAGCAGCCGGTAAATAGGACGTTGCTTGCTCGTGGACATCACGTTTCATGGAACTCTTTCGTGGTGCGAATCATTGCCGCTGCCAAGACGGACATTCTAGGAGGTCAGCTTGATGGGAGTGGTCGAGGCTTGTGCGATTGTTACTCGTGTTGCGATTCGCCGTTCGAGGGTCGGGGTTCGTATTAAGTTCTCCTCTGGATGTTTGTATGGTCAGTTGACAATCGGGGTTGCGCTGGGTGGGTAAGACTGGAAAACTCTCGCATGGTCGAAGCGCACGAACTTCGACGGCGATAGAGAGTTTGAGGCCGTCGCGAACTCTGCGGTTGTGTTCGTGGCCGGGATAAAAAAGAACAAATACAAAGTCCAGGATGCCTTGCCTGCCGTCCGCGGCAGAGTGGGCCCAGATCGTCCGGTGTTGAATGGCTCCACTTCTGCCAAGACCGGAGGCCAACTTGACCCATGCGGGGCTGAGCCGAAGTTGGAACCAACGTCATCCGATCCATATTTATAGCGCAGCCACGCTCCAGCCCACTGAAGAACAGAACCTCGCCGAATCCTCACCAGGCGGCAGGCGCAAAATGCTGAAATTTTCACACAAAGTCCGTCAAGGCAGGGACGTCCGAGGTTGTTCTCTTCCTTGGCGATGACAAGCCCGTCAGCTTGAAGGAAGATTTCATCTCAAAGATCCCCGCAAGTCGGACTTTGAGCACGCGTCCGAATTGCAGCGCCGGTTTCAGGGCTAAAAACTGCTTGTTAGCGGCCGTTGCCAGCAGATCTCGTCCTGGCTGTGTGCCACTCCCAAGTTCCGACGTGGATCCAGTGGACGGGATTCGAGCAATAACACGAGGTCGAAGAGCTTCACCAGCATGTCAATCGGTGGTCGGGGATAGGGATCCCTTTTATGAGTATCCGATTGGTGTATGGGTGAGGTGATCGCACAATCTCAGCCACTTTGGTGCTGCTACTCCATTTTAATTCGTTCTCTGACGACAGCCACCCAGATCTACACGAGAACTTCCAGCTTCCTTGACCTCAAGTGAGTCCACTCAACAAGCTTTGTCCGGGTTGTTAAGGAAAGTCCCCTTTTCACCGCATTGTATTTGAGAGTCTCAACAACTGTCCAATTTGTTCACTTTGACTTTGGTCCGTCCTCTGCGTCGAGACAGCCTCCCGGAACCCATCTTCGGTACCTTACACCAGCATGGCAGCACTGCTTGGGCATGGGCATAGCATGTCTGAATCGGGCATTGGTCGGGATTACATCACAGGTCTTTACAGTGAACCCCCTCGAAGGCCTCCTCCATCACCGCCAACGTCGTCTCACAGATTTGGGCATTCACGAGGGACATCACTCCCACCTTTAGTAATCCCGAACAATGGATCTCCAACACCGAGGCCCCTTTCTGTCCGACCGCATGAACCTCAGACCGCCGCATTCCTGAACTTTTCACTCCCACGGCCTGTTGCTTGTAGAAAGACATCAAGCATCTACAGCAGTGCATCCAAGTCAACACATAGTTCGATGCCTACCACAAACTCAACACATAACGACAACAAGTTTCTCTCACCAAACGCTTGCTTGGTGCCCCCACCTCCTCCAAAGTCACCACGACGGCCCTCGATGTCCGGGGCAGACCAAATATCCCTTCCTCTACCAACACCAACACGACCTCTATCATGCGGGTCAGACCCATCACGATCACGGCCCTTATCATCAGGATCCGACCAAGTCCCAGAACTAGAACCAGACATCCACAATGACGATGTCAGCAGTTTATCAGACGCGGACGAAACCCCTCCACCGCCTAACTACGCGCCTCCCTCACCACCCTCACCACCCTCACCACCACCCCGATCACCGCTCCGTCCTCTATCCATGGAATCCTATCACTCCTTAACACCCCAACTCCCAGCCCCCTCGCCAAAATCCCAACTACACCGATCTCACTTCTACCCCGGAAAGCGCAACCCGCCAGCACGCATCAACTTCCGCCTCTCGCAGGGTTACTACCATAAGAGCAGCAAGAGCACCCCCAACCTCCGACGACAGTCAGACGATTCGACGGGGTCAGCAGAGGAAGGAGAAAGTGACACCATTACCATTGGCAAACGGCAACCAAAGACTTACAACCTCGACGCCCTTAATCGGTTAATGAGCCCTTCCGATCTAGACCTGGACAACCCCACGGCCCGCGAATGTGGCAAAGCCGAAGCTGACGCATTCTCAGAGTTGATTGGAATCATCGATCGGTATAACGCCAAGGAGGGCGGGCCGCCGCCTGTGCCGGGACGGTTGCCGAGACGGGTGTCATCGTTGAATGTGCGGGTGGCGACGCCGGTTATTGATCCGGTGGAGGAGCAGAAGGAGCTCGGGGAGAAGGGACTGAAGAAGTTGAGTCCGACGGAGTATGCAGCGGAGGTGGAGGGGGTTTGGGGGAGTTATTTTGATGAGGATACTCCTGTTTGAGAGAGGGCATTTGTGGTTAGGAAAGGAGAGAAAGAGAGAAAGTTTTGGGGAATATGGAGTTTGGACACGTGCACTGGGATTGGAGTTTTTGCATATGATACCACTGGACTAATGATAATGTACAGAACAAATACAGTTACTTCTCTTCATCCCCTTGCCAATAATAGTCGTGTCGTCACACGCTCATCGATCGATCATAGATCGTCCTTTGAATACCCCTCCTCTTGTGCTATTCCATTGATCTGTACCAAGTATGTACCAACCATCCCTTCGACCACTGACTTCAAAACAACTGCAACTTTCGCCTCATCACCCTTGCCGCCGCCGCCGCCCGCTTAGCAGCAACAGGCGACAAAAAACCGGTGCCTCCCCAGCAGGAGGCGTCGGTGTCACCGGTTCCGGGAGGGGAATGACGGCTTCGGGAGGCGAAGGGGGCAACGGCGTGACAGGCTCCGGACCGGGAGTGAAAGCCGGAGGCAGGGGCGTCACCGGCTCTGGAGAGGGCACTGGATTGACCACCGGTTCGGGAGTCGGGGAAGGAGGCGAAGAAGGCGGCGGAGTTGGGAGGACGACGACCACATCACCTCCTCCAGCAGGCGGCGTGGGGATGACCTTGAGGGCATCTGGAGCTTGCGGATCTTGTGGAAGCGGGGATGGGTTTCGTTTGGCGGCCAAAAATCCTGGGGGGTAAACCGCCGTCGAAGGCAATGGCTCATAAGGTGCCGTTGTGGGTTGTGGATAAACCGCCGTTGAAGGTAAGGGGTCATAAGGTGCCGTTGTGGGTTGTGGATAAACCGCCGTTGAAGGTAATGGCTCATAAGGTGCGATGGGAGGAAGGGCCGTAGGCAAGCCCTGTGCCGTTGCTGTGGGGATAACCTCGAGGAGGTTTGGATCTTGTTCTTGTGGAAGCGGGAGTGGGTTGCGTTTGATAATGGGATGGGTGTGATGGGTTTGGTCTTGGTCAAGTTGGGGTCTTGTCAGTCTGCGCGGTGGGATATAGGCCGCTGAGATGAGGTTGACGATGAGGAAGAGGAAGAGGGAGAGTTGCCGGAGGGTGAAGTTAAGGTTGAGGGTTGCCATTTTGAAGATGGTGGTGAAGTTGTTGGGTAGTCGAAAAGGAGTTTTGTGTCTGGTTCAATCTTAGAGTAGATTGGAATGTCAAGAGTATGAATGCCGATGCAAGTGAGAGCTTCCCACAAGACAGGCAAAGTCATTGGGCATATATACCTCTTGAGCATCACATATCCAGACTCCGTTCCCGTGGTTTCTTCTTCATCGGAAAACAGCAACTCCATGGCATTGACCCCAGAGTCGCGCGCGCCACCTCCTACGAATCCCACGCAGTCCTTTCATCTTCGCAATCGTTTCTCCTGCCTCTTAACTAATCCGTATCGGTGCTATCAATTCCATATTCTATTCGTGTTCCTGTTCCAACTGTCCCTCCTGTAACCCCCAAAGCACGGTCAGGATGTGGCACTAACAGTTTAACACAGCTTTACGAACTGCGCCTTCTTCAGCTTCGAACCCCACATTTCGTTTTCGGATTGACTGAAACCGCAACCTGGATTGGGATATGAGAATTAAGCATCCGGGGCAACAACGTCAAATCTTTAGGCGCGTTTATCGCGTTCGGGATTGATGGTGAGGACATTCCGAGTCTACTCGATGGTGTTGAAACCCAAGTCAAACCAATACCCAAAGACCTGAGATATTGGGGGCAAGATTCACATGTTCATTGGTGAACAAGCCACGAGCTGTCATCTTGTTGATATCACTTTGCGCACGGTGCAACAATGACGTCCAATTGCACCAAATGGGATAAACCAAATTGGCAGGTAGGAAAATGTGAGATCAGACAAAATCATCCTTGAGATATGGAATTGAAAATTTCAATGATAGACTAAACGATTTCGTCTGAACTGCAGAGCATGCGCCAAAAATAAAAATCAAGCGGAGGGACGTACAGACGGCGAGGATCGGTGCAAAAGCTGCGCAAGCATTGGGGTGTTCGCAAAAACAATGACGTTCTCAAAAGCAACGTAAAAAATGTTGGAACAAAATCGAAGGAGACAAACTTACAAAAAGAATGTTTTGTGATCCGACTGAGGCTCGATCTCAGGACCTTCAGTGTGTTAGACTGACGTGATAACCAACTACACCATCGGACCGTTTGTTGAACATTGAGCCCGGAGCGGGGCCTCATAAGTTTAACACTTCCCCACCGCCCACACTGGCGAAAAATAAAGAAAAATGTGGCATGCGGACCCCGGTTTTCGGTCCGGGTGTTCTAACGGGAACAACCTAAGAAAAAAAGAGACTAAAACAGAAGCATGGGAAAAAAATTTGACTGACTCGTTCGAGGAACAAATGCGCCAGCCGCGAATCGAACGCGGGGCCCATCGATGGCAACGATGGATTTTACCACTAAACCACTGGCGCTTTTTAGCGACTGTTGTCAATATGTTGCGGAGGATGCACTTTTGAAGGTCAATTGCGTCTTCTGAAGCAAACGATTACATTCAGACAACGAAAAGGGGTATAAACAAAGCACCAACAGACAGCAAAAGAACCGATTCTTTGTTTTTTCCTTTTGTCCTTGCAATAAGAATCCCGACCGCCCGGACCGCCGTCCGAACTCCCTCAACGAACCGAACTGCAATGGGATGCGCCGATCATGCAGGTACCAACTCTCGTTCTTCCCATCTTTTACAATTCGAAATATGTACGTTCGTCTGAGATTGGATCTACGTACGTTCGCGAGTCATTGCATTCGAGATGCGACGAATTCGCACGACGAAATGACAACCGAAACAATCTTCGCTAAGAATTTGTAAATTTCGCCGAAGTGCACCTCGAATTTAAATTCGAAAATCTAGACCGCCCTGAACACAGGAAGAAGCTGAATCCGACACTGCGGTACGTACCTTACCTGCCTGCTGAAAGCGGTGGTGGTGGTCCCTTCCTGCATGCCCGTGCACATAAATGCAACTTCCCCAACCCGACCGACCGAATGACCCCCAGGCCCATGCGCGTTCATTTGAGCAAGTTTATTCCAACACCATCCATCCAACGTTCCAATTCCATGCCACGACCTCCACGACGGGACTTCGAACCTTCAAATCCCACATAACTCACTCAGAACAACAAGCCACCGCTGCCTCATTAACTCGGTGAGCTGGATTTCACCTTGGTAGGTTTGGTCGTTCGTTGTTTATAGGCAACTGAAGTCATGGGAAAGGTCTGGTTGCTTCGAGGTTTGAGGTTCTAGGATTGCCAAGGTGGTTCAGACCCATAACCCCGGGGTTGAGAGAGGCGCACATAACCTCAAGGTACAGGACGGGAGCGGGAGACGGAGCCGACCGAAGTGGAAGTTGAAGACGAACCCCTCGAACGGAGCAAGGGCTAGAAGAATCGAAGGCCACGATGGGAACGCCTTGACTTATAACTTGCTCACTTAGTGCCCGATTTGGTGATGTTATTGGATCGCCAAGAAAAAGAGAGCTCGCTGTCAGCACTCCCGCTTGGAGTTCGAAGCTGGGAGCTGGAGCTGCCACAAAGCATGAGTTGCCCTCCCATCTTTCACGGTAGGAAAAAGGTAAAACATTAAAAGGAAAGGTACGAGTCGGGTACGTATGGTACCTTCCCTACTACAAACACTGAGGCACATGCAATTAAGGCTGCAATTGAGCAAGATAGTGGGGTCTCCCGCGCCGCGCGGGTTTGGACATTCACATTGCACGACCAGTCCACAGGTTGGTGCGTTAGTAGCACAAGCACAAGCTACAAACTTGCTCATTTCGGTGAATGGGATCATCAACTCGAATGAATTCTCGAATAGGAAAGCAGAGAAAACTGTAGACACAAGGGGTATAAAGAAGCTATAATCCTTTCAAAGTTTCGCAAACACCTCAGCTGCTGTCAGGTCTTCCTCCCGTCCTCTTTCTCCTGTCGCACGAGTCTTTCAGCCATCGAGCCGTCCACCCACCGGATCAAGCAACTGAACTGTGGACGATAGCGAAACAACAAACAACTCGTCAAGAATATCCGGTGACGTAACGACCATCTCCCGAGACCTTTCGCGATCCTTAAACGACACATCATCGCCCGTCAAATCTTGAGCGAGATCTGACCATTCCTCCTTCTTCCAACATCGCAAGCCACAATCAGTCAACCGCAACAACACCGACAAAATGGTTTCCGCAACTCTCCTCTTCGCAGCCGGCCGTCGCGCCCCTCGCATCCGCGCACTTCGGCCTCGAATACCCCGCCTGGCGCGCAGACACTCTCCAGTCCGACACCAACTACTCCCAGTGGCAGTATCCTTGTATGCCCTCCTTGCTCCGCTTCTCCCTCTCCCGCTCATCACTAACCATTTCCTTCTGCAGGCGCCGGCGTCCCCGCCGCCACCTCCACCTCCGGCAACCGCACCGACTGGCCCCTCAAGGGAGGTAGCATCAAGCTGGACCTGCACCACCCGTGGGAGTACGTCTTCGTCAACCTCGGTCTAGGCGGCAACGTGACCAACTTCAACTATACCCTCACGGGTCCCACCTTCTGGAACGTCACTGGAGCGGGTACGCTTTGCGTTGACCTGCCGCTTCCCGAGGGCTTGAACCCATCGGATGGCCAGGAGGGTAGTATCCAGGTTGTCACGGTCGGAGAGAGTGGCAGTGCTTTGTATAACGTGAGTTCCTCTTTTTCTGTTGTCTCCGGATAGGAAATCGTAAGGATGAATTGGGAGGGAGGTTTTGGCTAATGAGAATGATAATAGTGCGCCGATATCACCTTCCGCGCCAACGCCACGGCGCTGTCGAAGGATGAGTGCAAGACTGATGAGAAGGTGTCGTTTGCTCAGATCAAGGAGCAGAGTGGTAATAGCACCGATGACGGCGCGAGCGCGGACGATGCAAAGAGCGGTGCCTCGATCGTTGGACTGAACAATGTTGCGCTCACCGCTGTTGTGGGTATGGCACTGAGCTTTGTGACTGGTATGGTGCTGTAATTGGCGAGGGGTTATCGGGTTGTTGATGGTTATACCAGGGAAAACGTGCGCTGGTGGTGGTGCACATAATAGGAAATACAAAGTTCTAAAACTACCAGGTGTGAGCAACGTTACTATGAGTTTGGGGCACTCGGAAATGTCCAAGTGTGATATTCGCACTTTGTGTCACGGAGGACCCGAGAAGGAGGGTTATAGACTTACTGTGTGAGATGATATTAAGCCCTCCTTGCCAACCAAGCTATTGTGTAAATACAGGTGTTTATTTCCGGTTTAGATATTCATGAATATCATATATCGTGCTCTCTCATTGCTCCGTGATTTGGTCGTGGACTCTGGCCATGATCTCCCTCATTGTGATTCTCTGGTTAGGGTTTGGTGATAGCATATCGTACACAAGCCTCTCCTGTTCATCTTGCGTATTGAGCTGTGCACGAGCTATGTTGATTTCACCCAGCCATTGCTGCATGTGTTTGACAGCGCTCGGTTGAGGGTTCCGATCGCGTGGGTTTGGGTGAACTTTGGCGATAAGCCAGTGAAGGTGTTGCGGATGCGCTCTGTTGCCACGAGCATCTGGGAAGGCGATCTTGCCCATGACGTACAGCATGGTAACTCCAAGGGCCCAAACATCGCTGGGAGCACCACGTTGTTTCAGAGCGATGAATTCTGGTGGAATGTACCATGGTGTACCGCCAATTGAAGGGGGATCTCTGGCGCGGGTCGATAAGCCGAGGTCACACAAAACGGCCCCGCGCTCTCTACTATAGAGGATGTTTGCGGGTTTGATGTCATTGTGGATTAGACCACGTCCGTGGATGTAATGCAGGGCACTGGCAATGTCCCGGACGATGCGCTTGGCGTCTGATCGGTCACCGGCAAAACGGTCGTTCTCCATCCGTCGCCACATCCCCTTGGACGCTAGATCCCGCGCATCCACGTGCTCCATATATAAAGACAGGAAGCGAGCGTCGCCGCCGTAGAGACGTACGATGCTCTTGTGTTGGAGATCCTCCTGATACTGAAGTTCCCTAAGCCAGACGTCGGCTTGGTGAATCACGTTCCTGGATTCCATAGCGGTGTTGTTGATGGTGGCGGGAGTTCGGGTCTTGAGCACCTTGACAACAATGACTCCATCTGGGACATTTGAGTAGTCGGCCGTGAAGACGCTCGACAAGCTTGACGAGGCAATGTCTGACTTCTTTGTGAGTGTGTACTCGTCGAGCTCGCAGCCACCACCGGTAACTTGGACCCTCTCGTCAGGTTGAATTTGAAGGAGGTTGCCACCGGATGCAATAAGCTCTCTTCTGCCGTTCGCGGAGACAAGTTCTTTCTTCTCCCCAGTCGGGATCGGGAAGACGAGCGGCTTTGTCTTTGCTGGTAAGAACATAATGACACCATCTTCCTTCTTGATGTCACTTTCTTCTTTCTTGATTTCGATGTCCTCGGATGCTCGGAGCTTTTTGTTGCTTGAGTTTTCATCTTCCTCATCGCCCAAAAAGGTGCGCTTTCTCACAAGCTGAGTGGGTGTTGATGAATCGATAGAGGGAATTCGGAAAAGTGTTGGCTTCTTCTCAAGGATACGAAAGTCAAGCACCTCGGAACGGTAGAATCTGATCCTCCAAGTGCCCGGAAACACGTCCTTGTTGAAGCCTGGATTGACCTCGTACTCCTCGATGTCCCCTAAAGCGGCAGTGGAGGCCCGAGATAGGATGAAGGGATGACTGGAACGATTGACTAGGATAACCTTATCGCTAGCCGGATCATAATAGAGCTCGCACCACAGCGCAGGCATGGTCATATCTCCGGGAATTCGGACGGAGAACTTGATATCCCGGGACGTTTGCGTAACGGCAAGCACCTGGTGTTGAGCCTGGTCCGTTTCTGCTTTAACCTCGGCGCGCAAAGCTAGCCACCTGCAGTTATCAAGACTAACCGGACTGACCGATCGTCCTCGAATCGGCCTGACAAGAATGCGAATGTCCTCATCCGGTGGAATGACTAGGCTATCGAGCGAGACGGTGCTGTTGATGGCAAGTTGGCGTTGTTCCCTCTCGCGGCGGTTTTCTCGCAACCGCGCCTCGATCTCTGACTGTGAGAAGGCTTCTGTCTTCTCCGAGAACTCGGAGGTTTCCTTGGAGTCAACCATGCCGCGGACCGGTGTACGGCTCGAGGGACAAGGTATGGCAATGTTTGTGTGGTTGTTGAACGATGGTTAAAGCGGCCTGTCAAACCAACGGGAAAATGGTATGGAAAGCGGTTTGTGCTAAAGAGGTATAGACAACGCAGATGGAGCGAATGACAGCGGTGGTAAAGGTGATTCGGCAGACTACCGCTGAAAAGAAGGATAGAAGCGCGCTGGTCAGACTAAATGAGAACAAAGCGAGAGCCCTGCTGCGACAAACTCAGCGGGACTCCAAAAGACAAGAACAAGTTTTTGTCGTGTTCAAGGAGCCATGATTGCTCTTGTCGCAGAATGACCATCAATAGAGGTTGTCAGATGAACGGACGAGACGAGGGCAGGTGGAAGAGCAAGCCTCCTGATAGTCTAGTCTCAGCCTCGCCGAACAAGATGGAAGAACCCCGGGCCGTTTTCTTTTGCAACGTCAGACAAGATGTGTGCGCCAGGGGTCAAGAAGCGCAGAACAGAGCGAGAGAGAAGATAGAGAGGAAAACTGGAAGAGAAGGGGGAAGAGAGTCATCAATCGAAACGCGACGAAGAAGAGATGACCCGACCTGACCAGTCCCAACAGATAGTGAGTGAGCTGAGGCTGGTGCCTAGCTAGCACAACTTTCCGTAGAAGGCGGTGCTGACATGTTAGTGCAATGCCTCACAGTGCCCTGTCGCAGCGTCTATCTCGAGTTTGAGATGGACGCAGACCAGATGATTCCAAGGACTGCAAAAAAGGCCATCAGCCGGAACTTCAGACACGACAGAAGATGGCCAGGGAAGCAGGATCTAATATTTGTAAAAGGGCGACAGCTCGCGACCATCCCACACTGGTGTTAGGCCTCATGAGGCTTTATTGGCGCCATGTTCCCTGCTCTCGATAGCCAAGAAGAGCGTTAACAATCGAGTCTGACTGGTTCATCCGTAGTCCGCCTGATTGGCAAGAGTGTTCTCGAGGCAGCACCATGTGAGGGGTCGTCAGCTGTCAAGGCAGCCACTTGCTATCGTCAGTTGATGCCATCTGGTTTATCGCCGATGGCCCTTCGTCGCTTCCCTGTTTCATGTTTCTGAGGCTCACCGCGGTGAAGGTTCTGGTACTGAGCTGGTTCACTCAGGAGCCACCGCCGAAAGCACGCGCGCCAAACCCGTGTGCTCATGGATTTAGAGATCAGGATTCTGCCATACCAAAGATAATTGAACCATAAAAGAGAAGGAGTTCCCACCCGATGACGAGCTTGGTGGTGAGGATTCATGTGTAGGACTGGGTGCTGGGTGGGAGTCGGAGGTTGTCAGACTCGGACCTTGACACTTGTTTTCCAAGTCGCACCCATTTCTGATGTCAGCGCCCTCAATCCTTCTTGTATTGCCACACCACACCTCAAGACTCTCGTTTGTCGAGAAAGTGCGCCCAATCTGCACATCTGTTGCCTGTTCTTCCCCCTACAAACAGAAGGATGGCACAGGTTGGCGGCTGGATGCGCCTTCTTCTGTCGGCGCTGGGCTGACTGATGGGGTGAGGAAGGAAGGGAGGTGGGCTTCCGAAAAGGCCGCGTTGTTGCGAAAGCTGTTTCAAGCAAGAGCGAGCGGCTGGACGGGCAGCGTTTGCAGTTTATGCTGTTTTTACCCGCGAATGGCCGGGGCGCCCATTGTCATAAGTTTGTCATGAGCCGTTTGAGTGCCGAACACCGTCAAAGCCTGGACTTCACAATCGAAAGATGTTACCGTCAACAAAGTCGCGATAATTCATGATCTTTCGAGGCCATGAGAGTGCTGGAAAGAACACCTCAGTCCCCCTGTCGGTTCGGAGGGCAGCGCAAGTCGGTCGCAACGATGACGGACAACGGTAGGCACACACCGGCAACCTGAAAGGAATCGGAGGGTGCCAGGTCAAAAGTGCAATATTTGACCGCAATCGTGCGCAGTAGAGACCCTTGAAGCTGCATCCTCCAGATACTGCATATACAGGAGTTATTGCATAAAACCTGTCTATCTGGACTGTTCCTTGCAGGCCAAACTCAGGACCTGGGAACTGCATATATACCACTTCATGCATATAATTTCGCTGTCTAAATCAAATGCAGAATCAGGGGGTCCGACTGCATTTCATCCGGCATGGGCACCACACCCAACGACACAGCGCGAAGTGAGGGATGACGAAAAATGTGAACGATTGGGGGCCGTCCACTTCATGAGAAGCTAGACCGGAAGAGGTTATTGTCTTGCAATCAGTGTGAGTGGCTGCCGCTTCCATTGGTTGGGTGTTAAGTGCAGTGTAACACTCCGGCCGCAAGGCGCAGCTCGTGTCCCGCTTTTCATGCCCTTTCCTGCCGAGCCCACCTCAACAACATCCCATTGGACGACACCGTCGATGCCCTGTCTGTGGCGTCGCAGCACTCCGGTCTTTCCAACACCCAGCGCATCCCCGTTCGCTCGTAGGCCGCACAACACTCACTCCGTCGACCCTCTTTCCTTCCGCTTAACGCCCTCATCTCCCCCATCACCGCCGTCGTCACCTCACCGTCAACCTCAAAGCTCACCTGCAATTGAGAACGATCGAGACTCCTGTCGGCATCGACCCTAACCTTTCAAGTCAAAACACCAAAATTAAAACAACAATATCCACGATGTGTTATTTTGTCGGTTACTAGATGGCTTTCTGCACCAGTACAAGGCCCCCGAGTCTTGATTTTGAACACCCTGTCACCTTGGGGTGAACCAGTCTCCCGGTTTATGACTTTGGCTTCATCTTTGTCCCCCACCAAACCACGAAACGACGCCAACCCTTCCAGCTCTACCTGCCTACAACCTATCTAATTAGCGATACCCACTGAAACTTATCTTCTTGCTCACCTTTCGATCCTTATTCGACCTCCGACACACCGAAATTACCCCCTTATACAGCACTTCTCCGCAGATGGACGATCCGACCGGACCAGGATGGACATGGCCTTACTGGAAGTTCGGCTTACAGAGGGAAGACCTCGAAACCAAGCTCCACGATCAGTACAACACCTTTAGCCTCGCCATTCTCGACCCCGAGGCCTTCCATCATGATGTCTACGAACTAGCAAACAGAGCCACCACCACCGATGAGTTCCATCGGTTCCTTGCCGAGCGGAAGCAACTCCGAGTTCGCGAACTGAACGGGTCCCTCGAATCTGCAGCATTCGAGATCATTGGAAATCCCGCCCTGATCGGGACCGATCAGTGGCAGCACGCTGTCCAGCTCTTCCGAACAAGGTCGCTTGATTCGCTTGTTCGATATTTTGCATCATACCTTCCCGAGCAACACCCTTGGCACAAGTCCGCCGATTCTGGCTCCGTCACCTCCAGTAGTGCCGATTCGTGCCCCTCCCTTTTCGACGATGAGTACTACGATCCGATCATGATGACGGAGGAGCCGCTTGAGATTGTCGATGAGGAGTCTATTGTTAAGGACCACCTGCCGCCGTCTCCACGCTCCATGACCATGTGCTCGAACTCTTCCGTGGATTCCCATCTAGATGGTTCTCAAGCAGACTTCGCCCTTACCCCAGCCCGCACCCTTTCATACTCTGAATCCGAATCCGACCATCTGGAATCCTCAGCCTCGACACTCTACGATGTGTCAGAGGTTACCACACCTGCTCCTGAGGAGGAGGACGTCACTCCTGAAGTGGCGTCAGGCAAGGAAACCTTAGATCATCACAAGGATCTCTCCATCACTTCCAAGTCAGAAACACCTACCCCAAAGCCTGAGCATCATGCCGCGGCTTTCTTCGAGCAGACGAAGCCATCGCTTCCTTGTCGACGACACCGGAGTCTTTCACCATCATCTGCGCGTCCTCTCTCTGGTCAAGAAGTCCGGAGTAGCATGCAGCAACGTGATCCCAGGAAGCCGGAGCTTCCGACTCACCGTACCCAGGTGGCGGACGACGCAGCTCGCCGTTGGAAGGAGACAGGATACCTGGAGAGGCTTAGAGAAAGGATGTTCAACCCCTTGCAGAGAGGAAGAAGTCAGGGGAGGAAGACACAGACAAGTAGTTCCAGTCGTATCCAAAAACCAGCATCGGAGAGGACAAAGTTCAGGGGACGAAAGAGAGTTGATAGTTAGCACATGGCGAGGCGTTTTGGCGTTTTGGAGCCTGAGAGCATGGTGGATGGGCCTATTACCGATACCCCTGTACATATGTCCTTTGACTGTACATATCTGCTCTTCTTTTTTCATGGTAAATCCTTTTCTTCAGCACGGGCGCGTGGCGTCGGACCTTGGTGGTTGGCGCTGGTAAAGTTCTCATGATCCTTGGCTTGGTGTTTTGTTTGCATGTGTAAACGACTAACGATGAGCAGTGATGATACCCATCCGACCGTTCCCATATTATCTACGGTCGGATACAATATCTCTTCGGTTAAGTATCCCTTTCTTCCTTGAGTTGATATCTGCTCACAATGTTCTAGGCTCAGGTGCAACAAACCATGGCTGAAGCATGTCACCGGCAAGTGTACTTCACCCTATGTGCCTGATTAGATTTCAACCTGGTTCATCTACCTCTTAAGATTGCTCTTATAGCCCTCTCTATCGTGACGATGATGTTTGCTCTTATCTAGGAATAATGATACATGCATTTTACGACCTAGCACATGCCCTTGTTTGCCGTGACCTCCACAGAATGTTGCCAAACACTTAGAAATCAACAGGAGGAGACTTGGGTGTTCACCCAATGGGAAGCCACCTTTGCCCTTTGTTCCGTTCTAAAATCTCACCTGAAGCAAAATGCAACACGGATTACCAACCCGGAGACCCGAATAATGACCAAGCCACCGCCGGAGCAGTTCTCAAAGTCCGGTCTCAACCACCGCAGCACGGATTGCCGAGTGACAATGCACAACTATATAAACAACCACGTCCCGCCGCTATGAGGTCTGAATGGTATATCAAAAGCATTCAACACAAACCCCCTCCCCTTTTTTTATCCCAAATTATCTTCAAAATTCTCTCCACTTCAAACCATGGCCTCATCAACCACCAAAACCACCACCAAAACCACCCCCAAAACAGTCCTTATAACCGGTGCAAACGGCTACATCGGCAACGCCGTAGCCCGCGCCTTCGTCCGCGCCGGCAGTGACTGGCTCGTCTACGGGCTCATCCGCTCCGCCAGCAGCAGAGCCATCTCGGCCCTAGCAGCAGAGGAGATCACGCCCATCATCGGCGCCATCGACGACCGTTCTGCCCACGAAGCCATCATAGCGCAGCTACCACCCCGTGGTGTTGATGTTGTTATTTCCACGACTGAGAGCTGGCCAGATTATGAAGGACACTACCACAACGTCGTGGCTCTATTGCGCCTAATCGCCGAGTCGAAGCCTTCTTCTTTGACCTCCTTGACGACCGGTGGTGGTGGGACCGATGGCAGTAGGATACAAGTAGGGGGTGGTAATACGAAGACGAAGACGAAGACGAAGACGAAGACGAAGACAGGGAAACCGCTCCTGATCTTTACGTCCGGGTGTAAAGACTACGGCGCTGATCCGACACACTTGTTGTCCTCCTCCTCCTCCTCCGGAATCATCCTGCACCCGCACCCGCACCCGCACCCGCACCCGCACCCGCACACGGAAGAAACTCCGCTCAGCTCACTTTCCATCCTCCGCCCCCGCACCCAACTCTCATCGCAAATCTTTGACCGTCTCGGCGATTTGTATGCGACGGTATTGGTCAGGCCTATCAACCTGTACGGTCGGTCGGGGAGCTTTTTTAGGGAGTGGTTTGATGTCTTCTCCGCTGCTGCTGCTGCTGCTGCTACTGAGGGGAGACAAGTGCTTGTTGTGCCGAGCAGGAGCGGCGAGGGGAGGGAGATTTGTCAGGGGTTACATGTTGATGATTGCGCGGAGGCGTATGTTGCTTTGGCTACGGAGCATTTCGTTCGCGACGACAAGAGGGAAAGAGAACAGGAGGAGGAGGTTGAAGAAGGGGAGGGAGATGTGGCAGGGGAGGCGTTCAATATCTCCTCGCAAGGAAGGGAGGAGACGGTGGATGGGATAGTGAGGGCTTTGTGCGAGGAGTACGGAGTGGGTTACGAAAGGGTGAGGTACGTGAAGCCGGAGGACTTGAAAGACGGGGAGAACCCCTGGCCGTCGCAGCTGGTGGTAGATTGGCCGCAGTTGGTTGGTGATGGAAAGCTGAGGAGGGTGACGGGGTGGAGGGATCGGAGGCCGTTGTTCAAAGAGGCGATCGGGGTGTACAGGAGAGCGTATGAAGCTGCGAAGGAGGAGGGAGGGAAGGGGTGGGAGAACGCGAAGAAGGCGGAGGAGACGGTGAAGGCTCTGGGCGATCGTTGAGAAATTGGCAAAACGGTGATAGGGGTGGGAGTCGAACGCACCACCTCCCGAGACCCAAAGCTCCTCCCGCCGTTACCCTCCGGGAAAGGTACCAAAAGATACCAAAAAAATACTAACAACCGCTCAGCGGAGCAGCGTCATTAGTTAACCGTCGAGACACCGCAACCATGTTTTTTCTTTCTTTTTTGTATCTTTACATTTATTGATACCTTCTTCTGTCGCTGCTCACACCTGCAGATCCAACTTGAGGGACGGGGCTTATAACAATGGAACACGCTGTCGGTTACCTGAATGTACATCATTGTTTCCCAACCGGAAAAACAGGAATTTTTCAGGTTTGAGGTGTTCGGACGGTAGACCGTTGCGCCACTCGACCAAGCGATTGTTGGTGACTACAGGTACCGATCCGGGCAATTATAACCCCATTAGGCGTTTGGTCTTCATGGGAAGGAGCGGTCGGTAGGTCCAAGCGGGCGAGTGGGTGCCTGGATTGGATGAGATGGGATGAAAGGTAGGTTGGTGGTGTTGACAGGCGAAGGTTAGGCATGGCTGGCATGGCAGGCAGCCAGAAGACGGATCGGACAGTTTGAACCAGGACAAGTGAAGAATATCCAAGATGAAGTTTTGAGAACGCTCCTCCTCGCGAACCATTCCAGGTTACAAAGACCCAACGTTTGTGATATGTCGGATAGTCCCCTATGACGGACAAGAATACTTCTTGCCGCTATGGAGAAGCGGATCCTGGACTTCAAGATCCCGCCATGGACATGTGAATCAGCAAGCTTGCCGGATCGTCACCTTGCTTCTCCATGCTGGGTCTGTATGACCAAAGAGCTTTCCAGACCACTTAGCCGCTAGAGTGCTTTCACTTCATCTTCCTTTTCGGGATCCAAGTCGTAGTGGATGTTGCAATAAGTCCCGGCTGGCGCAATAATCCAAGAATCGCCGTCTGGCCCATTTCGCGAAATAAGACTTTGGAATGTATCTTTGACAGATTCTCGCCTTACAACTGAGTCCCAACTTGGAAGAAAGATTGCCTCTATTCAGTGATGAAAAGGAGTCAGATGCAAATCAATCGGAAGTGATGACCTGGAATCTGACGGGAAATCGTCCCGGTATCTACAAGGGCAGACCATGTGTCTGGGGGAGTTCGTGGGGCCGGGCACCTCCGGAGGCCAGAACCCCAAGCTTGGCATCGTTCCGGGGGAGCGGAACCCCATAAAGTGCTACCGGGGGATTTGCCCATTCCAACTTCATCCCGACACTCAAAGCATTGGATCCTGTCAAGAAAACCAAGCACTTCTTTCAAGATTGATGTCCTTTTCTGCATCCAGGAACGAGACCCGACTCCTTGGGTCAGTGGATACTACGAAAATCCACACGGCGAGAACCCAGAGGCAGTCCGTTTAGGCGGCCCGGTTCAATTGATCGGCTCTCCACGGCCCCCCGAAAACGTGGGTTTCCACAGCATTCCTTGCGTCATGGAGCTGCTTACTAAAACATTTTTGGAGACATCCCGGGATAGTTGCATTCGGCATCGATTGCCCCGCCGGCGTCATCGGCCTAGCAATTGACTTTCCAGCTATCCCGCCCCCGCAGCCATTGGCCGTCAAGGTGTCTTTTCTCCTTTTCACTGCGGCGGCAGACCGGCAACAAATTTGAGTTCCCGAAAACCATCGCGGTGCCAGTTATTTCCGTCACATTTGCTTGGGAGAGGTCGATAAATGCATGTCGTCACCATCGCCATCGCTGCTGCAACTGCTCAGCTCCACCGGCCGATACCAAAAAGAGCTGCCCGCCCCGCCCATCACCATGGACGGAATGATGTGCTGCCGAACCTATGCGAGAGAAGGAAGCTCCGGTTGTTGGGACTAGGGCAAGGAGAGCTCCGGATTCTCCACTAAATATTGGGGTTTTGAAAGGATGTCGCCCAAGCCCCTCCTCATCCCATTCTCCAGGTCTGTCCAGCTTGCTGTCCGTTTAAAAGCCAGCTTCCCCTCACTGCCATCCCTCTCTTCCTGGCCATCATCTCGTCTCTATTCCACAACACCATCCAGACAAACAGCCACCATGTCTTCCGATTCTCCCGTCGTTCCCACGGCCTATGAGCCCAAGGACATGAAGTTCCGTTACCTGGGTAACACCGGTCTCCAGGTTTCCGTCTTCTCCCTCGGTGGCTGGCTCACCTACGGTGGTACCCAGAAGGGCGAGATCGTCAAGAAGTGCCTCCAGACTGCCTGGGACCATGGCATTGTATGTCTTCTTCCTACCTCCAGTCCACAAGAAACACAGAACTAACAGCATCTTCAACAGCAAACCTTCGACACTGCCGAGGTTTATGCCAACGGTGCTTCCGAAGTCGAGATGGGCCAGGCCCTCAAGGAGCTCGGCTGGCCCCGTGACGAGTACGTCTTGACCACTAAGGTCTTCTTCGGTACCGGTCGCAAGGAGCCCAACACCCGCGGTCTCAGCCGCAAGCACATCGTCGAGGGTCTCAAGGCCTCCATCAAGCGTCTCCAGACCCCTTACGTCGATGTCGTCTTCGCCCACCGTCCCGACGCCGCCACCCCCATGCTCGAAATCGTCGAGGCCTTCACCCAGGTTATCCGCAACCTCAACCTTGCCTACTACTGGGGTACCTCTGAGTGGAGCGCCGTCCAGATCAAGGAGGCCATCCACCTCGCCGAGAAGCACAACCTGATCGCCCCCGTCGTCGAGCAGCCCCAGTACAACGCCTTCCACCGCGAGCGCTTCGAGAACGAGTATGCTCCCCTCTTCAAGGAGCATGGCTACGGCACCACCATCTGGTCTCCTCTCGCCAGCGGCTTGCTCACCGGCAAGTACAACGACGGCATTCCCGAGAACTCCCGCTTCGCCACCAACAAGGCTTTCTTCGAGAACACCGTCAAGAGCCTCCAGACCGAGGAGGGTAAGGCTAAGATCGAGAAGGTGCGCAAGTTGACGAAGATTGCTGAGCGCCTTGGTGCCACTGCCACCCATCTTTCTCTTGCCTGGGCTGCCAAGAACCCCAACGTTAGCACTGTCATTCTCGGTGCTACCAAGATCGAGCAGATTGAGGACAATCTCAAGGCTCTGCCCCTTATTGACAAGCTCACTCCTGAGATTATGGAGGAGATTGAGGCTGTTCTTGACAACAAGCCTACCCCTCCTGCCACCTTCAACCGTGACAGGTAAACGGCTGGCTTTGGGATGATTAACGAAGTAATGAAATAAAAATAATTTGAACTTGAACCTCAGCCCTCTGTGTCTGTTCTCATGCGTTTCGTGATCTGTCTGTCTCCGCATTCCAAGCTACGAGTTATCGGCGCCCCGGTTGGAGAAGTCGAACAGCGATTGCAAAGCTCCGGATTGCGAACCAGATATACCTCTTGTGAGTTGTCCACAACAACACCAAGTCGGAACCTTAGAAGCAAGGCAAAGGTAACGACACCGAACAGCTGAGAAGGTTTCAGCTCAATTTTGGTCGTTTCGTCAGTTTCAAGTCAAAGTTCTGTTCTGTTACCCATCATAGGTCCTGTTACTTCATGTCTCCTTCCCCTCTCCCGTCTACCCTCTCTCACTTCCCCCAGCTTCGACACCCAACAACAGGATGAGGATCTCATATACTATCATCAGCCCAAGGCTTCACCGCCTCCAGAAACCTCACATGCGCCTCCCTATCGCCCGTAGCCTCCAGCAGCTTCTCAAACCCTTCCTCATCCGCCTTGCGCATAAAGATCAAGAACCCCGCCCACACAAAATCCGCATAAGTCGGCTTATCTCCCTCAAAAAACGGCCCCTGGTCTTTAGTCTCGTTCAGCAGATCCGTGACCTGCTTCAGCTCATCCCTGATGCCCTTTTGCGATGAATAAACCTCCTCCCTATCGCCCTGCGTCCTCTCCAGCTCTTCGATCGACATGCCAAACGCTTCCTGTCTCGTCCTGGTGAAATACTCCGCGCTGACGGGGGCGAGGACACGCTTCGCGACGCTGGGGACGAAAATCCCGATAACCTTCTTTAGCAGGCCCGGGTTGACGAGGGGTTCGAGCTTGGCGAGGACGGGGGAGTCGAGGTGCAGGGAGGGGTATTGAGGGGATGGGTAGCGCTCTTCGAGAGCTTGGGCAATCTTTTTGCTGTCCATCACCCAGGTGCCGTCGGGGAATTTGACGGTGGGACTGGTGTAGGCGGTTGTGGAACCTTCGGGGCCGGCGGGCGGGACGTGATCGCGGAGGGCGTTGGCGATGTCGGGGTATTCGGTCCATTTGGTGGTGTAGGGAAGGTTTTTGTAGTTGAGGGCGAAGCGGGCTGTTGAAGAGGGAGTTTGTTAGTATAAATCTGGGGTTGGTAGAGGTGATGAGGTGCAAAGTGGTGATGTATGGGAGAAGGGAAGGGGAAGAGGTATCCTTACTCTTCCACGGGTTGAGAGACCAGGCGTGATTACCCGTCTTGTCGGGAATGTCGAAGAATTCGATTTTATCTTGGTGGGCGGCCATGGTGACTGAAGTTAGGTAGATATTTGGTTTTTGAGAAGTGTTCGAGGTTGACTGGTTACTATGATGGGAGTAAAAGCTCGTCAATGGGGTCTCGGAGTTGGAGCTTGGGGTAGCTTCTTGTATTTATGTCATCGCGGGCATGGAGCCAAGGAGCGGACGTAGAGGTAGTATCCACCTGGTAACTTATACAGCCCACAACTCCACAGTTTCCGAGGTCGATCGGATGTTATGGATGACAAATCACTTGAAGAGACAGGTACTACTTCGTACAGATACCCCGTATTACCCATATTGAAAGATCCGAATTGGAACGTCAAAGGCTGACACCTTCGCCCTTGGAGTGACATGAAGGAAGTTCGGGTATTCACAATGTTACAGGCAGCCGAAGTGGTGCAGCCATAGAGGTACCATTCAAAGTCGGACCATTCTCCGTTCCTACCTCCCACCTTCTTCATTTTGCTGATCTTCTTACACACCGTTTTTATTTTAAACTCTTGCTGACATTGAAGCTCTCAATCTCACATTCCACGATCCGAATTGTCCAATGGTTATCTCCGTCGTTACTGTTTGCTGACTTTGTTCGGACTCGAGTGACGTGCATTGCCCCTGGGGCGGGGTTCATCCCACTGAATCCCAAGATGCGAACTGAGCGGGGCACACTCCTGGGCGCTTTGAATGACACCCGCACAGGGGAGGTCTTGGAAAAGGCGAACGAACAATTTCAAATGCTGGACTCGCTGCTGACACTAGTCGATTAATCATTCATTTCAACCCTAAAGCTTACCTGACTTCATAGGGTAGCTCGGGATGAGGGAAAAATATGCTTACAATTTCTTTTTGAACATTTTCCTCAGGAAGCGGGCGATGTATTGTGGTGTAATTCTCGAGTCACTTTTTGTTTATACAGCCAAGATACCTTGGTGCGCTTTCTGTCCAAGCTAAAGAAAGACGGCCATTGGAATGAAGTGAACAACGAGAGTTATAACACTTGCGATCTTAATGCGGACTTCTCTCCCAAAGTAATGGTACAACTTTCTCATTTGGTTGAGGTTCGTTTCGATTCATTTGATTCATCAAACCTATTCCCATCAGTCCCCTCTGAAAGACAGCGCTCCGTCTCCATGCCACCGCAATCCTCCCGTCCAAACCAAACGCATCGTTCAAGACAACACTTCCAGAACTCTCTTTTCCCCGTCTTGAGGTGCTCTCAAGACAGGACGAACCTGGCAAGAAACTAGGGGTAATTCCAAATCCCATTTTACTGCCAGTCTTGAATCGAAAACCCCATCAGCCCTCCGCGCTTCTTAAGCTCCTCAATGTCGAAGGGAATCATATTCACCTCCTCCATGATCAGATCCTCCAGCCGGATCCACTTGTCATCGCCAAACGGATTGCATGCCTTGTGCCCCTTCAGCGTATGCGTAATAACCACCTGTTCCGTTGCCGTCTTCCCGATCTTCTTGATCCGCCTGTATAGATGGCTTGGACTGCAAGTCGCATCCATGGTAGTCCATCCTTCTTGGCGCAATGTACGGTGCAAAGCCCCGAGCATGCTGGCATCGCAATTGACTGCGTGAGTGACTCTGCCGGGCGGCCTGCGAGAGATGCAGACTTGGCGAGGGGGGTCGTCTGGCGGAATTTCGATAGGTTGCCTAGGATTTCGGTGGTCGAGACTCGGAGCTCTGTACCGATTCTGGCTTCTAGCTATGTGTGGGCTGTGAACTTCCTCATCATCGCTGGATTCGTTGGGAGGGAGGACGGGAGGTGAGGAGGTGAGGCGTTCGATAACTTTCTCGACTTCCAAGATCAGTCGGTTTATGACACGTCGCCGGCATATGGTTATATCTCCTGTTTTTTACAACTTGTTAGCATTGGCTCAAAATCAGGAAGGAAACTGGTGGAGTGGACGTAGGGGAGCATGAACATACTAAGCAGACCTAAATGCACCAAAGGCGCCCACTGCGTATACTCATCCTTCCCTTCCTGGGCACCATACCCGAGCAACTGGCCGTCCTTGTTAATCCTCGCCGTCTTGACCATGCACCGAATGGTATGCCTTATCATTTTCAGGTGTCCCAGTTCGTATACAACCCACAGCTGCTTCCCCACCTCATCATGGCGGTGGGGATTCTCTTGATAGATCCTCTTCAGCCAGGGAACAGCCACCGATTGTAGACTAAGGGTCATCTCGTAACGGTGGGTGAATAAGAGGAGGTCGTATAGAAGTTGGACGCTCTTGAAACTTTTCTCAACTCTGTTGAAAAAGCCATGGATGATGAGAAGAAAGGTCTTGCACACCTTGTCCTCGACATCAGGAATAAAGAGGGTTGACAGGGAAGATCTATTTCCCTCAGGCGGTATCAGGTAGGCGGCAGGGGAGCGTAAAGGATGTGACATCGGAGGAGGTGGGGGCTGTTGGTCATGCCCAGGCTCCTGCTTGATCATCTGGTTGTTGTGCGCGGGCATGATGATTCCAGTGAGGACAGAAGAAGAACGGACGAGGGCAGCGGTATTGGCAAGGAATCTTTGCCGCTGTGGGCCACCGGAAGCGACGATGATATTCCCGCTTGGGTCGATGATCTCGAGTATATCATCTTCGTGATGCGGCGCCGGGGGCGCTACCGGTGGTGGCGGCGGAGTGCGACCAAAAGGCAGCGGGCCATGTGGCGGCGAGCCTTGTGATGGCAAATAGACTTGTTGCGGTGGACGATTCGGTGCTAGTAGCCCATCGTAGACGGTGTCGATGGATGGAAGCCGGAAGGTCGGGGAAGGCCGAGGAGGGATGGGCGGCACCCCGGGTTGATAGATTGGTGCTCCTGGCGCTGCTTGTGGTGCCGGCGGTGCCTCCTCCATATCGAAGGCGGGCTCCCACGGCTCATATCTCACGGGTGCAGGCACGGGAACAGGGTCGGGCCCGAGCGGCGGCGGCGACCTCGACAGTATCTGACGTGCCAGGTTTGCGCACTGCTGAATATGAGTGCCAGGGCTAGTGGTAGGTGCTTGATGGCTGGCAGCGCCGTTGAACTCCTCCATGTCTTTGAAAATTGCATCAAAATCCTCATCATCGTAGCCCATGTCGTAATCGCCATCGGCGTCGTGGCCGTCCCTGGCGGAGGAAGGCGCGTTGGGATCGACCATTTCCGCCATTGTTGCTGTTGCTTAAAGACTTGCTGGAGCTGGATGAAGAAGGAGCAAAGAAGGGAGGAGAAATGAGGATGTGAAGGAGTTCTTTCCCAGTGGGTTGAGCAGGATGTTGTTCGTGGAAGGAAGGAGGGTTTGGAGGTGGGGTGATAGTAATTTTGGCAAGAGCAGGTCAACCATTCGTCCCAGCTTCTGGACTGTGGGGGTAATTTTCCCTGAGCGAGTGCTATTTGTGTAGATTACCAGCTGGACAAAGTTCTAAGATCCGTAGAACTTGACACGCGGAATTCCGTAAGTTGTGCTAAGTAGTCAAAAGATTGTTGTCGCAGAAAGAACTGGAACGAGGAGAAATCACCGCGAGGATGAAATCCTAACTGCCTCTCATCAGCAGGCAGCAGTGGAGTCACTACAGAAATCGAGTCCATTCACCTAAACCTTGACATGTGACTAACCCAAGTTTACATCGGACGAAAGTATAAGAGGAATCAGATTAGCTGCCTCGAGTAATGAGAAGGCGGGATCGATAGCATTTGGCGAGCAACGCGTGCTGGCCAGCTATCTTTGAATGATGTTCCAAGACTCGTGATAGGAGATGGCATGATATATGAGGAGTTTCTCATCATTACTTTGAATAAAGAAGTATTGTTATACCATAGAGGTAGGACAATAGCAAAATGATCCGGATGTTTAGCGGCTTTCTTTACTCCAATCACCATGACAAACCTGTATCCAGCACTTCTGAGATTATTGTAAACGAGTATGAATAAGAATTGCGTCCGGTCTACTCAACATTAACATAACATGGGAAGGGAAGGGCGTGAGAGGGATATATGGACGTGGAGTGAATATTCAAGGAGCGTGATGCTTATGGGCATAGATGAACTTTTTCACAGTGTAACAAGAACGACATCTCATCTGCAAGGTTCGTTCTAAGGTTATGAATATTCATCCCTTACCGTTCAAGTCGCGTCCTCAACGAGAATGTGTGAAGAAAAGTGAGTGTAGCCTAACAAAAACAACAACAAAGAAGTATCGTGGTTGAAAAAGAGGAAGGTGTCATGTGTTGGTTATGGGTTCATTCTGTGAGCTGGGGATAAATGTACTAGTATCTACCAGCTGATGTGAGTTGCTGGTGTCATCCATGGTTCCAGGGGCTGGTGAGGCCGTCCAAAGTGAGAAGAAAGTGAGATAGTTGATGGTGTTGAAGCTGCTGACTGTGTGTTGAAAAACGCGGCAACAGATAATCCGAGTAATGGCTGATGGCTGATTTACAGGGCCTTATGGAATAGCGACGTTAGACACAAGATAATGATGAAGTCAACATAAGAACCCGGACAACTCACCTACCGTTCACCTTTCTATCATCACAAAAGAGTCCAAAGAGCTCTCCAACCCGGGCTCAACGCACAAAGATAGTAGACGGCCCGGCCTACCCAACACTCCTGGTAAACACAGGCATAGATATCTCAAGTTCAAAGATAGTCAACAAGTGAAACAAGTTCCACATATCTAGTCACCCAATCGCCCATCAATGGGTTTCAAATGTGAAACGAGATCGATATAAGCAATAATTGTAGATTACAAAAAAACAGTACAGTGAGAAGAGTAGGGTATTCATTCATCCGCAAACGTCCAGAAACCATGTATCATCCAGGTCCCAATGAAATATCAGCAAGAAACCTTTTTTATCCTTTTTTGGCCCCCAAAAGTGTTGTGAAAGAAAAGCCACAAAATGCCAAACAACGAGAATGTCGATAAAGCAAAAGCCAAAGGAAAACAAAACAACCCAGTCCAATCAAACAACACACGTTCGCCAGCCAACACCTGCGGTTCGCTACCTAGTAAAATAAATCCTGTAAGCCCTATGATGATAATGATGAGACATGATATGATAAGAGGAGATGATGCACACAAACCGAAACCAAAAACCAAACCAACAAATACAAAAGACGCACACACGCCAAAAACGAAAACGAAAATAATAAAAATAATAATAGCACAGGGGAGAATGGGAATACCATCATGTGAGACGCCATGTCGCATGCAGCGAGTCCAATGACCTTCTCTCGTCGGTCGACCTTTCGATCTCTCGACCAAACCGACCGACCGACCGACGGAAACTTGGGAAGTCTCTCACGGCAGGCAGGCCAAGACAGCGGCAGCGACAGTGACCTGTCAACACACAGAGACATACCACCCTATCGGGATCTCAGCCGCTGTCTCGAGTCTCGGCAAGCGTTGTTTGCCAAGAAAGGCACTGCCCCCAAGCCACTTAAAAAAAGGGTTGACGGTTTGATTGATAACCGTACTGTGTGAGGTACCGTAGGTATCATGCTCGAATCGACTGTTGTTCCCAAAATATCGGATGTTTCTCCGACACATTCTTCTCTCTCAATTTCTTAGCCACGTTTCCAAGGTTCTGTGAGAACCGCGTATCATCCATCCGAGACCCGGTTTGCCGGTGGTCCCCCAAGTCCCAAGAAATAAGGGATGGAAGTGCGATCCAACGGTGAACGGTGAAGCCGTGGCCAAGGGGACAAGGGGAGCCAAGAGTACTTGGTATCTCAGATTGCCTTGGCAAAGAAGGGTTGATCGTTTGTTTTCGATTCCTCCCGATCGTTCGTTCTTGTTCTGTCTTGCTTTCTCGTTCTCGCATTCTTCTTCTTCTGTTTCTCGTTCTTCGATGACTGGAACTCCCATCATCTCCCGTCCGCCTTCCGAGGGATGGGAAAGGTGGAAGCACATGCCAAGCTGTTAAACGCAACGTGATCAGCCCAAGGCAAGCAGCACCCGAAAAAGCCAAGACCATTTTTTCCTTCCCGGCCGCGGATACCAAGCCTCTTGGCAAATGTGCCGCATGTGTCCTCCCCCATCTGCTTGCCGCTGATGCTTCACCGCGAGCCGGTCACTGCCGGTTTGAACCAGTCGTTGGGCAATGCCCACCTCCACCTCTTTCCCTTGGTAATATTCCTTCCTTCCCGCTCCTTCACTACTGGAAAAGAAGGAGATATTGTGCCGCCCGCGCTTGGCTTGGCTGGCACAGAATGGCACCGTCGCTGTAGGACCCAGGACCCGGAAACCAAGTCGTTGGGCCCGCGTGCCGTGTCGTGTAATGTGTAGGACTCGCTTGACGCTTTCAATCTTTTCAGCCCTGGAAGGTTTGTGCCGATGTTTGTGTAGGGTGTGTGGGTCAGTGGCCTCTCCCTTTTCTCCTCTTTCATGTCTTTCCCGGCACTGATAAGCCGTATTCGTTTTGTTTGTTCGCCGATCGTGTGTGATAACAGGCCGTCGGGTACCTGTAGAGCTGGGTGTGGGATGCTGATAAAATCACAATTTGCCGTCCGTCACTGATAATAGTTTCCGCTTTTGATGAGAGAGTGATGATAACTGCCGAAGTTAGAGAGATTGAGGGCCACCTTTTCAGGATGAAACCCGCCGAGACCATGAGCGGCTCAACCGCAGCAGGAAGCGGTTGCTGGACTTCTTGGGCACCTTAAGGTCCTCATCCACGCTGTCGAGCGAGAGGCTGCGCGCCTTATCCAGGGGAATTTCGGTCGTCTTCGCGTTCTTGACGTCTGTGTGTCTCCTGCTAATAGTCTCGTTGTCCGATTCAGACCGCTGAAGGGACTGTCTCTTAACTTGCTTGCTGGTGGGCAGGTTGGGAGCAGAGGCCGTGTTGCTGGTGATCTCGACGGCATGGTTTTTCAAGAGAGCATCACCCTTTGGTGTTGGTGCCCTGCTCCTGTTCTCGCCATCGCTTGGGTTGTTGGGGCACTTCATGAAAGCAAATGGGAACGGAATCTCATCGCCGACTGCTCGAAAGATTAGTCATGACTCAGTCATTTAAGATGAATGAAACGTACCGAGCTTGCTCCATAGCCTCGAGTCCACTGTGTACTTGAAGAAATCGTTGGACACTGTAGTGAGTTGGTTCTGAGCCAGCCAGACAACCGTCCACTCTTCGGCCTCCTTGATCGCATCCGCCTTCTTTCCGGGGATGAGAAGCTGAATGTCCTTGCTGGCGGCGAAGTTGAGGACAAACTGTCGTCGCGAGTACTCGGCCGCCGTCATAGCCTTTCGAACCTCCATCTGATCGATATCCTGCTGGGAAGCCCCTCGTCGCTTTTCCCTTACAGCCATGTTCGCCGCTGAAGTCATGATGATGTGTAAGAAACAAAAACCGGAGAACTTGACGTATGTAGTATGGAGTTTGTCTTGGGAACTTGCTGTCAAGGAAGGGTCGCTCTGGCGGTAGCGAGAAAGGAGTGTCCGGTGGGGGAACCTCTTGAGATTCCGGGCCTCTTTGTATTATAAAAAAAGCTGAAAAGAAGAAGGTGGTAGTTACAGAGACAACGGCGTCTAAGTTGTGTAACAGGAGACAAGACAATGGAAGATAAGGCCGGACTCGGTTGGCAATCAATATGCCGTTGTCGATCCGATGCTGAACACTGCAGAGACCCGTGGCAGATATGTGTGATGATACGGCGCAGGAGTAGCAAGGAAGCAACACAACTAAGCTGACAGGAGTCTCGGTGGAATGATCAGTGAGATCATAGTATCACACAGAGAGGTCTCAAGACAGGATCGATCCGGGACAGGGGATCCTTTAAGTATACAGATAACGCGCTCGAGCGGCAAGGGGGAGTGAAAGGTCTGGTTGGACTGAGAGGAGGACTGGGGAGGAAGAGGCGGTTGAGCCAGTTGGCATGATTCCGCTGTAGGATCCCAGGCACCCCAGGCGTGTCCCAGGATGGCGGCCAGGTTTGCTGTTTGGGGTTGACGGACATGACGAGAGCCAAGCAGCGCGTTCTCGACTGTAAAAGGAGTCAAACAAAGTGAAGACCCATTCAGACCCATGAAAAGCGCGGATGGGCCATGGCTAGCTGCAGAACAAAACCGAAAAAGAAACAAAGTCCAGTCTTCTCCCGTCCTTGGGTAATTACGAGACTCAGAGTGGAAGCGTACCAAGAAGTCGGGTCGCTCGCTAGCAGGGCTTCTTCCTGGGAGCCAAGAGCCCTTCGGAGATGTTGCCAAGCATGCGGCCAAGGGACGTGTCAGGGAGCGCCCGAAGCCGCCAAGACGCGCCGTGTCTGGCCCATGATGCTTGGGACTTGGGCGTGGAGATGTCTCCGGAATGTGCTTGGCATGTTGTTGAACGGCGGACGACGCTTCAGCAACAGCGGCAGTCAAGGAAGGTCAGGTGGAGCAGATGACGGGACATGGTCGATGCGGGGAAGCATGCCGGAAGATCTCCATACTGTTGGAGTTTGTTTTGGAGCAAGCGTCGCGTCTTGGCAGCAGTGCACAACGTACAGTGTCCAGGCCCATTTGGACTTCAGTTCACAAGAGGCAGCGCGATAGGCAGCACTGCAGCCTGCCAGCCCGACTTAAACAGGCACCACTCACTGCACAGCAGTACCGTAGACGGGCAACCGCCATCATCAACCTTGTGAGTCAAGCGACGGGAGTTCAACAAATTCATTCATGTTCACGATATGACACCCACCTCAATTCTTGCCCATACGCGTGCACTCAACTGACTAACCCCTTTTCTTTCCAGCCTCTCAACTACATACCCATCTTACACCGCCATGACCGACAACCACACTTGTTGTTGACGGCTCGTAAAATAAAATGAAACTGGGCACGTCAATGCGAACACGTTGACGCGCTCGCCGATCGTGAGACGACGGCACGCTATCTCGGTGGAGAAGCTGATTTGGCCAGAACGGTCCTTGGGCCGTTGACCGTTCTTTCCCTCTCGCGGGTCCCTTTTGCTTCGGTCTTCCTTTTACAAGGCCCCCAGTAAGCCATCTCCACTCCGCTTGCAACTCTCACTTTCCCACTTCCATGATCCGTCCATTTATCGAAGCCATCCAAACAACAGCGCTGGATGGAATCTCAAAAATGGATGGATGAATCATGGCCGACCGTACTGTCGACGCCGGACTGTGAGGGGGTCTCGATTGGAGAATCACAGCCTCACAATCTCCCACCAGTCTGCACTTTCTCTGCACAGCCAGGAGTCTATCAAGCTTACGGCGGGGTTAGAGTCTTGGCAAGAATGTCGATCTTTTCCTTGCCGACATTTCGCTTCGAATTCGCGTCCAGATTCCAGACAGTCCAACGCGTTGTCTTTTTCAACTCCAACTCCAGGACCAAACACCAAAATGTCTTAGGGCAATCATCAAATGGGGCAGACACATTCGTCTGTCCTACCCAAGGCATTGCCAATTCTTGAAGCCATGTGTCATTCCTTCCCGACCAGGGCAATCATTTGACGAGCGGCAGGCCTCCGACTGAGCATGTGACCAACCTACAGGCACCAGGTCCCAAATGCCATTTGAATCCCAAAAAGGAGAGGCTCACAAACATATACACAGGTCTTGTGAAACAACAGCCTTCAGGACCCAGGTCTGCTTTAGGATGGGTAGGGCTCCCTGGGACGGTGAGACGAACAAATAGGAGACGGCGTCTGGCGGTGCCGTGATGTTGGTTGAAGTTGAACGACAGACGGGCAGTCGTAAGTTCGATAGTGTAGATATTGGTGACGGAGCCAAGACCTACGGCCCTATAGGTACTACGTACAGAATATCTGTGGTACCGCTCACTTCTTGTCTCGTCATCTGTGAAACCTCACTCGACTTATTCTGGCGCACCATGGTCCCATCTCTCGGCTGGTTTTCATTTAACTTTACGTACCTGTACCAATTCGGTCTTTCCGCTTTGATGACTTTCAGAGTTTCAGGGCCGATTTCATTTTCATCTCAGATGACATGCGGCCCCGCTCGCCGAGCTAGGAAGCTGAACTGAAGCCCGTACCAATTACTAACAATACCGCTTTTTCTCACTCAATTGGATTTTGTTCGCTTAAACAGCTAAATCTCTTAGCATATATAAGCGAGCCGTTATACCCAGTATGGGCAGTTGAGCGAGGCTCCACGCAGCTCTCACCCCCTGTCCCCCCCTGCCAGCTCCCTGCGTGGGCTTGCAGGAATCTTGCAGAAGGGGGGCAGTCTAACTGGGAGGAGTATGGAACGAAATCCAATCGAGTGAGAAAAAGCGGTATAGGTATACAACTATATGCATTTGCGCAACACTCGCTCGACCACCAGCCATGATGTGACTTCCCTGTGGCTTCGCAATGCTTACCTCAACAGAGGAGAAGAACAATTTTCACATATGATTGATTGACAGCGACAAGTTTGCCTATCTTATCCGGATTGTTTCTCCTGCCTGTTCGTCGCGCAAGGGGCTAGTAAGCCGTGATAGTCCAGATCCCCGCCCGTCTCTTACACCAGGGCTTACAACTTACATGCAGGGCCTTTCCGTGACCTGCATTATCGACCACTACGATCATCGTTGGGCCTCAATAAAGAGGTTTGGGGCCCCCTTGGAAAGGCGCATCATTTCCTATCATCATCGTTTTCCCGCTTTCTTGGTAAGATAGCGCCATGCCGCCAATGCTCTGACTAATCCTGCGGTACAGTAGCGCCATCGCGCAAAGCGGAGCGGCAGCGGCGATGGAGACAACCACCCGTCTCCGCTGCTCCGCCTGCTCCGCAAAGAAAGGCGCGGTTGGAGCGAGAATGGGGACTGGACATGCGGATAACACGCGATGAGGGGAAAGAAAGAGAGATCTGAGATGAGATCGATTTGGTTTGCCACGAGAAGTTGTGGACGAATCGAATGATACGTACCCCTTGTTTTCTTGGTCGTTTTGTTGATCGGGCGTTTCAAGATTCCGTAAGTGCTTATTTGTTGCGATTTGGGGGTGTGTTGCGTGCTATTTCCAGGTTTTGATGTGGATGGTGTTTGGTGTTTTGGACCTTATTTTTTTAATTTTTTTTTTATCATTTTGGCCCAACAGGAGCAGCAGCATCGCCGAATTCTCACTACGCCGTTTCCTAGCGACTTCATGAACGGCCAAGTAGGAATCGTGGGCAAGACACTCATCGCTGTGCGGCATCGAAGAAACGCACACACACAAACAGAAACAACGAAAGTACAACGCATACGTCAACGAACCTACGGTAATAATCTTTCTCCCGTCGTAATTAATTCCAAGCACGGGTTGTTAGAGTCGTTGTGTAACTTTGCAAATCTTTTCCTTCATCTCTCATGTTTCAGTACACAATAGACCGTCGAAATTACGACGGAGATAAAAGACTTCGTGGAGGTTTCAAACAACAGAATCATCAAGGTTGTGGGTAGGACAGGCGTATGTAATACCTCAGGCAAGCAACTAACCAGTGCCAGGTTGTACACTGTAGGGCGTCTGTGATACCGAAGCTTTCTTGAATGGACGAGATAGAAGCAAGCAAGTAAAAACAGCCCAATCAATCCAGTGGTGGACGGCGGGGATAGCGCGGCTATGCTAAAAATGAACGAGCCCCAAAATGTAACGTACGTATGGATGATGAGTATTTTCGACGCCGTTGTCGTTGAGTCGAGGGCAGATGTACCACCTGGTCTTCCCCGCTTCCGAGATCTGGATGGTATTCCAGTTGAGCTAGTGTTCAACTATCGCTCTTTGTGGTTTGCGAGCAATTGTTTACAGCGCGAAAGGACCAGTCGCCGCCAATATCACGAGATTCTGAGGAGAGAAGACTCCACGACTACACAACCTCAAATTCTTGAACACGAGACCTGGCTGTGTCTTGCGGTGGACCGCAAAGCAAGCGGAATCATGGATGTCGAGGTCGAGACTTCGGGTTCCGCCGTCCCAAACGATCCACTCCCCAGATACGTTTACAAACCTCTTCAATCCGACCTTAACATCAGATTGATTCATCTCAAGCCGGCCACAGACCCAGAAGCAGAAATAGTCTTGTACCTCTCGGAGCACCACATCACCAGGGCGCCACGCTATGAAGCGCTCTCGTACACGTGGGGCGATGCCTCTGACGTCCGGGATATCACCATCATTACGCCTATTACGACATCAGGGTCGCTCCCTGGAAGTGATTCCCAAGATCACGATGCCAAACAGGTCGCTGAGTTAGAGGTATCTTCTCAGCAAAATCTTCCTCCCACGACTTTGTCGGTAACCTACAACTGCTATTCGGCCCTTCGCCGCCTGCGAAATTCCACCACTCCCCGTAGGATATGGATCGATGCCATCTGCATCAACCAGGATGACGTCCAGGAACGCAACAGCCAAATCTCACTGATGTACCTTATCTACCAGCTTTGTATTCGCCTTGTCATTGACGTAGGCGACGCATCGCCCACCAGTAACGCTGCTATTGACTTCATCGTCCAGTACCATCAACATCGAGACGCCGGCGAGCTTGATGAAGATGGTGTCTACGATATAGCCACCGGTCTGCATATCAGAGACATTATCTGCGAGTTCTACGCTCGCCCTTGGTTCTCACGCGTATGGGTACTTCAGGAGGTTTTTCTGGGGGCCGGAAAGTTTAGGTGGGAGTCCGCCCGTCTCCCCGCCTTGCTCAACTGCGGTGGCAGATCGGTCCAGTGGTCAAATTTCAAACCGCTGCACATAAACGTCGATTCTAGCCCCGCAGGAGAGACTGAGAACTGGCACATAGGACTCCCCAGTATTACTTTACTTCCACTCGTCCTTCGCATCGTCCCATTTGGCTCAGAAGATGATAAGCCTTCGCCTCGACACGATGAAAGGTTTAGGTTTTTAGGTAATGGAAACGGCGAAGATACACTCAATCTCTTGTGCCTCGCACGAAGTAATGAGGCGACGGATCCTCGGGATAAAGTGTTTGCTCTGTTGTCATTGCGAGTACGTCTTAGTGCCCACCCGATGATGGAGGCTGACTATGGCAAACCCGTAACAGAGGTTTACATCAACGCTGCGGTGTGGTTGTTGCGGGAAGGAGGTCTGCGCTTTCTCAGCTGTTGTGGGACAATGCAAGAAACGATCACGGCAGACCGGAGGGACTCCCTTCATGGGTGCCAGACTGGAATGAGAGGTATTCGAAGCAATGGATGATCGGAGGTAGTAACATATATACACCTTTGCGGGCAGGCGGTGATCCGTCAAAAGGCAACTCCCGTTGGCTGACACTACCTACAACGGTAGCGACGACAATCCTTGACGCGGATATCCATGGTTCTGGGAGAGCACAACTCAAAGTGCGTGGCGTATCCGTTGACAAAATCGAGTTTGTGAGTGGTCAGATCAACATCCGGGACGCTGCCGACAATGAATGCAAACATTTCGTGAAGATGTGCCGGTTGTATCGCGAAGGTTTGAATCGGGGATTTGAAGACGCAGCCGAGGGACACATCAGGCCTACAGGAGCAGCTTGTCTTCCGATGCCTCAGCCGTGGAAACCCAAAACGGGAGAGAGGCGACTCCATCCACCTAACTGGGCTGCATATGAGTATGGACTTCCGCTTAAGAACCCAGAAACTTTGACAGATAATGAGCTGTGTGACTACATCAGTTTCTTCACAGCCAATAGGCAGTTGGCTATGACGAACAGGGGATACTTTGGGGTTGTTCCTCGAAAGTCTTCGGTTGGAGATAATATATGTTGCTTTCTGAGCGCCGGTGTCCCATTTGTTATGAGGGAAGGGGACAATGGAACCTACACGTTGATTGGGGAATCGTATATATACGGCTTGATGGAGGGAGAGGCATTTGGCGATGCGGATAAGGCAAATGGGATGACGGAGACTCAGGATACGGTACCCATTGATCCATTGCAGGACTTTTGATCTCTTGATGGCCGGCTAGGCGACGAGCCGGCCTGAGAGGGTGGCATAAATGATGTCGATTACTATTACTTAGGTCTGTTAAGTAGTGATATAACTGTGAGTCGAGCCTTACTTCACATCGTGTTTTGTGCCATGGCCCCGATACGCATGATCCAAGAGGACCAACGCCGCATTACCCTCGCCGGTAGCCTCCTTGCATTACCGGTTGAAGAAACGACCCCAGAGAGAAAGTGGAAGAAAATAATCATGCCCGCTAGCGCCACTAGGATCAGGAATATGCTGCAACAAATGTCTGTCATGGTCCGCAAGTGTTGTCTTCTTTGCTCTCCTATGTCGCTGTCGGTCTCTTTCTGCCACTAGTAGAGTCCCTGGAAGCTACCCGTGCCATCTTGTGAGCCATTACTTTGCTCCTCGAGATCGAAGCTCTGAAGGGTCGTATGCAGCGCTTTTTGTGGACTTTGGAGAAGAGCTTCTTGAACCAATGTTGCTTCTGAAGGGGCCTCTGCGGAGTGGATAGATCCTTCCAACCTGGAAGAAGATGCAGGTATAAGTGTGAAGCTGGGTCGTGGGAGAGGTGGATGTGTAGCTTGCGCTGTCAACTGCGGCATGGTGTGGTTTTCAGACATTGCTCTTATGTTTCGAGGACCTTTGCGGTACACACAGCAGGCCGCCAAGGGGAGCAAAAGAGAATTGCGACCGAGGACGAAGAGCGTTGGGTAGGGACACGGGAGTTCTACGGTAGGATAATGGTAGTCAGCAACGATGGCTCAGGGGCGAGACAGCTTGGTCGCGGTACTTGCACTCTGCGGGACGCGTTGCCGTGGCTCAACCCCAAAGCTCGGCTCGGAAGTCGGCTGGGACGTAGAAGTATTTTCGAATGTCGCCGTTGAACCCTTAAACCATAGGAAGCGGTTACGTTCCGGTTATCAGGCAAGTTGAGCAGGGATTTAACCTAAGTTCGTCAATAGTTGTAGGGTTTCCAATGATTGCGACAAAAATCCGGTGACAGTGTGACGGAGGGACCAGGCATGGGTTTCGTTGTTGATCGGGTCTGGTGATGGAACTAAGTTATGCTGGAAGATGAACTATTCCTGGGAAGAGACTGCGGAACAATCTCCGGGGAAGACCAAGAAGATCCCTCCATTTTTGAAGCTCAAGTCTTTCTCGCCTCGTCAACCGTTGTTCTTTCCTGTTATTGTCCGACAGGAAGGAGTACCGTAAGATGGAGAGATGGAAAATGAAAATGATGGAAGCGAGTGCACTCGACTGCAACCCCGCGTGGCTTCCATCTCAGGTACCGCTTCGCATTTGTCAGGAAGCACTGGTAGGTACTTTCAGGGCAGCAAGGGGCAGGTGCCGGCGGGTGTTGGTGCCCGGGCGGATTCATTCCGTGTGACGTAGCGTAGGAATTACAGGAGTGAGAACCTTAACGGCCCAGCTCCTCCAAACTCCACCTACAGGCCCCAGTTTCCATTTTGTCATTCTGACCAACACTTGGAAGAAACATCAAACCTTGGTCATCGTCGGGTGTCCTCCATGGCACTCTATTGCCGACGAATTTCAACAAACAACACACAACGGCCGGAATGATCCCGACAATGGCGCCAATTGGGAAGCAGCTGAATCACTCCCACCAGCTGAATCACGCCCACCAACGGATCGGCTCCGTGATGGACAACAAGACCGGGTTTGCACAGACCACATAACCCCACACGCCCGCAAGCCTCGGTCGGCGGCGAGAGATTTGGCGATGTCCTTGTTCAGGTTGTTGAAGGCGCTGTCAATATTTAAACGCCCATCCATTCCCTCTTCCGCCTGGCCCCAGTCCTCCGTCCACATATCCGATTCCGGGCCGCAGTGCTACGCCGAAACGACCCACCCAACATGGCTTCTGAGGACTCCACTTTCGACATCATCATCACCGGCGCCGGTCTGAGTGGCATCAACGCCGCCTACTTGCTACAGTCCGAGCTGCCCAACCACTCCTTCACCGTCCTTGAGTCTCGCGACCATATCGGCGGAACATGGGCCTTCTGGAAATATCCCGGCGTCCGCTCCGACAGCGCCATGGCCCTGTTCGGCTTCCCTTGGTATCCGTGGACTGAGGGCACCAACATGGCTGATGCCCATCTCATCAAGAAGTACATGGAGGAGGCCGCCGCGTCCCAGGGCATCGACAAAAGGATCCGGTTCAACCACCGTGTCACCGCAGAGAGCTGGAGCAGCGAGGAGCAGAGATGGACGTTACACGTTGATGTTACTTCCAGTGACGGCACCGTTCTTGAGAAGAAGATATTCAAGACGCCATGGCTAGTTAACGCCACCGGGTACTACAGCTACGAGAAGCCCCGGCCCACTGTCATTCCCGGCATCGAAAGGTTCCAGGGTGAAGTGGTACATCCACAGTTTTGGAGTGATGAGGTGCAGTATGATAACAAGCGCATCATCATCATCGGCTCAGGTGCCACTGCCATCACCCTACTTCCTGCCCTCGCCAATAGTGCCAAGCACGTCACCATGCTCCAGCGCAGTCCCTCATATGTCGTCAGCTTGCCAGCTAAAGACACTCTTTTGCAGTTCATGGAAAGGTTCATGCCAATCCAATGGGCAGGAAGGATTAACTGGTGCATCAGGATGGTTGCGGAGACTTTGTTTGTCCAGCTGCTTCTGAACTTTCCCAACTGGGGAAGGAAGTATGTCGTCGACGCGATGCGCAGGCAGCTTCCCAAAGGCTTCGATGTCGATAAGCACTTCAACCCTCGGTACAATCCCTTCGAGCAGCGCTTGTGCCTCTGCCCACGGGGAGACTTTTTCAAGGCTTTGCGTGGCCCTAACGCTTCGGTTGTTACCGACCATATCGAGACCGTCACCGAAAACGGCATTTTGCTCAAGTCCGGGGAGACCCTCCAGGCCGACATGATCATTACCGCCACTGGTCTTTACATGGTTTTGCTTAACAAAATCGACGTCTTTGTTGATGGCGTCCGCATCAATGATACCATCGGCCAGCGATACATGTGGAACGGAGTCATGCTCGAGGGTATCCCCAATACAGGTGTCATCACCGGCTATGTGGCAGCCACTTGGACTCCTGGTGCATCCACAAGGACGAAGCAGTTCATCAAGGTCATTAAGCATGCGGAAAAGACGGGAGCTACCGTTGCTGCCCCTTATATCGACAAGGCTGAGCGTGCACGGCTTCCCAAGGAACCCTGCATTCCCAACAGCTCGACCTACATCACCGAAGTCCGTGACCGACTTCCTCTGGTTGCCAATGTGGGCCCGTGGAGGAACGGAAAGAACTGGATAGAGGATGCCATTCGGTTGTGGTTCGGATGGGTCACTACCGGAATGCGGTTCACTAGGAACCGAGCCAAGAGCGACTAAATACCGCCTTTCCTTGATTTCTTTTTCTGGAAATTGGCGTAAAGACACCAGGTAGTTCCAGTTGGGCGAGTCCTTTCCAGCCATGCTCAGTCTTGAGGTATTCAGATTCCTAACCTATAAAACCAAAGAAGCATTAATGTAATAGAATTAACTCTCCTTTTACCCGTTTACGGGTTCTGGGATATCACAAGCATTATGTGGATGATCGAGAATGCCTTTTTGTTCTTCTCATCCGTCGTACTCTTGGTCCTCTCTGAGATGTCGGAACCCGCTAGGCCATATTCCTTGCTTGCCGGGAGACAGAATGCCGTTGGGATCCAGAGTGTCCTATTAAACATGGTAAGTCTTTCCTTCTTCGTACATTTGGTTGTTGTGGACTCACCTTGATCTTCTCGACGAAGCGGTTGTAGGCGTGTCCGTTAAAGTCGTTCAAGCCCGCAATTAGATCTTTCAAGTGACGCATCAGCAACTCTTCGACCCTGCTCTCGACACACTAACACTCACCCATATGGTTGACATGCGCTCTGTACATGCCATAACCCCTCTCCTTCGCCACCTCATGAAGCCCATAATACAACTTCTTGATATTCTGCTTTTGCACAGGATCCGTCTGATCCCAGGTAAACATATTCATCAACACCACATGCCTCTCATGCATAAAGAAGTCCGCCATCAGTTCCACACCGTTCTCTTCGCAAATCGGCTTGCTCTTCCTCATCCACTCCATCACCAACTTCCCCGACGAAGGGATCACAGGCGCATAATCCCCATGCGCCGCTTTCCCATCTGTCTTGCTCTTCGGAATCGGCCAGTTAATTAACGGCAAACTCCAAAGCTGCGGGACACCAACAAACATGCTCCCATGTTCCACCGGCACCTTAGCCGCATCCACTCCTGTTTCATCAGCATACAGCGTCCCTGAGATTGTGCCCGTCGGCGCCTTCTTCGCCAACACATCCTTGATCTCCTCAAACTGCGCCTCCACTACTCTCTTGGGTCCGTACAGTCCGAACCGCGCATACCAATGCCCATACCCCGTCTCCAACCTCAACTCCTCCAGCCGCCAGTCGGGAATCGGCCCCTCACCTTTCCAGTAATCCTCCCTCCGTCCAGCAATGCACAGCGTCTCGATAAGCGAAGTAAACCACACGCAACTGGGGATCGTCCCATTACGCCGCATCTCGCCAAAGGCATCGACCATGACCTCCAGGTCATCAAAGAAAGGCATGCTGAAGCTGCACGACATGAACGCCTGCGGTTGCGGTTGGAGCCAGATGGACATCTTCGTGACGACGCCCAGGTTGGACTGCAGGAAGAGCCCTTCGATGGAAGGGCCGTAGGTGAATTTCGACAAAAAAGCGGTGGGTGAGTCATTTGCGGTTATCCCCCATTGTCCCGTGCGGACGAGGTCCCCTGAGGCGAGCATCACTTCGAGGCCGGCGATGAATTGGTGGTGGGTGAAGAGGGCGCCGAAGCCGGTGCCGCGGTCTAGGGTCTTTATTTTGATATTTCTTTGCGTTAACCTCCTTCACCTTCTGTCATGCCAGAGGAAGAAAGATCGGAGAGGAAAAGAAAGAAAGAAAGAAAAAA